TTCATTATGCTACATAGCAACTACGACAACGACTCAGCTAAAGTCACGCTTGTTTTTGATGAATGCAAGATCTGCGTGCAAAAAAAAAACGCTATTATACGTTCAAAAGGCAGTTCGCATTAAATCGCATTGAATTCATAGTTGTCTTGCATAGTTGTTTGGGCAACATTACTTAGAACGTATTTTGAATCGGTTTCTTGCACATCGCCCGTCTTATATCGGCGGTTACGGTCATACGTGAAAACGTCGATTCGTTTTGTGTTTTAGAAGTTCGCAGCGCGCCGATACTACGTGCGACACGCTCCGGGTAGCGGTAATTGACTATGAAGCACACCTGTTTTTTAATCTTAACAAATATAGGCTCAGCGATACTTCACACAGCGATTCCGCACACGCTTTTTGCCCATAAGAATCCTGAGTAACGCAGCTTAAAAAACTGCCAGGAAGCCTATCTTATTCCAAAGAACCATCTCAGAAGTCAGAGCGTCTGCTTCGCCTTTCATACAGTCGATAAAAAAAGAAGAACCATTAGCTCTCAGGGTCGTGATCTGTGGTCATCATGTGCAAGGTTTTCCTAGATTACACCTCAACGATAATGGCCTTCGTCCCTGTTTTCAAAACACATGCCTACTGTCCAACATATATACACTCTCATGATTAGATGCATCTCCAAAACTTTTCGTAGTACACCTCAGTTATATTTCTAACGGCACTTCATGAGGCAACTACCTATTGAGCGTAGAAGTGTATGCTATATATACATATATGTATATTTACCTGAGACCTGTTTATTAATTGGAATACAGGAAAAAAATTAAGGACGGTAGCCGCACCAACCAACAGATACAAAAACGCATCCAATATCATTTAATTGAAATTTGAGGTTGGTAAAAAAATGACGTCTATTTCTGACAGATAAAAAGTGTCAGCGTCACTTAACTATTGGCAACAACTTAATCACGAATACATGCTAAATCGTATATTCGTCGCCACTTCTATGACCTTCTTCCTGATTTCAACCAATTTATCTGTTACCTCTCGCTAAAAACATTTAGATCTAGTATTAAAGAATGTGTCTAGTTAATTTTTAAGACCCTATTCATTGTCAAATGTACCGCTACAAATTTCATCTAGCGACCTATCGATCAGAAAAGGCGGTAGTTTGTTGGCCTGGAGCATATGGCGGGACCAAAAGAGCCTTCCATTGAAATTCTTGCGAAGCAGCTTTGCTGTATATTGTCGGGAATTGTCGTAGGGAAGGATGACTTAGCCTTGTTTATTCGATCCTTTCGGTTGGTTAAAGGCTTGTTCACTTGATATCACCGATTCAAACGCAGATCGTTGTTAACCATCTAGCTTTTGTTAGGAATTTCCCAGTGCATAGAACTCTTGTAAAGTACCGAATGCAAATCATGCTTCATCGCAAACGTAAATCTGATTCTTTCTTTTATGGATTAGGCAAATTACCAGAAGCTCCTCATTGTTTCCTCATTTTCTATTAATCTGAAGATACCAGCTCTGGCTACTCAGTAGCAGTTGTTATAGGTGGCAGTTGGAAAAACCTATTTTGTAGATTCCTAGCCCGCGTGAGGGTGTGAGAGCAATAATTTGTAACGTCCATATTTCGCCTTGGAAGACATGTAGGCTCCAAATTTTCGATAAACCACTATAAATCTAAGAGGACGGACTATTGTCGCGTATCAGTGGCCCATTTTCTCGATCAATGCACGACTTGTTTGTGTTCATTGAACAACCTCGGATGGCTGCCTCAAACAAAACTCATGCCCAAATCCGAGACACCATCTTAGAGCTTTGCAAACCACCTTCGAGCAGTGCTCTCAGGCATGAAGCCTAAACCGTACATGAAGCAAATATTGAAAGCTGCAGTTTACATTTTTTTGATCTTGACAAAAGGCGAAATGAAGTAGATGTCTAAGATGCACCTATCGGGAGCATAAATCTCGAGTCTGATCCCTCGAGAGGTTTCGTCCAACACGCTTTTTCTATTAAAATATACTGGGACATAGAGATGTCCTAGTCTATTTTCAATAAGTTACAGAGATAACTTCCTTGTTAACATGATTATTATTCTAAAGTAGGATGTATTACATCTATTTCTTACATATTTTAGACACTTTAGGGCTTGAATACATTTAAAACCTGTTTACCTATTTACATATTATAAAAGAAAGAAAATTACTTCTGCACTAAACATCGATAGCTGATTATTCGTCCCGTAGTAACAATGAGGTGCCTTTCAATAGGCACTCGAGTTTAGAGCAGAAATTTTGGGTATTCTTGGCTTTGGGTACTTTACAATGTCCAGCTCTCCGAGAACTGCACAACTCTGTTATGAAATTTAGCTCGGCACAACCGAACAAGTCTGTACCAGAAGTAGAGTATGGTGCTAGAATGTTGATATAAATATTTTTATAGAAAAAGACATCCCGCACAAAATAACTAGTAAAAAAATTTAGTTAAAAAAAACATAGACATCTTATAAATTGAAAGGGCGTTTGAGTAGATTTAGAATTACCTCATGGCTACAGGCAATAGAGCAACATCCCCCTACCAGCAATCGGTTTTTTCTCTGTTACAGGTAGTGGTACTGCAGACTCTGTAAGTGGTGGCCGTTTCGTTCGCTATTGTGCTGGCGTGCACGTTGCGATCTGAGGGAAACTCTTCGAAAGCTCTATGACAAGTCCCGGTAGGGTTTGTGTCGATGAAAACTGGCTTAGCGGAAGCTGAACTTACATGTCGTGCAGAGATGATTAACTGTACTTTTAGCTTTGTTGATTACAAATAATACGATAGAAATTTCGTGAGACCCTTCGCTATACAGTGCAGGTTACGTGTCGCCTACATAAATTCGTTAAAACATACAATGATACTAAAAAGGAAAAAAAATATTAGAACATTAAGTGTTGTTAAAAAAAAGTGAATAGAAGAACAATGGCTTTTAATATTATTGGGACTGAATTGTCATACGCTTCTGCTGTGAGAAACACCGAAAGCCATTGCGTCACGTTAAGTTCACTGAATTACTGTTCTTATTTTACAACCTGTATGTAGAACCAATATTTTGTTACCAATCCAGGCAAGTGAATAGAGTCTCCACGATGAGCGTGGGGAACTCGAGAAAGCAACCCCCGGTGTTAAAAATAACTATTCGTCTTAAATTCGAGCTAAAAATAATTACATTAACTATAAAAATAATATTTCGTGACAACTAGGCCACGAGTAACAGGCTAATGGAATTTCGTAATTATTCCTAAAGCAGCTACGGGAGTTCACAATATTTGCTATGACGTGTAGTTGCGTTGGATCAACGAAAACGCTACTACGCTTCATCGGTGTGATGATTTGTCTCATCCTATCACAGGTTGAAGGTCAAGTGTTAGCATTGTTCAGAGTATAAATACAACGCTAACTGACGATTTTTCGAAGGAATCCTCAGTTTCTATAAAACAGAATTAATAGAGTTCAAATTATATTCGGCCATCTTGACGTTTATCAGGGCATTTTAATACCTCTGAATAACGATAACGCAACTTGGTCTAATGAGGTACAGACAAATCAATATTTGATTACCTGATGGTGCGCATCCGCCATATTTGCCTCAGCTAAACATTATCAGCCGTTACGATTCATATTCAGTTGTTAACAGACGCTATTCTAATTTGGAGTGGTACGAGCTTACGTTGTGCGCTAAATAGAACCATGTGTTCATATCAAGTACCGGTAGCTATTTTGCCGTCGATTGATTTCACCGGATTATCTTGCGCCCAGCTGAGCGTTAGCTTCAGGTCGAGTATACACCAACAATTATCCCACTGCATTTACCCTACTCCAGCTAACGCATTACTACCTTTCCACGGTGATTTCATAAGCCTATTCAAGCATGAACGTATTTGGCCGGTGTTACGCGGCTTCTAGGATTTCTTTTTGCTTCTACATCTCTACAGTGATTCGCTTGTAATTCCCTTTAGACCCTGTTGCATAATTCTGCTATAGCGTAGCAACTATTCGGTCATTGTCTTTCATCAATTACATCATCAGTTCGATGATCCTGCTCATATTGAAGCTTTGATTCTTTTCTAGTAACTGTTTACTCTGCAGCACCAATCCCGTTATCCGGTTGAAGTGCTCACGTAGACGTATCTCGTCGATAAAACTAACTGTTTCTTCTACCCTTATTTCCCGGTAATGAGTAGTAGGTTCAAGAGAAATTAAGCCGGGCCATAATTATATCAGTTGGAACAACAATTATGTCCTGAAGCCAAAACCAAATTGAACTAGAACACGTTACGACTCTTTATTAACAAATCGACACTAGCCTGAGGACTCTATGGAAGAACAACTAAAGAGGCCGGAAACAACGAACTTACGAGAACACAAAATACAGATAGCAGGGAAGCTTCTGTCGACAAGGGGAAGCTAAAGCTTCTCTTCGCAGCATAAACTATTCCCAGATCACAGGTGTCGCGAGGAGGCATTTAAAAATGGGCGCGGTGGCGCGAGACCAGTTACCGCTAAGTAGTGCCGCCTGGGAGAGCATTTTTTGCGGATCACTAAAGATTTGTCCAGCAAACTCGTGTGAACTTCGAGTACGTCTGTCGTTACCCTTGCACCAGCGGCCTACGCGGCAAAAAAGACGCGTCCATCCAGTGATAAGTGCTTGTAGATTTCCGTGCGTTGCTGTCCAGCCGTGTTGAATGGGCCGCAACGCCAACAGGGTAGTAACCGAAAAATTAGCGAGCTAAAAATCACTATGGCTTTATCACTGTGGTCTTGGAATGCCGTTGTTCTTTTAGGAACAGCCACTGTACAAGGAGTTGACCTTGCACGCACTTCGTTCGACGAAAATGAACTCGAGAAACTTAGCACCGCTAACCTCAATAAACCCATCACAATGCGAGTTACGGATGAGGAACGGAGTCCGTATGGGGCCGTTGTGCTTCAGCCCCGCGAGTCAAGGATTGTTAGAGCAGAATGCGACGGAGAGCTCGCCTTCGTATTATTCCAGGTTCAGTGTTCACTTGTGCTGTCGTCTTATCGAATGGCGATTCATCAAAACTTACTGATTCGGTATAACGACATTGAGTGGTTTTATATCATTCTAGCCCAGCTTTATGTTAACTAAAATCAACTAAGTAAGCGTCACATTTCCAGCTTCAACCATAAACAAGTTATTGTACTAGTAGCCTCGATTTCTTTGCTGCACCCACTCCTTAAAGTATATATATATATATATATATATATATATATATATATATATATATACATATATATGCATAACGTAATTATTATTCGCATTAACAGTAACTGCACCGTAGCGGACTGATTCCACGAAGAAAAATACCTTTGAACAGTGGGGTGCGGAGCTCAATTATATTACTAACATTGGGAGGTGCTTTAGATGAGTTGTTAAGGGGCATAAATGGACGTCAAACACAGGATTTGTTCAGGAATCTAGAATCATTCCAAATTATTGTGGCAAGACTTATGCGAAAAAAGCTATCGTAACGCCGTATTAAATATTTCTATATGATTGCGACGATCATCTGTTTACTTGTCACTCTCTTTGTGCTATAGCATTAAGAGAGCGACACTGTCAAAAGAGCGTTACATTGTCGCTTTTATGAACAGCATATGGATAGGGTAAAAAGCGGGTTAGCCTGACAAAGCACTAATTGACCTATCGTTTTGGAAATTTTCTTTTGCAAGTCAGTGATATAGATAACGATACAATATTTCAATAATTGATTCCGAAATGAAACGGATGCTTAAGATATTACGCAAACCGTTTATGTCTATTTTTCACCAGTATACTTATTTTTGCAGAAAGTTTGCAGAAAGTGAGGTGCCTGTGATTGTTGACATTGCAAACTTTTACATTACGAAACAATGGGGCTTCCTTGCGGACTCAAGCTCGACTAAACATATCGAACGACGCGCTCAACCTTCTGAGTAGAAAAGCAATCTTATACTTGTAACCGTATCTAGATAAAACGAACGCACTATCAATCAGCCGCTACGTGACGTCAGCCAACGCTGCTACTTGTCGATAATTAAACGGATGTTTTACGCTGAACATTTTTGGTTCAGGACCGCGGCACTTGCATATAGGCTTAACTATTTTGATGTTACTCAAAATTCCTGGTTGCCCATTCCCGTTTACTCCTTGAACTCATAATAGCATAGAAAGTGTGTAAATGCAGCAGTTTTTTTTTTACCGGGAAAGCCAAAACCCCTATTTTACGCGAAAAGCTAGCTCTGTCGTTAAAAATCGGGCTAAAAAATAGATCGCTTTCAATAAGATTGAAGCTTAATTAACTAAAGAATTTATGGGGAAAGGTGCCCTGCGTGGGATACAGTCAGATATATAAAACATGGCTAACAAGACAATCTGACTAGAAGTCATTATATTTAGAACTAAACAAAAATATATACCGGTCTTCTTTTAACAGTTTTTGGTAAAAGTGTTAAAAAAAATACTAAAAATTGTTCTTAGAATCTTTCATAGGTGCTGGTAGGAAGGCGACGGCTAAGCACGGGCCACAGTATCTGTGGGCCGGCAGAAACTAGTATGGTAGTTATTGATATCTAAAGACTACATCTCGATTTTTATTTGTTTTTTGTCTATATAGGTCTTTGATTCATATTGTGCCTTTGCGATCGGACAAATAGTGTCCATTGTCTTAGCAAACGATTCGTGCATACGAGGTATTCTTTAAAGAATATTTGGCTACCACCCTCCATTATATTACCGTGCAGCGCATGTCTTATATCATTAATATAACATACGGCCAGATAAACGATTGTATATTCTCACAGATTTTATTCATTCGACATTCTACTCGTGTCTTTTCTACATTTACTCATCTTACAGGCGCATACAAAATATGGCGCGAATGTAACACTTTCGTATATCGGGGACTGGTCTGGTCCGCCTCCTGCGAACGCAAGTCATCGCTCTCGAAACGCCGGACTCATTAGGCCGTGCACTAACGCTGCTGTCAAGCTGACCAATGAAAAATTTGACCAAAATCTCACTGTTCTCCTCATTGCTGTCGGATATAGCAGAGTGGACCCTATACCCGGTGGATGTGCATTGGAGTTTCCCTTACGAATATCACCATTTCTTCGCCTTCAGTTGGCTTCGCCCACCGAGATTAGTCTTGAGTTTCAGCATGCTCGAGCTGGCAGCCTCATGCAGCATCCCACATCGTGCTCTGTCAGCTTTTCTTTACTTAGTTACGAGATCTATTTGTATTATCTGACACCCAGTGAAGACTACCACGAAGCACTTCAGTTAATGAGTGATTCACGACGTATGCCACGTCATGCAACTCGAGTGCACGCGTCAGAGACGCCGCGAACCCGCACTCTTTTCGTAGCTTATCCCCAGACGAGGGCAATTTACAGTGTTCTTGTGCGTCAACTCTACAGGAGTGGTTATGAAACTTCTGCGGCTTACACCCCAGTAGCGACCCTAGGTTGTGCCGATTACCCTGATCTAGCTACTTGCCGAACGTCGACAAGCTCGGTTGTAGCTTTAGCCTTGGTCACAGCCTTAGCTCTACGCATGACACTTGCCGGACACCGCTTCCTCAAGACACAAATTACGGCTGCTTCATTCCTGCTGTTTCTGTTAGCCTTCGAGCCTCTGCTAATACCGGTCGCTGCGGTTCTTGCTTCAGCCCTAGGCTCTTTGTTTTTTCTAGGCCTGTGGTTCTTTTTCGGAATTCCCGTTTTGGCTGTCATACCGTCGGGATTTCTTTTGGGCCTGCTAGTTGCTGCATTTCTCTCGTTCACTCCCCTTGGAAACGTCTTGCTACTTCGGTCGGCGTTTGCGTTTCGCACCATGACCATCTGCAGCATGTTGAGTATTACAGCGTTATTGCTACCGACCACTCAGTTGCTTAGCATCGTTGCCTCATCAGTAGTTGGATCATTCTGCAGTCTGTACGCTGTCGATCGTGTGTTCCTGCATTCGACCTTCTCTAATATCGTCGATGTGGCTCGAGCACGTTTTGAAGCAACTACATCTATATACACCCACAATCAGGTACAGTATGGAGATACGTTAACAAAAAAGTATGGCCTAATCACAAATTTTAACCCACCGCTTCTGAAACCCCTGTAAAAGTGTATATATATATATATATATATATATATATCAAACTCGTTAATCCATTAAGAAAGTTGAAGGCACTGAAAATAAATAAATTAATTAATTATAATTATATTTACCCCTAACAGGTTCCATTTGCTATGGTAGACGTTGTATTCATCTTACTGTGGTTGGTTCTTTTGGTTGCGGGCGTTGTGATTCAGTATCGAGACAATCTGGAAATTGACCGCGAGTTTCCGGTTGCCCCTATAAAATTATTAAAAAGGTTAGTTGCCCAATATACAAAAATAATGAAATCAATGACATTTTCAAAATTGAAAATTTCAATTGCTTACTTAGACATGGAGTTTTTCCAAATTTTCCACGAAATTAGTAGATGCTTTCACGCCACACTGGTTAGATAATAGAATGCAAGTTAATGTTCTGCTGTATGTATTTTATTTTCCTCTAGGTACTTGCGGCGACAAAAGGGTCGACTGATTTGTACTTGTGTTAGCCGTTATGACGATGATGCGAGCCTTCTAATGCAAGATAATGCCGACGAGTTCCTACCTCCTGGATATAGCACTTTTCACGGACGAAATATTCTAATATGACCATTAGTTGTTTAAATTTATAATGGGTTTTAATAATGATATAAACAAGCCATCTAGAGTTAAACGAGGATGTGTTCTTCTTGGGAGCACAACCATGTTCTTCTGCTATCTGGCGAGATTTGCTCATACCCCATAATAGTTAGCACAAATACAGAGGAACTATCAGTATTCTGTAAATTTGAAAATAGCAGAGGATTTCCCGTCCAACCCATGTCAATAACATAGCACGGATGCTTACTCATCGTTTAACAGATATTCGCAAACCTCATGTTACTACAATCGGTCTCTTGATATGTGCAACCAATTACCGAATTGTTTCTCTGTCGCAGAAAGAACTACATTTTATGATACGAATTTTCCCGTAAAACGAATGAGCGTTTAGATGTATACATACTCATATTATTTGTTAGTACTTGTTTATTCATCAAGATTTTAATCATGTGTCTAAGTTAAACAGCTATTTCTTACGCTAACAAAGCTAAATTATTCAGATTTATCTAGGGAGTAGATTCAAAAAGGCAAAGCTTACGAGATTCGTCGAAGGTGGTGTACCTTTGACAGAATCTCCAAATATGGAGCTGTTTCCTTTAAGGTATGATAATATTTGCTTCATCCCTAAATCATCGGATGTGTTCGCTGTGAGAGTTTATGTTCACAACTGTAAATAGGTTATATATAAACCTAGTAGTCATATTAGAAATGGAGATAACAGAGATTATTTTGTATGTATGACACAAGAGAATGTATTAATAATAAACTTATATTTATGACAAACACACAATGTTTTGTTAATCTCAGTAGCGAAATGCAGAAAATTATTCATTTAGAAATTGTTGTAGGTAGAATTTCGAATAAACTACCATGCCGGAAATCTGACTTCGATCATGGACTATATGGCACTATGGACATTTTTCTAGGAAATAAATATAACAGAAGTACAATTATGAAGTGGCAGTGTTTCACTGTGTCTTACTTCAGATAAAAGAAGCAGCAGTTGTTTTCGCCTGTATTGTCTGATTGTTGGTTTCTTTATAACGGATAGCATTATAACGGATTTTAAATTGACACCGTACGCAGTATAATGTTTTCTACGAACAATTAATGTAACCGCGAAAAAAAGACGATACAGATCGCCGAGCTAGTGTATTAAAGCTATAATGATCGAGTGCTAGAATATAGAAAAGTAAATAAATGAATAAACAACTTGTAAATAAAAACGAATTATTGGACGAAAGACTAGAAATTAAGCTTTTTATGTAAATTAAAAGCAGATCCACAGTTCGTGGTGCAAGTGGTTCTTGGACGTGACTATGCATTTTTATTTGTAATTACAAATATCAGTGGAATATATTCAGGTTCGAGTATGATTTAAACCTATTATACATTCGATAGACGTTACTGAGAATCAGGTAAAGGTGTAAAACTGCCCTAAAAAATGCCCCTGACACCACATTAACCAGGGCTTTCATTAAAGTAAGTTGTTTGTTACAGGTAGGATTAATTTTGCAGAATGCATTTTTATTAAGTATCTAGAGTAATAAATTTTAGATATGTCAGTGAGTCAATTACTTATCGCACTGCACATACCACATAGGATATAGATATTACTACATTGAAAACTAAACAACTGGTTTTTCTAGAAATCTGAATGATATAAAATCAATATCTGGACAGAAATATAGCTTTGCATGTTAACCTGTTTTGCTTCAAAGGGAATCAACCTTGCTGTCTAAAGAACTGCTCTAAAGAATTGCTCTGCTGAACATTTCGAATCGAAATAGATTTCCTTTAAACACCATAACACAAAATGTTTAAATATAGCAACTGGTTCAACATAGTAGTTACTTAGTGCTCCAACTCTATATCGAAACACCCCTAGAAGCCCTCGATGTGAGTACTGCACGGGCCACTAAAGATCGCGGCTCCTGTCGGTCGTGCTCAAACGGCATCTACTAAGGAGCGACGATCTATCTGTGTTAACGAAAAAAAAAACAACCCGAAACACAGAGGCATGTCATGATCAAGGTAGCACTGTTGTAATCTCATACACTTACGCAGCAACTCAAATCATATGAAAGCCGGACAGTAGGCACAAGTCTTTAGAAAAGTACAGAGGAGTCACTGTAGACGTCCATTAACATTTTTGATTGTTTATATCATCTTCTGTAATTAAAGTGGCCAAATGTGGGATTGTGTGCGTCGTAGTATATTCGGAGAAGTGTAATTCATAGGTCGGCCGGCATAGCCAACTGTTCAGCTGGAACAATTGGAGAGCGCAACTTGCCTGACCATGATGGACACGGCAAATGGAATGGGGCCGGAATTAGGCGATCTTGACTTTCAGTATGCGGACGCCGATTCGCTGCAGGTGAGTGTGCGTGCGTTTGTAAAGTATATATATGTATATATATATATATTTCTATAATAGTTAAAGCTTACAAATGGAAGTGAGATAGAGAGTCAATTATCCAAATCTTAGAATTACTGTTATGCTACAAATTACATATCTATAATTCAACAGGATTGCCAAAAGACGAACAGCGTTGGTCGCAACTGGTGCTGTTATATACCCTATGCTGAATATTTTGGGTTTTTTGGAACACAACGATAGAAGAAAAGACTGACCGAAGATGCCTTCACTTTGTCAGTTACATTCGTTTGCTAGTTTGTCTCTTTTAAATTCTGAATAGAATATAAGTAGCTCTGTGTTCAGACAGGTTTTGAATAATTACACAACTTGGTATTGTATGTCTCTCTAAAAGTTACCTAGTATATAAGAAAAAAGTACACCGCAGTTGAGATGCCAATTACCTGGTAAAAAGCCAATTTTGACTAAATACTAACGCAGTTGCGGACACAAAATTCAAAACCTGTATTATATAAAAATACTATAGTGATGAGCGAATGAAACTTAGTTCATGTTAAAACAAGTATTTGGTCAGAATCAACAAGTGTAGAAAAAATGAATTTTGTAGGTGGAGCTTTCGGAACTTTATTCGTACTCAGAAGAGCCAGAGCTCCGATTGGGCCCTGAAAAATTAACTCGCTTTGTGGGTGCTTCCGCTTGGCGGTCAGGAAACGAGATAGCTATCGTTCGGCGTCTTCTGGAAGCAGCTGAAAGCGCCAACGAGGACATCCGGAGTGACGCTGTCAGCGCATTGCTTTATATTTCGCAGGTACTTGCTACAATAAAAAACCTAATAAATGTATTTCGTTACACACTGATACTTTTAATTCATTATTAATAATATCAGTGTCGATTATTCTAAAGTGTAGCGTATCGCTTGTTAAATTAAAAATGAATATATACCTTAAAACGTGTCATAACTTTTTGAAATTTGCTCATGTTAATATTTGCCGAAATGACGATGATGTGAGCTTTTCAAATCTATAGGTTTTTCAGAATGATTCAATAATGTAAACGTGTCTACACCGAATTAAGTTATGGCTGATGTCTTGCGGCGATGTTTCTGGTACGTTACACTTTTAGGGAACGTGGGCCGAAGCTGACGTTACAGAACTTGAATTGTCGGAGAGGAGTGCGCGCGTGATTGCAAACGTGCGCACAAATTGCCTCCTACTTTATTGTCAGGGTGCGTGGCCCCTGTTGCTCCAATTACTGAGACTGGAAACCGAACGGCCAGCTCCGCCAAGTAATACGCTGTGCCTTGCAGATTCACGGAAGCTTCGTACAATCGTGTCTCTGCTGTGTACTATTGCTGAGGTACAAATGTTCTAATCCTTCACACTTTCTGACGTGATATAATTATTATATTAGTGTGCAAGATAAGGACATAAGCAACTTTGCAACATGAGCAACTTTTCAGCAGTTTGCAAGTTCTCTTTAAATGTCGTGCATAAGCAGAGATGTGATTCATTTCTATCATTATAAACTATCATTGTTCGATTTTACTTATTCTAGGTATTCCGTCATATTGGGCCAGACTCTAGCAGGAGTGAACGGTTGCTAAAAGCCACTTTCTGTGAAGAATTGTCTCAACCGACCAGTAGCTCTCCAGACAGTTTGGTGGCGTTGAGTCTCCTTCAAATGGTGACTGCGTTTTGCAATGGGTCATCTCCGCATTTTCCTGTAAAAAAGCTACTTCTTTTATTATGGAAATCACTACTGTTATCGCTTGGTGGCATTGAGGAGCTCAAACAACTCAAAGCCGATGCTCGCCAGAGAGTAGGTCGAACCTGAATCTAAATGAACTTTTCGCATCTTTCTATATTTTTAATTAGCAATTTATAAGCTAAGTTATACACATTATATATATATATATATATATATATATATATATATATATATATATATATGTACCTCTAATATGAGGCACGTATAGCAAATGTTGCATTTAGCTAGTTTGTAAGCTTCAACGCACATTTTTATTTTTCAAATAAAAGTCATATCGTATAAATGAGCAAGTAATACAGAAATTTACCTCTGATTAGCTTTAAAATATGTATATTGATGTGAAAAAATAACGACAATCGACGTCGTTTCCTTAATTAGGAAGGTCTGCCGGCAGCATTGCCTGACACGACAGACGTAGTAAAGGGAATGCGGCCTGCATCGCCACCTGCCTCCCTAGTAGACATGATTGAGGTGCAGCAACAGAGGAAGTCAAGCCGGGGCCAATTCAAACGTCAAAGCCTAGTGAAGCAGAGTTCAATGGATGACCAGGAACCTGGAGCGGGTGGGGGCCCACCGAATGGAGGGGTTGTGCCCGAACAGACTAATATTGACCCAACCGAATTGCCAGACGGAATGCCTGATGAACGCCCCCTGTAAGAAGCAAGCAGACTGTTATCATCTACGATAATAGATCTCTTTACATATTTGCTCAAGATGTCAATCTGTATAGAATTACAGCTGAATTAGCTTAATTTGAGTTGAGTTAAAGAAAAAAACACCTTTATTTACAAATTAGTATAATGAAATCCGAATACGTATATATACTAACTAGGTACTGGTATGGATAGCAAATATTAACAGGAAAATAATATAACCCTGTGAATTAATTTGGGTGATGTATTCGGTTTCGTTGCATCATTAGCGGTGAACCAGCGGCGGTAGGTGAGCCACAAATCGCACGTTCAGACTCTCAAGAGAAAGACACCAAAAATGGTTTAAGTAGCGAAAGAGCGAACAGCGACGATAAGGAAAAGACTTCTAAAGATCGGCGAGGACTGCCGTGGCAGCCAAAAGCTGCGTTACGAGACATTGATAATTTCCTCGCTCAGGCGCGAATGAAATTTGTCTGCTTTCAACTGCCAAATGACACGTGAGCGATAAACAAAATGCTCCCGCTTCTTATTACCTTTAAGATTCGTGGATTTCAGTCATAAAAATAGATCACATAGTTTAGTAATATACGCTATCTGCCGATGATGTTCACTGTCTATTTTATTGAAATGTACACGTCAAAGTATCCTTCGTAAGGAGATGTTGTGACAATTTGCTGTTAAAAACTTAAACGCTACTTTCTACTATTTCTGCCTATAGGACTACGTTAGCTGGTTTGCCAGAACCAATCCTTCAAGGTCTGCGAGTCCTCGAACGCCACAAGTACACCCCGTTAAGTGAAGCTCAAATTATGCGCGAGATGCAAATTGAGAGACATCCATTCACTCATCAAGTCGAATTGCAGGATACACCAGCAGAACGGTCCGTGGCTTACTCGTTTTTCACTAGAATACCATAGCTAGCAAATATTTCAATTCTACACCGTCATTTCATGCGTTTCACATCTCTTATTGTAAATCGAGAGTACAGATGTTTTACCTAACCGACAGATTCATCAACGGATAAGCTGTTGCCTTCCTTTCTAGGCTCTATCAGACCCTTCTTCCGCAGATGCCTCAACATATGATCTCGTTGCTAAAGATTTTGCTGGCCGCTGCGCCAACTTCGAAGGCCAAAACCGAATCAGTCAACATCCTGGCGGATATTCTGCCGACCGCAGACGCGTCACCCGAGAATTGTGCGTCCGGTATCCAGGGCGCCCTTCTTGGTTTTGATATTAATCGACATAAGGTAATTACAAAAAACCTACAATGGTCTCTCGCCGTTTGTAGTCGTCTTTATTATTATAGGACACTACGAATGTTGACAAAAACTCATGGATTGACTGTCCTGCTGTTGTCTTTTTTTGTTTGCAGGAGGTTCTGGTGAAGGCAATCGCGGCTGTACTGTTACTACTATTGAAGCATGTAAAAATCTCACATTGTCTTCAGTTTGAATACATCGCGCAGCAGCTAATGTTTGCCAATTGCATTCCTCTTGTTTTAAAATTCTTTAATCAGAACGTGGTATCATATGCGGCGGCGAGACACACTCTACCTTTCTTCGAATTTCCTAGAGTTGTTCTTGAACGATCTTCCGAGTTGGTGCACGAAATGATGGAGGGTTGCACTGAGGTAAAACTTTAGTTTTTGCTAGCATTTTGTATGAATTGCTCAAATGTTTCAAATGCGGATTTTCGAAATACCGTTTAAAAAAGGGCACATGAACTGGCAGGATGACAACATTATTGGAAAATACGGTTTCTCTTACACATATGATTTATGCATCATTGGAAGATAGCTGTTCAAAGAATGAGCCTTTCTAATATTTTTATTGCTCACATTGTGATGTTTCTGGGTGCGCTCTCTTCGTTCTATGTGATGGTACGATAAACGATTTAGGTGCCTGATCAATCGTACTGTTGGCGAAACGTCTTCGCGTGCATTAACCTTTTGCGCATCTTGAATAAACTGACGAAAAATAAGCATTCGCGCGTCATGATGTTGGTAGTGTTCAAAAGCGCTCCGATCCTTAAGCGTGCTCTCAAGGTAAAAAATAACCCACGCTCATTGTTCGTTTACGCATTTGCTATATACGTTTATCTAATCCTTGCACAATGTATTCTTACCGTGATCTTGACGCATGCTCTATATCTGCAGCTATAGTCTGCTGTTCAGAAATCACACGCCTATGTATTATGCAATTAATATTTACTATCTTTCTCATTAAAATAGGTACGCCAGGCTATGCTGCAATTATACGCCCTAAAGTTACTTAAAATGCAAACTAAGTATCTGGGTCGGCAATGGCGAAAAACAAACATGAAGACTATGTCAGCTATCTATCATAAAGTACGCCATCGCCTTGGGGACGACTGGGCGTACGGAAGTGATCTTGATGCGCGTCCTTGGGATTTCCAGGTAAAAAAAATACATGAGTAATAAATAAATGCAATGAAATTCGTAAGCGACTAAGAGGCCAATTCATTTTCCAAGTTATTCACAACTAGAAATTTTGATACTGTTTCTCCCTTTTTTCTCTATGTTTTATTTTTGGGAAAGTAGTTCCGGTCGTTTTTTAATTGCGCTGACTTCATTCAAGTTGTCTCTTTACTAAAAGCTATATTCTTTCGATTGCTTCTTATGAAGGCGGAGGAATTTTCACTCCAGGCGGCTATTAACGATTTTCATCGACGGCGGTATGATCGTTTACCGGGAGCTCATCCAGGTGGCGCTGGCAATCAAAACAGTACGGGAGGTTCCCACGGCGCAGAGGTGGATCCTCTTCTCGATTTGGAACCTGTCGACAATTGTTTTCTTTCTGTGCTGGGCCGCCAGTTCGAATTACTTCCAGATTTCAAAGAGAACTATCGCTACTGGCTGAAATGTCAGGTCTACGATGCGGCCATTGAATGGGAAAAACTGCTTGAGTCACCTAATCTTTAACCTGTAGAGTATCGTTTGTACCCATAGATGAACAAACACTAAGAAGAATCCTAACTGTAATTTTTTTTGGCCGAATTTGACGTGTGATTGTATATGAGAAATACGTAATGATGCGTATGGTGAACTCAGTTTGAATTGTCCAAAGTTTTTTGCAGTACCGTCCTGCTAAGCAGTAGCTAAAACTGGTAACTTAGAAACAGAGCTAATAGCTTCCATATGAAAGATTGAAAGAATCTTTCCAAGCCAGCTACGAAATTAGCCAGATCGTTAAGCACCGGATAGCCCCGGAAAAGCCAAATAATACTGTAACGTGTAAATAAGATAAATGGTACAATTAATATCAACAATGCTAATAATAAAAATAATGAAACGATCGTCTAAGTTTGTCCTAAAATATATTTATATCATTTTTGTCATTTATGAATACGAACTTAATGTGAATTGCATTAATGTAACTAATAAATACATTAGGTTCATTGTCGTGTGCACTGAGCTTTAGCAAGTCGCGTGGGCACATAAGGGTTTACACGCCGTTGATAGATCGCCAACGGTAGAAAAGCAATTCAAATATTAACGTCTGCATAACGTTTTGTAACTACTGGTTTTCTGATTTAAAAAAAATTGTAATGAATTTTAATTGACTGAAGAAACTTCACTGTTAACGCTTATAATGGAATAATGGAATCACATGAGTAAGATGTAAACAAAGGAGCCTGGTACAGACTGAAAAATATTTATGGGTTTTCCACAACGATTTGCTTAATAAGTTGACTTTATTCTTCAAATTCAGTGCATAAGATGCATACATTTTGAACCAAAAACTTTTATTATGCAGCGCATATATTCCATAACTTCTATTTCTGGTTTACCGTATCATATTATAGGTTCTAAAACCAAATGTTTTTTTGTCTTATAGGTTTATCCTGTTGGCGACAATACTATTAAGCGTGATTCCCATAGACGAATATGTGTAAACAACTTTATTCTTAAAAGATCGATTTTGGTGCCGTATCAATGACACAGCGTTATAAACGAGATGTTCCTTCTATGAACAAATTGAGCGGACTTGACTGTGCTGACTGCCACTAATATGTATCTATCAATGGCATATAAACTGAGAAACCCATTTCTAAACTATACAGCCCAGGTAATTAACTTTTTTTTTTTTTTTTATATATACATCAATTGTATATCGTATATACAGGTATTATTCACAATGCACATGTATACATAATTATTGTTTTGATTGTGCGAAGTTTCCGAGATAGTTTTATCGGTTGACTGTTAATAATTACGCATAAGGAGAGGTTGTAGTACGTTGATACAACAGTACGAAAGTACACGTAATTGATGAATTTAGTACGTAAAGATCAATGTGGCTAACGGGTTCAGATCCCTCAAGGATGCGAACATGTCTTCATTGACATCACGCAACTCTGTCAACGCAAGCGATGTGTAATGGCACTCATTCACCTGAGCATTTCCATAACCCGCGGCAGATGATCTAACCTTTGCCGCACGTATGCTGGCATCAAAGAACCTTCGGGATACTCAGTGCGAATGCCATGACGATCTGTAAACACAACTTGCTTTCGCCCCGCCAAAACAGATAATTGAGTCTTATCATAGAATTGTACACAGACGCCACCACCGGCCAGAGGCTTTCCTAAACCCACACCATCAACGTGGACTTCACGTACTGCACGAGCACCACGTGCATCGGATTCTGGTACTGACTCCGGACTTCGATCAACCAAGGAAGTAAAGTTAGTTGCAAGAGTGAAGTTCGATTTTGACGGAGTGTCTGTGGCCGCACGCCTTCCGAAAATAGCGGGGTACATATCCGAGCTGGGGTCTACTGCCGAGATGGCTTCTTCAAGCGACTTTAGCTTGACCGTAAGACCTTTCATTAATTCATGATCTTGTGCGTCCAAGGCCATTATACTCACGATTTGCCCATTTAACTTCACTGAACCGTCGGTAAGTTGAGTCAGTTTCTTCGTATTACCAATCTTGAGCTCTACGTCGCCGTTTTCCATAAGGAAACAGGACGTATCTTTCTGAAAAAGGTAATAAAATGCGATGAAATGTATCATATTTTTTTCTTTTTTGAATTCTTTACCTCATGATAAATAATGACACGTATCCTTATTAATCCCAGAGACCTGCTATGTAGGGTTATGACTCTAGAAATTCTGCGCTTAGATATACTGTAAACTAAAAATGCATAATGAATTTCTGAAGGACGCTGTGAGTTAAAGGTGAATGGGCTGTGGATTATTTGTACCGACGAATCCTGGATTGCATGCTATGATCTTTCACCTGATAAAGAATAATCTTCACAGTCTTTTGGCGCACAAGTTGTACAAATCTTGATGCAATGGCGTACTTCTTCCACAATGCCTGTGGTAGACGATCAAAGCAATAGCGATCATCAGTTCCGTCAATAGGCAGTGCAGGTGGTTGAGTGGGGTGCCAAGCGGCTCCTGACCTATACGCAACAATCCAGCGACCGTCTGCGGATACCCGCAAAACGCTAGATACATTTTCGTTTTTTAAGAACTCGACGCACACCTGTATTGAACGCAAAGCCTTATATTAGCTGTCATAGTATCTATACTGCTTGATTTTATCACAAGCCAAATATAATTGTAATACGCGAATTTTCCATAGAAGTCAACGCTATTAAAATTATCGGATTTCCTAAGATACTTTCAAGTTTATTTCAATGTATCTTGGCACTTAATACCGCAAATTTGGCAAGGAAAATGTTTATAACAAGCAAAAATTTTGAACTTCGTCTAGAAGAACTGTGGTACAGACCTCGCCGGAATCGAGGATTGAGAGCATTAATTTGCCGGATTTGATTCGGGTGGGCTTCAGTCGAGTTGTGTTTAATGGCTCACTCGGTCCTCTGAAACCCTCCGATAGACTTGTTCCTTTTTGGTCCCTGAAGAATAAATGAACAAAAAAGTAACGTTGGAAACTCGAGTATCGAAAACGCTCGAATAGATCTCATAACATTAACTGAATGGTATATGGACAAAACTGGCATTTCAGAATATACTAAACTATACCAGGATGTACCTGATCATACGAATTCATATGATTTCAATTATTTCATAGAAATGAGCATAGTATACCCACCTGGATGGCACTCGTTTCAGCAATGAAGTGCTCCGACACATGAAAGGATGTGAAAGGACATCGGCTAGGGGCAGCCGCTTCCGAGGATCCTTCTGCAAAAGGCGCTCGATAAGATCTCGGGCCTCAACAGACAAATGACTCGGCAGATACACGCTACTCATCACAACTTTTGTTAACGTGCTACGGACCTAAAATGAAAAATATAAATGATAATCAATAAAATAATCTTTATTTTAAGTATAGATATAAACTATGGTGAGTAATAGAATAGGTTACCATCTGTATATGAAACTTTTACCTTCAAATGCACGTACTTCAGTTAAGAGAGAAACGGCGGACAATGCCAGAGTCAAAGCCCGAAGTCTGTAAATACATGTCTAAAGTTAAACGGGTCTCCGGACTAAATTATTAATTAACCAAACAAAATTACCTAGCTGAAATAAAATCGACGCAAACTTTCGATGAAAAACGTTTTTCCAAAAACTAATTAAGATTAGGCCGGGTTACCTACCTTGAAGTCGTGGAAAGGTGGCGCACCAGTAAGGAACGTATATAGCATGCAGCCAAGAGACCAAAGATCGACTTCTAAACCGTGCTCAGTTCGGGTAGCGATTTCGGGAGGAATATAGTTGGGCGTGCCGCACATCGTAGTGTGTTTCTCGTTCGCGAAACGCAGCTGAGTTGCAAGTCCAAAATCGGCTATTTTCACCTGTTGTTCTAATGTGAGCAGAAGGTTGCTCAGCGATAGATCACGATGAAGAATTCTGTGATTCTGAAGATACTGCATCCCATGAACTATCTGATAGCAACGAGAAGATAACGAGCACAATTAACATTCAACGAGAGCATAAACTCGAAATCAGACTTCTGCTCTGCAGACAGGTGCTCACGCTTGTATTTGTAAGGAATTACGCTACCAAGCGCTTGCAACAATGCACGACATCATCTAGGATGCAAGCAAATCCAGTAATATGACTAAGATAATTAAACCAATTTAGCTAAACCAAAGTAGTAAAAAAGAGTGTAGTAAATAGAGAAGGTATATATGGGATGTAAATGAACCAAATTCACCTGTACAAGAAAATGTCTTGCTTCATTTTCGTCGAGGGTACCCCGCTGTTCAAGGTACTTCTGCATTTCTCCGCCGTGGCAAAATTCCACCACGAGATAAACATGCTTGTCATCCTCGAAAAATGTTAGAAGTTCGAGAATAGATGGATGATGTAATCGACAATGTATAGAAACCTTTTTGAACAAACACAAACAACAAAGGTAATAGGTTTTGTTAATTCAATTGAATTTTGCATAAAATAAGTTTTAAAGTAAATAAAAAATAAAATACAAAAAGAGCTATTTAATATATGACCGATAGGTTAATTATCCAAACAATGTGCATTTGCAGCTAACCCATACCTCTTGTTGTACGCGAGACGTCAATCCCGCTCGTCTCATTTGCTCCTTGTCAATCATCTGAAATACACTCATTTCGGTAACGTGAAGGAAGTGTCATTATTAAAAATTCAGGTGACTAAGTAATCCGGAGCCAGACTACACAACATTCATGTATTAATCATATTGTGTTTATTTTACTATCTAACAAAGTTGTACATCTAATATGTCCGGTGAAACTACCCTTTTTTTTAAACTGCCTAAAATATCATAAACGGGATTAAAAAATAAGTAGATCTGATACACGAAAATTAGTCAAGGCATTATTATTCTTTTTCAGATTTAGTCAAAAATATTTTAATGATTGAACAGCTTACCTATATAAAATAAACATTAGGCAATGCTCTGACTATTTTTTAAACAACAATTTTGAAGAGAAGTATTTTACAGTTATGCTAATTGCACGAAGTAGTACAAAGAGTTGATTTATAAAGTCCACATCAAAAGTACATAAACATATCAGTATACATAAAATCCTATCGAAAATAACTATCGAATCCTAATTCATCAAGCTCCGTTAAAGCTGTCTATTAGTTTCGCGAATTTCATTCGTGCGACACTGAAAACATGAACGTGTTAGAAATTACTATAATAGCCCTGGCGCCATGTCTTGAACAATCAAGTCTGAGATTCGAGTTTGACAAACGATGCATACTAGATGATCTGTGTGAATTGAAGAAGTTAATTTAAAATAAATAAAAATGCTTCAAATTTATATTATGCCTGTATGAACGTATGAACTTCAGTAATTATACCATGAGTGCACCTATGCCCTTTCTCGATCTGTACCGGTTAAGCTAGAATAAACAGTCGCGTAGGTTAGTTAGCATAGGTGAAAGGTGTTCCTTTGTAGCCTCTGCTCTGCATATCCTTTTGCCCTGTTCTGTTTGCACTAATATTTAAGAAAGATTATCTATGCGATTATATAACACTTCTAATGACATCAAAAAGTTAAATAAGACACAGAATTACCTTAATGGCTACTTCTACGCCGGTTTTTCTGCATACCGCTTGATAAACCTTGGCAAAACCGCCTTTACCCAGTAGCTGCGTAACGTCATAATCCTCGATCCTTTGCCCGAGTTCTCGGGATAGATCCATCGGAATGGACTACACAGATCCACATGAACACAGGCACCACCGTTCAACACTATGCCACCATTGGATGCACAGAAAAACTTTGTCTTCAACCTTCTACCCAATCCATAAACAAAAACGTATTTTGTTTACGTGGCTCACTGTTTTCTATTTCAAATATGGCGCCAAGCCAGCATCAACAACTGTCAATACAAAACACGCTTTCATTGAGTCCTTGAGTGAAAAAGTAACGCTTAATTAAATCAGATGCAGCAAGGAAGATAAAATGTTAAGTCTGTTCGCTCACTAAGAAAGAGTCGTTTACAATTATACTACTAAAAAAACTTCGCTTGTTTTAAAGACAAGTTAATGTTTAATAATCACTCAATAAACAGGCGAGCACCGCCGTGTGCTTTTCGAAAGCTATCAACTCCGATCAGCTGTTTCTGAGCACCGTTTACAGCGAATGTTTGTGCAATACGTGGAAAATGAGCATCCTGTCTGCTAATTCAGGCTAACAGCTTTCTTCTGAGGAAGTTAACAAAGGGAAGCTTGGTTCTTTATGGGAGAGTTGTCTTTACGAGTGTAGCTCCAAATCTGACTGTACATGTCCAGGCGTGCCTTGTTGTTATGCGTTTGACATGCAATTGACCCTGACTCTCTTCGGAACTCAGATAATTTCTTTTTTTTATATAAGACATTAATTAATTGCGTTGCGCGATGGCCGAAGAGGAGCAACCACCAGGTAAGTTTCTAGCAGACTTTGGTGATGCGGTGATGGAGATGTATCGCAAACGAAATATGTTCTACCAGCAGAATCCAAGTGCGTGTGAAGCGGACCTTGAGAAGATGCTTGATGCAGAAATTAAACGAATTCTTGAACAGTTCGAGCCAAAACTAACCTCACTCAAAGGTGAGTCACAGTCTTAGTTTTAATATGTCCATGTGAGACTGTTCCACTTCTTCAAATATGATTTAACATATTTGATAGTTATATATACTCACATCTCGAAGTCATCGTGACGTGTTATAAACATGGCACGATACAATTTATATTTTAATATCTATTTTATTTGTTTACACGTCGATCAAAGTCGGATGCTAGATAATGATTATTGTTCAGATGTAACCAGCGATTGTTAATTACATAACACTGAGTTAAAGAACCCTTGTACATTGTAGAAACGATAAAGTTGAGTTGCATGTAATATATTCCTTTCAAGTTTTGAAATTATATACATAAGTCGGGATAATGATGGCGGTAACGATAATAGTATTGTAATAGCAAAATACCTTGTCAATAGAACGTATATGCGACTTTTTTTTTGTTACAGGGACGGATAAATCGGTAGCGTTTATGCTTGTCGGAAGAGTTCACAACGTGCGAAGTACCCATTCAAAATTGGCCGAGGAATTTCTCTACAAGGTAAGATACTGCGTCACCGTATCATTCCAAATTAATTCGTAAGGCTATTATAACTATTAGTACAGTTTAGAGAAGTTAACGGAAAGTTAATGCGTTTTAATCTGTTCCCATGTTTACTTTCAAAGGCTGTAAAAATGAACCCAATGCTTTCGGACGCGTGGAATGAGTTAGGCGAGTGTTACTACAAAGGTGGCCAGGCAGACAAGGCGCTCAACTGCTTCCAGTGTGTGCTAAAACACGTCCAGGACAAGGTACATAGTTTTTAACAAAGTATTTAGGAAATCACGCTAGTAGACTTTAACCCAGATACTACACTACCGAAATACCAATTAGTGTCAAATAGGCAATACCGTTTTTACTCTACAAACTGTCCTTTCTGGCAAAAAAGTTTGATACAAATGAATCGAATTCTAGTTTGCTGTAGACGTCAGAGTAACGTAACTTAAAAGACAAAGGTTCTGCATAATGAAAACGAGAGCTGTTGCTTGCTCGAGCAAATCAGTGACTCTGTGATGATGACAACATCGTATATAAAAGCCAGAGTAAATGGTTTGTATAAATTACCCTTGCTTCATTAAATGTATGCCTGCAGAAAGCTCTTCGGAACCTATCGATTATTTTACGAAGTCAGGATCGTCTAACGGCGTCAAGTCTTCAGGATAGTGTTCAACGGTCCCGAGAAGCTCTTCAGCTTGATTTCGATGATGGTGCATCATGGTATAATTTGGGAAATGCCTATCTGACAACTTTCTTTCATCGCGGACAACAGGAAAAAGATCTTCTTCAGGCACTTAGCTGCTACAAAAAAGCACTTCATGACGAAGATCAGAAAAGTAACCCCGATTTACATTATAGCCTTGCGGAGGCATCCAGATATACTGAAAATTTTCAGACAGCTTTAGATAGTTACGTTGCATCACATCGTTTCAACCCGTCGTGGACTGTCCCACTCGACAAAGCAGACAACCTCGAAATGTACTTAAAGGTAAGACGTCGGTCTCTTCAGCTGAAGTGATAATACTATATGTAATCTGCTTGAGTTTTTTCTGAAACAATTTTAATACATGTAACCATTTTATGCGAATTATCATCAGTCGCGATTCATTTATCTAAAAATAATTTTAGCGGGAATTACGATCCGAACACTACTATATGCTGTAACAACTAAGGTAAGCGGAACCAAATTGTATGTATTTGAGTTAAACAATTAGGTTAATTCTAAACTATTGTTATCTATTTTCTTTTACCAGGAACTGGATGAAGCTGTCCGCTCAAAAGGCAAGATGAGGCCACGAAAGCTTGAGCAGCTCGTAAAGAACGTAAAGCCTCATCATGATAAAGCTTTTGGGGGATCTGTGAAGAAAAGCTTAGCCGAACTGACGTCCAGTGATGAGCGTGTTGGTGTGGCTGGTACCGCAGAACGACCAAACGTTTACGTCCTACTTAAAGTGGTTGCCACGCTTAGTAGCCGCGCACTGGCATTTACTTGTTGTGCCGTCGATGAACACCTAGAGTGTGTAGCGGTGAGCGTGTTCAATTTTGACGAAGGCCGGGCGATGGCTGTAGGCGATACCTTGGCCATTGCGCGACCGGTACTTCGCGCTCACAATGTCACTTTGCGTGGGGGTGCCCGAGCATCATTTCGTCTGCTTCGTGTCACCGATCCTCGAACCCTAGCCGTCAACGGAAGGCCAATTCCGAATGAATGGTTAGCGCCTGTCATACTTAAAAGCGAACTTTACAATTCCTAACCCAGTTAATTGACACTCTAAGCAATCAGGCTTGAAGTTCCGGAATGGCCGTGTTTTTTAAACTTGTCTCGTGTCTTTTAAACTTCTGTATATGCTATAAATGTTCAAATTGGTTTTTACTAAGATGTCTGTACTAAAAATAGTATAGAAAAATTTATTGGGCTTGTCTGCACGATCTTGATTGCTAGCCGTGTAGCGATAGGCAAAATGAATGAATCATCTACATAAAACCTATCATCTGCGAGTCTAGTAATGTATATACACGGATCCACCTGTAGTTGACAAGCTGCACACATTTTGCTAATTTTTTATCGGACTCGAATGTGTCTACAGAAAGCTCTTCGGAACCTATCAATCATTTTACAAAGTCAGAATCGCCTAATGTCATCAAGCCTTCAAAATGGTTCTCGACGATCCTGAGAAGCTTCTCAGGTTAGTTTCGATAATAGTGCATCGTGTTATAATTTAAGAAACGCGTATTTGACGACATTATTGTATCGTGGAAAATATGAGAAAGATCCCTTTCAAGACTTCAGTTTCTACCGAAAAGCACTTCGTGATTAAGATCAGAAAAATAATCCCGATCTACATTATAGCCTGGCGGAAGCTGCCAGATAGAGACTGAAAATTTTTAGACAGCCTTGGATAATAACGTTGCATCACATCGTTTTAACCTGGCGTGAATTGTCCCACTTGACAAAGCATACAACCTTCAAACGTACGCAAAGGTAAGACAACGGTCTATTCAGCTGAATTGGTAATGCAATATACAATCTGTTTTAGCTTTTCTGTGAAAAAACTTAATCACATGTAAAGTAACCATTTTATGCTAATCACCATCAGCCGCAACTAAAAACATCTTTTGCATAAATTATGTAAATGATTTCTGCCGAATTGTTTTTACCTAAAAAAAATCCTGTCAGGAACTACGACTTGAATCCGGCTATATGCTTTTCGTGTTTAGTGCATTATAACAACTGAATAAGATAAGTGGAACTAGATTGAATGTACTCGGGTTAAACGATTAGGTTAATCCTAAATCGTTGTTGTTTTTTTTGCCAGGAACTGGATGAAGTCGTCTGTTCGAAAGGCAAGATGAGACCACGAAAGCTTGAGCAGCTCGTAAGGAACGTAAAGCATCATGATGATAAAGCTTTTGGGGGATCCGTGAAGAAAAGTTTAGCCGAACAGACGTCCAGTGATGAGCGTGTTAGTTCGGCTGGTGCCGCTGAACGGCCCAACGTTTACGTTACTTAAAGTGGTGGCCACACTTACTAGTCGCGCACTGGCATTTACTTGTTGTGCCGTCGATGAACACTTGGAGTGTGTAGCAGTGAGCGTGTTCAGTTTTGATGAAGGCCGGCCGATGGGTGTAGGCAATATGTTGGTCATTGCGCGATTAGTACTTCGCGCTCACAATGTCACTTTGCATAGAGGTGTCCGAGCACTATGTCGTATGCTTCGTGTCACCGATCCTCGAACCCTAGCCGTTAACGGAAAGCACATTCCGAACGAATGGTTAGCGTCTGTCATACTTAAGGGCGAACTGTACAATTCCTAACTCAGCTAATTAATAATCTAGGAAATCAGGTGTAACGTTCCAAAACGACCCTTTTTAAACTTGCCTCGAATATTTTAAACTTCAAACTAAAAATTAAATATGCTATAAATGTTCAAACTAAGATGCATAAACCAAAAATAGAATTGAAAAGTTCATTGGGCTTGTCCGCATGGTCGTTATTGCTGGTTATGCAGCGGCAGGCAAAACGAATGGGTCGTCTGCATAAAACTCAACATCTGCGAGTTTAGTAATAAATATTAGATGGGTCCATCTGCTGTGAAGGGGCTGCATATATTTTTCACCGGACTATAGATTCCCAACAGAATATTGATTCTGTGGACTCGAACATTCTATACTTTCGTCTATTTTGTACGGTACTGACTGTAAACATCATCAATATGTAGAATACTTATCAATTCGGATGAAAATTGCGCAGTTTTGTTTGTATTGATGTCCCTGATTCATATCTATTAAGTAATTAAATTTTCTAAAGACCAGATGAACTTTTGTTTCCATTTTACATTCATGTACCGTCTCAATGTGGCACTTGTTGGACTTCTGTATTCGCATACAAACAGAGTTATCTCGTATTAGGGTAGTCAATTCTCCATACCGTGCTTAAAAGATCAAATAAAAGACAGCAGCAATGGCGGCAGACTGAGACGAAGACGGAGTATCATAAGTAAAGAAAATAGGCAGCCCGAATTTCTTCAATGCAGGATCAAAAGTCTCATAATGATGTCTTTTATATAATCTATGCCATTCGGGAACCAAGGCTAGCTTTTGCGACATCCCTATATTCAGAGCAGAGTCGACTACTTTAAGCCACCGTATAGTTTTATAAATGTTCGCATCTTTATATTTCAGTATGGAGCGACCAATTACACCTAGAATCAACCATTAATGGAGATAAGTTTGATTAAATAAAACGTGTTTATATAGGAAATAATAGAACCACGTTTTTAAAAAAAAAACCATAACGAGCGTACTAATAGAGTACGGAAAATGTTCATGCTAATTGATTTGATAAAATTATTTTTTCTTATACGTTTGAGATATACATCGTGATTAATATATATATATATATATATATATATATATATATATATATATATATATCGGTCTATATCCGTTAGCGATACATCTATGACATCAAGTTAATACTCATAACCGATTAGTACTTCGTCCATAGGTTGTGTAGTCCCTAGGAAGCGTATAGCGTTTTACACCGGCGTGACATAGTAAATAGTTCCACGAAACAACCACACCCAAATCGTCTGTGGTTTTTTGCTTTTACTGAAAGGCGTATTTGAGCCTTCTTGTGTTTACTGTCATTTATTCGCTATGGTGGCGGCTTTAATTTATAGCTTCTGTAACAATCATATTCATACTATACAAGCGGTAGTTTACTCCTAAATTCCTATATGCTCCATAATTTAATACGTTTTAAAAACGTTCATGCCCGTATACCATGAAAAACTAGAAAGAACAGATGCCGGCGGAAAGCCTTACTTGTTTTACTAGAATGCTGTGTGAAAAATATTTAATTTTTCATTGTTTATTTTTACTCGGTGGTGTAGGCAACTATTTATATCAAAAAGTGGGCTTAAAAGAAGCGATTAACGTAGCACCCATTGATAACTTTTTGCTAATGAGTGAATGTTTTAAAATTTTCTAGATCCTATTTTTTTGTAGTATTTCTATGAGATGGTTTGAACAGCATTATATAGCAGAGCTAAAGAGGTTTGGGTTTGAAACAACAGTAGCGGTTTTGCAGCCGAAAGTCACTCGTCAAACGAAATATGTGTCCGGTTGACGCGATTAATATTGATATTTTGCGTTGCAATATTTACGGTGGAGGCGAGCTAGAGTCAAAAGACCGCCCGTGGATTACTGTAATACATCGCGTCTGGTGTACTAGTGTAGAATTCTGTTTTGTGGCTAGGGACCTTGAGAGATTTAACGGACAATTATTTTAGCAAAATTATGCAGATATATTTGTTCGGTATGATAATCTATCATAATTTCTTAACTAATCATAACTAACTTCTATAACTAATGAATGACAGGTGAAAATTGGTCAGGCGTTGATTTAAGCAAAATTATAATTTCACAGGCTTATGCCGCCCAAAAACGTCAAAGGTATGCCACCATAAAAAACTTATTCTAGAAAAAGTTTTTTACGATGGTGTCCCTTTCCTTTTCTAGATTAAGTTTATTTTACTGTGAGTCGTAATCCTAACGAACTCATAGTTGCAGCTTCTCGTTTATATCGAATTTCGAAGAAAGACCCATGGCGTCACGTAGTTTTTAGCTATCCTAAGGTGCTTATCTGTCTTCATCCGCATCTAAGACAAATTACAATGGCTTTCAAGCACAGTAAATCTTAGTTTTTTTTTTTTTTTTTTAGGGAAACTCATTTTAAATGAAAAAAATGAAGATTTCATCTGAACGACTCCTTCAGATAACATGCATGAAAGTAGACGGCGTTGCAATAAGTCAAAGGGGTAATGGTTTTAAAGGGAAACCGATGTAACTAAGGGAACGTGAGTTATATTGAAAGAATTGCCTTTGATACGGTTTCGAAATGATGCCAAATGATGAAATTGGGACTTTCTATCTATTCGCTCATTGGAACGTAGCGTATCATCATGATATTATTTCAAATCGTCTACAGCTTGAATAAACATGAAATCTATTTCAGACATGGACTGTGCACTTAATACTTGGTAGATATTTATAACAGATGCGATTACGTGGCGTCTAGAGTTGCTAAAAACATACGTATACCCCAATTCAGGCATAAATTGAGAAACCGATAATGTAGAGGTTCAGCAAAGTGATTTCGGTAGTATACATATAGTGGTGAATGGATTTTATTTTTTCATTCGCTTACATCAGCTGAATATGTGCGGACATGTAGAAATCGTTCACGATTCTAACAACTAGGCAACAAATAACAATTATTTTTATCAAGCTGCTTCCTGTACTGCTAAAAAAACAATATCTTTTCTTCAAAAGGGTCACAGAAATGTGGCGCTATCGACATCTCGGGTCAGGTTTTTTAACAAAGGTTCTTATGATTGATACGTTTGACCATCTTGAACAGTTCGTTTTCTATTTTGGCCATCTATCCCAGGGCCATTAAAATATGTGTATCATGGCTCTACAGACGCAGGATGGTCTGACCTGCTAGCCAGAATCATCGAGTCTCTTTCAGATTTACTACTTATTCGAGCGAAGCAATAGCTATCGCCGTGGCGAGGACACTTCGCCACTTTGCGTTTTGTTCATTTATTTTATCTTTATAATAAATAGACTACACAATGTTGTCACTATACTATATGAATCATTCTTTGCATGATTGTGCTGTCCGAGACGTTGGAAACAACGATTACTTTCTTTGAAACGCATTCGAGATGAGGCCCACCTGTTTCGAACATTTATTTCCAGTTGCTTTGCTAATGGTTGTGTTTGCTGACGCCCGGATACCGCGTCTCGCACGTGCGTACACAAATTGTGAAAACGACAGGCACCGCACGGCCTTTGAATTTGATCGCCAGTGTTTTCCAAGTGAACTTCATGTTACCTGATGTATCTCGTGGAAAAGATGTTTTTTCTGGTTTTACCAAACAGTAGCTTCTCAAATATTTTTGAGGCATTGAAAATAGAAGACTCATATTTATTATATCGCAATATTTAGCCCTTATATGTTTCTTATGCCAACAAGTACTTGTTAAAATCATTGAGGCTACGTAAAGTTCTTGTTTATTGTATCAAATGCATGACAAACAAAACCAATTCCTAGTGTGCATATCTATTGCACCATAACTGTTAAGTTTCACAATGTGCTTTCACATTGACATATCTCGTTTGTGTTAGGTCCACCGGTTTATGGATCAATGCTTTCAAAGCGTCAATTATCCCCTCGATATCGGGCGGTCCGTTCTGAGATTGTCGATCAGCATAATTTTTATCGTTCTACCGTTAACCCACCGGCGGAAAATATGGAGGAGATGGTAACAACCTGTTACTGTTACTACAGATAAGATTAACGCACACAACTAATACTATATCCAATGGGGACGCTATACTAGTAGTGTTCAATTTTAGAGGGAATTAGAACAGTTTGACGCTTTGACTGATTTTTTGCTTGCTTTCCTGTTAATTTTTATTTATACAAGATTTACTAAGTAAGCTATGTCTAAAAGAAAACCACGACTAAAATTTAAAACACAGTGCATTGGAAAATGTTAATTACTTATGGCTTGCTTGACATATCTTTTTAGATCAAGCTTTAGTATTAAGACATTGCACTATTTCATAATAAGTATTTCCATCAATTCTAATGATTGCTTTGTTTTACCTCAGTTCTATTATATATCGCATGTTCATAGAATCTTTCCTATTTCACCATCGTTGTGTGATTTGCCACTTCATGGTAATTCGTGACGCGTGTGCAAGAGCATTTCCAATTTCCATTCGATTTTCTATGATCACTTAGGGCATATCTCGCAACTTTAGCTTTTTTTAAGTTGATTAGAAACCATTCAGAAGATCATTCAAAGCTTAGGCCATTACACAAACCACGCTCCAAATAAATGTTTACTACCAACAAGCGTTCAACCGCGAGTGTCGCTTGTGACTGGGTTATTATTACAGAGGTGGTACCCGTGGGCAGCTAAAACGGCCCAGAAGTGGGCGAATAAGTGCCTAATGCTTGCTCACGCGAGCCTCGAAGGTTTGAATGATCCAGGTGAGGTTGTTTTCAAAGTTCAATGAGTATGATTTCCAAAAATTTCAAAGGTTTTGGTGCTAACAATAATGTTAGATAATTTGTTATGTCATGGATAGTGTGAGATATTTGAACTGAATTTCTGATAAAAGGCTGCACCCTTATCCTGCATTTCACGAGAAAGAAGGTAAGCCAGACGGTTAAAAGCAAATACGTTTTCATTTTGTTTCAGTTTCATTTAATGAGCTACAGAAATACATACTTCTAATTCAAAATCAATGAAGCTATAAAAATTCGTTCTAATAAAAATCAATTAATAATCAAATTTACAGTGATGGGACAATGTGGTCAGAACATTTTCGTTGTGTCAACCCAAGTGCCGTGGTCTTTCGCGATTCGCGTGTGGGATATCGAGAAGCATAATTTTTCTTATGGGGGAATCCGCAACAACAGCATTGGATTAAATGGCCATTACACACAGCTAGTAAGCGCCTCAATTTATGTATACCTCATAAGAAGTTTTCTTAATCTATGCTTTGTTTCAATAGGAGTTAGTAGAGCTCATTTGCCAATAGATGATTATCAGCTAGAGGAAGAGCCGCGCAAGGCAATATTTTCAAAGTGTGCCTTTAACCAATATATGGTATTTCATGTTAAATTAAGTATTTCAATTAAATGCTGAACACCTGTGTCGTAGTACTAAACATATGCTAACTATATGCTCGGTCCTAGGATCTCAAAATCGTTTGGGGTACGTAAAAGTGGGCGAAATCGGTATAATTCTAATTTGAACTTTAGGAAATGATAATAACAGCACTTTCATTCGACAAAATCCAATACAGGAACATCAACGATCCATCAGCTACTCATCGTAGAAAAATGCTGCGCGCACAATCTGATGTTAGTTCCTCAGTGCGTCGTCAGAGAGAACTCTTGAGCCCCTACAAGCAAACAGCCAGTCAGTCAGTAATGAAACCCTGTCTTCTTCGTCATCCTAATCCCATAATTGATACTACACCCGCTAGAGAGTTATGAAAAAACGGAGCAAATATTAAAATAAGTGGTGGAAAACTGTAACCCTCCATGTCACCTTCCCTAGAGAGAAGACCAAAGGATTAAAATATTTGTTACTCGTGTTTTTGGTAAATGAGCTAAACAGAGGCTATACGATCACACTTCAAAGTTACCAGCTTCTAAGTAAAAGAAATGTTGTGTTTTTACGTTTGGTACAAGTGGACGTTGGATCTCAAGCTGCAAAACGTTTGCGAATAAATTTGCAACTCGTATCTGCTGCTGTCGGGTTGTTACTCACCATCCATATGTCCATATATTAATATGTCAATAATTATATTATGTTGCGGTAAAGCCGCAAATCAAGCAACTATATTCGAGATGGAGGATGAATAACCAGTCACAAAAACACTAGTTATCGCTAGCTTAAAGCGTGATTGCAGCATCATTATTCCGCTTCTGTCTCATCGCAGGGGGCAATGCGTATTGCATGAAGAACTCGACTACCGTTGCTTAGAGCCTTCTCAGCTTTTCGGTAACTTTTGCCTTAAGTAACGTTTCTGTTCGGCTACTGGGCACGTACGGTGCAGTCGCTGCCACTTTGTCATTGTGAGACTCTTTTTGAAAAGGTCAACCTACCATAACGCTCAGCTATCTTACCCATTTTCTAACTTTTATATCTAATAGTCTTAATAAAAAGAAAATAGACCCATACATTTTCCAGAGCTTGTTGCTGTTAATGATGGTCTCATTGTTAGAATATGAGAAGATCAGCATTTAAAGGTATGGGAGACCCTTTTGTCTTCCGTGGGCTCTATTATTAACGTACATCTGGTATATAATTACACTAATTTTTGCTCGCCTACCTTTGGAATTTTTATCAAACCTTGTTGATAGTTGTTTTGGTCGATCAATCCCTATTAGACCCACTGGGTATCTCAAAAATGCTCCCCTCTTTTCACACATTGCCGCTGTCTTGTGTATATGTGTGATAGTTTCAAAGATCTTGCCAGTCGTGTCAAATAGACCCAATAGGCGATACACTTCAGTCGATAGTTCCTGAGTTTTCTACTGAAAGCCGCGATAGCTTCTTCTAGCTTTAGTACCAAATCTCATGCACCATATATGCCTGCTGACCTGCGGCATTTCCTGGAGAAGGATCCTCACCGCTTCGACTGGTTATCCGCTTTCTTTTTTGAAATACTTAAGGAATTTTCAAATCACATGCTTCGGAAGGCGAGGTCAATGGCTTCGTTGTCTATGTTGGGCCTGGGCGGCTTAGGAAAAAACTTTTAGACAGCTTGCGCCAACGGTTCACCAAGGGCCTGGATTTTAGCCTTCGTGACCTACCAATGATCATCCTGTAGTTTTCCTGCACGCCGTTTTCTGCTTCTTTGCATAACTGCTTACTTGGTTCTTTTGATTTTCTTTAGCTCCTTTTTAAACTTCTTTCTCTCTGTTCAGGGTCGTACCTACGCTTCTGCAGTGTCTATGCTTCCTTTCCTGGCCTTAGTGCATCCATACGAGCTTTTTCCTAGCCCTTCTACGAGCCACGATGTCTAAAAAATTTCACAAGACGCCTACTGCATGTTCCACGTTGGCAAGACTGCGATAGTTTCGTAGACTTCCCATAGAAAATGACATCCTATGACACGTAATACCTGCCATCCAGAGTCTATTTTCGGCTTGAATGTGACCCTATTTGGTCAATAATAATAATAATGACTAAGAATACCGGAAATTAGAGCGGGCGACGTATTTGCTAACACACCTAGTTCACATATAGCAAGCTCCAGAACGGATTTTTGTAGTTCGAGTAAACAACTATCGGATGTGTCTTCCGTAGAATGCTTCCTGTACATACTGCGCGATTTGAAGACATGACCATATGTCGTGGAATATATATACGACAATACGTCGTCTGCCCATAATCAGTTTTTTTTGTGCTAAACTACCACCAGAACACCAAGTTAACCGTCATTTATTTAGGATCTCATTGAATTTTTGACAGGTTTGGGCGAGTTCGAATAAGGTCGGCTGCGGTTACTCCCCGTGTCAAATGAAATTTCAAAATACTACGAGGGTGTTCCACAACTATGTTTGCAACTATTGTCCCATGTAAGCGACATTTAGCTAACTTCAGAATTATTCATTTGAGCCCCTTAGACTTTTATGTCAGCATCAGAGGCGACAGTTCAGCAAAAGGACGCGACTTGCTCATTTAAAACGAATCGGATTTATTGAGTTTACAGTGGAAACCATCCGCTGACACGTGATTACCCATACAAGTCTGGAGCCCCCTGTGCCAGTTGTCCCTCGAGTTGTCGTGGAGGTCGTCTATGCTCAGCAACAGGCCACTAAGGACTGGACACACGATCAAAAATTAATATACTATATAATCTTTTACAGCCACGTTAAAGAAACACTCACATACGTTTTGCATACGAAATTGCCTCAGTTATTTTCTAGGTCATTTCAAAGCGCATGAGACATAAACCCCCTAAAGCTTTTGAAAGATACGTTCATGTGAGGAAAACCATCTCTTGCATTAAATCTCGGAAACGGTTATTTCAAGACATCTTTTACCGATGGCTAGCAAAAAGTTTGGTTATGAACAGTTCTTGCATCAAAAAAAATTTAATTTTTACTAGGAAAACAAAAAAACAGTCAGAGTCTTAAAATGTAGATGCACCTTTTTAAACAGACATTTTAATATCATGGAAAATTGAAAATATTGTTGCAGCATCTAATACATTAGGAAAGCATACGTTACACAGTATCGGCTACAAAATGAAGTCATTACAATATTAATTTATGTGTGCATAATTGAAGATAGCCGAACTTGCCAGTTATACAAATCAAACAAGACGCGTTCTCTTTATTAAGGGATAACGTATAAATCCTGTAGGCGTACACCAGATCATACCTGGACGTTTGCCCCGTAATGTGAACCTTTCACCAGCGCTTTCCAACTGTATTAGTACCCAATGAATTCATACCATTAAATGTTTCTGTCTCTGTTTGAATGCTACGCTTACGAAAAACGTTTACATAGTGTAATCTATTTTTGCTCGAAAAATAAATTGGAAAGTTTTATTTTTTGCTTGTACGTTTCTACACGTATCGCACTTGCTATGGAACTAGCATGTGAATAAGTTGGCCTGAGCGAATCTATATAGTAGAGAATCTATTTCAAAGATCGCCAACATTTTTTATGGTTTTCTTTATTGACCATGATTTGTTTCTAAAATGGGTTAGAAAGAAAATGAAAAATCTGAAATAAGCAGTTTTTTTAGAACATTATCTACAAATATTCGCTTAGTGATTATTGTTGACCTATCACTGTTTCCAGATGTTCCAGACAAGGATCGTTTCGTTTCGCCCGTTGCAGTCTCGAAGTAGGTAATAATGAATTTTATCTTCAATATAGATCATCTAAAATAGATGCGTTAGCCCGTCAAATGGTGCATACGAGCATTGGTATCCGAGACCTTCTCTTCGAATTTTAATTTTCGAAGCTATGGTGACCTTAGACGAGGCTGTACTAATAGCATTATAAGCTTATACGAAATGAAGCCGCGTCCACCGCCTTGTCGATTATAATAATTCCCACTTAAACTGCACGCGATACTTTTTATCGATACTACCACCATTATGTAGTCCATGGCAAATATTGTCAAATGTCCTTGGCCTTACTGAAACCGAGGAAAGATCTAATGAAGTAATATCGAGACTATGGGCTCTACTTAGTTCAGTACTTGATATGAGCCCAACTTATTAAAAGAATGTGCGAACAAAGTATAAATAGGTACTTTTTCGCACCACTAAACCAGGTTAACTACTGAATGTTACTAACAAGTTTACTTTTACCAGATGCATAGTCAGCAAAAACAATGCGCATTCTCTATAATGTATACCTTGCAACAATCTTCCGTCGTATTAGACTCTATTATGAAACAGTGGGTTAAACTTACTGAGGCTTTGGCCTTATAACAACGTTTTATAGATGCGTACGGACTCGGGTTTAGCTCAGTTTGGCCAACTGAGTAACTCGGGCTATGTGATCAAAGATAATACGTTGGAACTATGATTAATGGAAGTGAGAAAAGAAAGTGGCTGTCTTACTTATTTTCGTTCGTTTCGAACAAACGTGTACATGTCAAACTTTTGCCGCTATTCTTAATACATATTTTCAGGAATGGAAAAAATATGAAGCTCTCAAGGTTGTTTGCTCATATAGGAAATCGAAGATTCTATAACCATATAAACAGCGCCACCAAAGATTATGCTTTTACGTTTAGTTCAAACCTTTTATGAACCACTTGTTGTGACTTTGTTGTTGGCATAGAACAGGAAGTTTTCATTGCAGTCGTTTGTTTGGTTGCGAGTGTTGAATAGTCATTAAAATTCCAGCATAGTAAGTTGGTTAATAGTATATCATTGTTATAAAAGCGACAGTTTTGTTTAGCAGTTGCATGAAGGACAAGGTCTTATTTATTCGAACGCCCTTCTCGTAAGGTATGCATAGGCGGACAATGGAAGACATCGCAAGAACAGGACATCCGCTGGCTGCTGCCGTCATCAAAACGTCACTGGAATAGCCCGCTGATATTTAATGTGTAGACTCCAGATTACAGTATGATCCGCGAATTAATTCAAGTATCGAACTTGCATAAAACACTATCAATATTTGTAAAATCCAGGGCTTCTTTCATTAAGAAAAAAACAGTACACCTTATACACAAGAGAGTAGTTCTTATAAACTTATGGCTGACGACGATGCTTATTACATTAAGCTGCTACACTATTAGGATATTTCCAAATAACATTAATCTAGCTAAGCAGGCCGACATACAACGTATCTAACCTGCATGACTTCAATAAAGTTGAGCTTATTGCTCAAGTCGTCTTCGCAAAATTTCGTAGGATGAGGCGCAGATGTAGTTCTACTCCGAATCTACTACCGCCGAACGCTTTCGTGGAAACCAATTGTCTTTCCTTGAACAATGATCTTCACTGATAGTTAGGGAAAGCATGCCGTAATTGTATTGTACTTCGGTTGGTAGCATGCTTCTGACAGAGGATTGGTACATCGTTAAGGTACAGATTGCACTTTACAGATCAGAAGGCGTTTGTAGTTACAATCGGCGACCTTTTCTCTGCCTGAGTCACTTATCAGCTTGAAGGTTCTCAGGATTTACGCCCAAATTTTCTCATGTATGCGGTCTTTGAACAAGGCTAACGTCACTTTTTTTCCATAGGCTGCTGATCCAAGTAATATATCGTACTGCCAAGAGCAGTCCTTGCAATTGTGCACTTTAGAACGGTTATTTGCGTTTAACTTGCCATGTACTAAGAAAGCTGGATTCGTAAAACCAGGCATCGATTTATCATTAGCCATTTGGCCGGCCGTTATCGATATCGTGAATTTTTCGCCCCTGCGCTATCAGTCAAAGGTTTAGCATTAAGTCGTCCTGCCCCTTTCCTTAAATCGCCTATCGTTTCCAGCGGTACACTTAATGTCTGGCAGAATGAGCTTTTAAGTCAGCAACAGCCGCACCGTCAAGATTAATATAGATTGATAACATTGTCTTTATTTAACGCTGTTCTTAGAACACTAAATGTATTAGGTGTAAATGAAGTAAACCCCGTTTGGACTAGTATACTAGCACCCCTCGATTTTATTGCTTTCATAACTTGTTGAATAGCACTATTATAATAACTATAGAGTTATCGGGGTTTCATCTTGAACTACTACTCTAGCTGTTAGACTCCCCTTACAAGCAAGGCCATCCGAAGAATTTTTTAATTTCCGATATCTATAAATAGATCAGCTAGTTCCGGTATATGGTTTATTGAGTTTTGTTATTGTGTAGTCTATCAGTACTTGTTCACTTCAGATTTTTGCACCGATCGTCAGGCTATTAAATTCGTTAAATGCTATTGTATTCCCGCTGGCTCACTTCGAATAGGCCCGATTTGTCAAGATTTTCGGAATGCTTTTTACGTTATGCTGTTTCGCGGGCGAATTTCAAATATTTTCAGACGACGACCACTAGATTACCGTAAATCATAAATCACCTGCTGAGATTCGAAATATGCCTAATAGCAAGGCTATAATAATTTTTATAATTAGTTGTATTTCTGGTATACCAATATACTCGGTGCACACATGTATCAATGCGATACTATATCATCAACTGTCGACAGTGTAGATCAGAAATTTATGGTTGTACTTGAACTTGATGTTTTTTAAATGCTTTTCTTTCTAACGAATTCAGCTTACTGTCACTGAAATTACGAGGAAATTATACTTTACTGGGAGAAGAACTGAGCGTTTTTAATTGTAAACTTTATAAATTTTAGGAGTATTTGTTTTGGCGGAATCTTACTATATACCTAACTAATCCGTATCTGCTAACACAGTCACGATGTCGAAGAGTACGTTAGGTCTTTTCGAGGCTACTACGAACTGTAGATGCTTGGTATGTACCTCTTAACATGAAGATTGTTGTTTACATCTCGTCACTTTTTTGCAGCATTGGAGATGATAAAATCTCTAAGACACTCGTAAGGAGTGCTCTAACCTTAGATCAAAGCTGGCCATTGTGCAAGGCGGCTATCAAGATAACTTGTGCGTATACACTATCGCTAAAGAGAGATAGCTCAATTTTTGAGCAAAAATGCTGCAGTATGTTCTAACATGAGCTAGAGGTATATAATAAGTAATATTGGTTCAACTTATATTTTGGCAGAAACACCTCTGCTGTGACGTAGTTTTCTATCCGACAGTAAAACTGCTTGTAGTTAATAGCTTATAGATACTGGATAGATTACAGATAGGCGAGATATATCGTGAGATGACAATCAGTAGATTCTAAGCATATTTGTGCTGAAAAATAATTTCCTCACATCTTCAGGTAGTAAGTATTAGGAAGCACTTTTAGCTTAAAGCACAAGTGGGCACAGAGACTGAACACACACATTTAATTTTGGAAAATGAGCTTTTGTGCGGAATCGAGCAGCGGAATCACTACAGAATTGCCCCTAAACTGTAATCATCTCACCGATGCCTGTGTACGATTTACAGGTGGCTTTAACACAACATTACTGTAGGAACTCGCATTATTTTGTCTGATACTTCTCGTCAGTGTTACACCAACATGAGCTAATCGGATTCAGATTCCACATATATAATCAAAATCAACAGATGCTTTACAGAGACCAGTGTAACAGCATCCAAAGTTGAATACAACTTTGTGTTATCTACACCCACCCACAAATTCATATGGCGCGTTAATACGGTTTCCTTTATTATTAGTGTTTTTGCACAGTCATCATTACCTGTAATAGTGGTAAGAAATTATCAATTGTATACGCCAGCACCGGTGAAGAACGTACATTGTGCTAAACAATGGAAAGTTCTAGTTTTCGTTGACGAAATTGTAGTAATAAAAGCAATGGGGACTCTCGGCCTTTACGAGAGACATATTCGAAAAATACCAAACGTTGCCTCAAAAAGGTTAAAACGAGCAAAAAAAAAAGCTGATAACGCCGAATATTCTTCGTGGTTGTAACAATGGTTAAGCAGTAATGAGCGTAAAACTCGAAGCATCTGCTAATAGTTTTAGCAACAATCTCCATGACATGGGTAATGTGTTTGCCTGCTAAACTTGAGGGACATGTGATGGCCTAAGTTCGAATCTGAGCGTAAGCACTGTTAGACTCATGCCGGAAGCCAACCATCTAATGGAACGTTTAACAATGATGCCGGACATGGAACTCGAAGCATCTAGTGGTAGTATCACTGCTGCTACTTCTAAAAACAACAATAATAGTAACAAACATTTATCCCAAAAGCGGTTGGGTAGTCTATTTAAGGAATCCTGAGCAAGAAACCTTTCCCTATCCTGATGCGAAGTGAGCAGAGTTACAGGAAAAAACTCCACTCTAATTTGATTTTGGTACACATGCACTGGTAGCTGATCTTTCTGAATCGCAGATTGTAAACGCGATTCGACCATTGAAGGAACTAGATGGCATCCATCCCGAGAACGTTGACCGATTGGCTCATGGAGAATTGTAGAATTTATTTATTCCATGCGTACCACGAGACTGTCTCGAGCTCATCCTCCGCACAGAAATAAATCTCCGCAATAAGCATGATTGGCCATTCGATAATGCCATTCCTGCTTTTGTCGTACAAGGCTGCAGTTACTATTTGTGATTTAAAAACTAAGAGACTCGACGACACCTGCCGTCTGGTCTGGATGATCTGATCGTTGCTGCCTGTGGCTGTTCCCAGCTCGTTAAGAAAAGCTGGGTGAGACCTTGCGCTGTTCCCATTGATTGCGGAAAGCACACTATAAAGGTAAATATACGTTTTATTTCTTACTCTTAACATCACGTAATTGAGACTACATTTTTGTTTGCTATTTTGGACGTGCCTGTAATCAGCCGTTACAAGTCAGCGATCATATACAAGTTCGTAGAATATTAGCTGTTATTGAATAGTAATATCAAATCATTATAAACAAAGTCAGATACAATAAGGTAACACAGCGTAAAAACTTCACACAGTACGTAAGTTAAGTCAATAGTTGGGGCTTTTTTTTTTTCGAATTTACAGGACTTAATCCCACCAGAAAGGAAAAAGGGTAGTGGGATGACGTCGATTTCGCTAATATAAAGAGGCTTCTTCTTGGATCACTCTTATCCAAAAGGGGATAATCTTTGGGACGAATAACAGTCGTCATGCTTACCAAAAAACCTCGCCATGTCTACAAAACAAGAGGTTCTCGGTACTCTGCACAACAATTCAAAGTTCCAAAGCAAGACTTAGCTTTTGACGCTTGTTAACGTCTTCACTCTGATCTAAACAGATTCACAACTTAAAAAAGAGTCCTGCCATAATACCGGAAGGAACGGGACCATTGTTCCTTTATTCAATGTTATATGAAAACAACTGAATGAATACCGCGTCTTAATGCAAGCCCATTTTACCTAAATATCAGCTTAAAATCCTATGTTATTATATTTGAAAGTACATTTTTGTATTTTGGGAAACTACTGACGTTGTTATGGTTGTTTTTTTATGTAAACGCAGTTAGAGAATTGTTAATGTTAGGCCTGTATGTTCATTTCGACACCAATGTTCCAATGCATGAATCGGTTTATAGATAATAAAAGCTAAAGTAATAAACAATTTCCCTGTCGTTAGATGGCTTATATTTTTATAGAGCATGACGCACAAGGTATCCATGACTTGAATGAATGAATGCAAACTAATAATTAATTATTGAATATAATAAAGGTGATATTACTACGGAAAAAAATTACGTATTTACCCTCACGGTGGGTAGTGAGTTTATTTGCGTTGATAAACTTGACAATCGCGCACTCATTTGTAGTAAGTTACAGTAATATTGAAACAGTATGGTATTAGTATAGTACTAAAGTTACACAAATAATATTCAAATAAAACGATGAACGGGGCTCGTGTTGAAGTATGATACCACTATTTTCAATCAAATCCGATACCTGAGGTAGTAGATTTGCCTCGCATGAGGTCCTTCTTCGCAGCTTCTACGCAGAAAGCTAATGGTGAATTTGGCGGCCATAGAGCGAACCGTCGCATAATGCGATTAGAAGATAAAAGACGCACTTATGGACGGTTCGTCCCAGGGCATTTTTAAGTGCAGTTGGACCGCGACATTGCGGGCGTTTTCCAAAAACGAGCTATCCTATGTACGTAATTGATAATGAGATGCAAGAAAAGAAAACACTGATGTTGGCTATATTACGTTAATAGATATTCTAACAAAAAAAACATTAGTTAGGTCATAAAACACTTAGTGATGAAGCATATGTTAGCTACATCATACTGAAATACGTCTAAATTTGTTAACACACACATTACTAGCCTCGATGGCATATAGTAATATGGTCGTTCTTCATTCATAACCAAGTCGCATTGTGAGCATAATAAGAAAATCGAGATTTTTGTCTGCCAACGAAATTTCTACATTCTCATTATGAGGATAAGTACGAAATTTTCAGAATCATCGAAATTTACGACTATGGCTTTGGAATTTAAATGCCGTATTATATCATCGATCGAACTTGAAACGACTGCTCAGTATCAAAGACAAGAAAACCTAATTTGAATGTTCTCACTTGTCATAAACGGAAAAGCTGTTGTAAAAAAATTTTAAATCTACTATGGCTATTTTTCGAATGTTAGTATATTGTTAACTAGAAAAAAAAATATAAATATGTGTTGCATTTGTTCTGCCCTAGACATCGAACAACTTGGATTAATGTCAAAAAAGCTTTAAACGCACCGCTCCGACCCTGTGATAGATATGGTACACTTACCATTTCAACGATGTACACTTTCTTCGCAGTTGGATCGGCGTTAACCCTGTCAGTAGCTAAGCGTCAATGGAACCCAAATGCGCTGATCGAACCTCGATCTGACAGGAGCAGATGGCAATTGTGGGCCACAGACGACCGAGAAAGGGTAGCAACAGGCGAGACTTTTGAGAGGCGTCAAGAGTGTTTGAGCCTTTCAGGGGGTAGCTGCTTTTCTGCCAGGAACCCTTGAATTATTCCGACTTAACAATGCTTCTCGCATCCAGCTTCCACAGGCCGTTGTTTATAGCAATACGTCCTTATCTGTACATATGCCTGCCCTAATGAAATTCGAGATAAGGTATAGCAATATATTTCGGGTCCTAAAGGGTCAACCATAAAATAATGCTCGATGGTGAAGTACTATGAAACGTTGCTTAGTAACCATATGGATGAATCTGCTGAATATTGTTGCAGCGATCGGAAAAGCGCTGCCTTCGTTTAACCTTTCCAGTTGTCTTCGTTTTGGCGGATTTAACTGTATGATCAATTTGTGCAAAGTTTGATTCAAAATGAAACACCAAGACTTCTTTCATTCCCAGCTGATCTCATAATAGATAAGCGGAAAACGAACATTACGACTTACCCTTTTCACACGTACGGGTTCTCTATACGAGTCCTTTTTAGCGGAGTTGCACAGGTCAAGGATTACTGCTCATAGAAAGAACTCTATGGCATTGCGAAACTCGAAAGGATAGCCTCCGAACTAATTTTTTATTTACCGTTTTAATGCACAATAGTGCTTTAGCTTGTATTTACCCTAAAATAATCGAACCGTGGGGTGTTTACCAGCTATTTTGCATCTTGGAACCATGGAATTTTCGATTCGGATATCGTTAAACGATACTACAATGTAATACTCCGATAATCCAAACTGAGCTTGTAATATACAAATTTCAAGCGGATTTCTGTTTAACAAGAGTACGATAGGTCGTAGCATTCTAGAAAGGACCAACAATGTAAAAGATATTCTTCTTGACGCATTCAGGTGTTTTCTAAGCATAGCATTTATTGAGATTTATAACTATTATATTTTCAAATTCTGTGAGATTATGCGCCGTTACTTAGGACAAGTGTTTTCTCCCAAAAAAAAAAAAAGCTGCCTAACTTTTTTCTCAAAAATTTGTTTACTTTGCATTTCGTTCTATTTAGATTAAACTAATTTTTATTTCATAGATATCGTTTACCCTGCATAAAATTACTATGACACATTTAACGTGTTCATAAATCGGTGAAACGGTCTTCTATTCATTGACAGAGCTATTTTCGCGGTCTAGTAAAATAATCTCGTAATTGTCTAAGGAAGTGCCGGGTTTTGCGACGTTAAATTTTCTCCCAAACGAGCATGTTTGTTATATCACTTGAGATGAACCGTATGCTAAACCCTCAGACTCTAAATAAAACGCTCCAATTAAGTGTCGCCTTTTTTAGTCTGCTTAAATACTCTTTAATACACAATAAATATACACAAAATGTTTCGTTGGTCAAGAAAAAAAGCTATTCATACGCCCAGAAGGACACAGCAGCAGCCGTAAACACATCTAAACATTGACAAAATTAAGTACCAGTACAATTGTTTGGCATTATTTTTAAAAACAATTATATTTTTTTCGGTGTAAGTCAAAAAATAATCCTATTTCCCCCGCTTGACAAGGTACCACAAAAATCATGGAACAAGAGACGTCTATGTGTGCATACGAAATAAGCGTTTATCACTTTTTATTTATATATTTATTTGAATTGTTGTATGTTACTTGAGCTGAGGCTGACAATGTATTTATAATACGTTGTAAGTCTGTGTTTCTTTGTAGGATATGGAAGTTGCTGTATTAATTGAATTGGCATTGGCGCGCATTTGCCTATAATCAGACAGGCAGTCTTGTTCCTTCTGCATCTTGACAACTGCTAATAATTCATGCATGCTTGGTTTCACGCAACAAAGGTAACAGTTAAACAGATCGCAGGTTTGTCCTGTGAAAATCAAACTTCCTCGATGGGTCAAAAGAATTTTACAATAGTACGTGTAGCTCAATGAAATCTTGTTGAAAATGCAAAACGAATACCGTATTACTTGATTTCTTTGATCAGCTTGGCCATCCGACTTGAAAACCGCCGTCATCTAACCTACCCTGTTCTAGTAATAATTGTTAGGCAGACTGCTCGTGTTTCCACGTCAACCACTGTTTTTGTTTAGGGTTAGCGCAAGGTGGGTGCAACGCAGATGGCGTTTACTCTGCCTAACTCGCCACACTCCTCGCAATCGAAATCCTTAAAGTTGTATTGGATTTTGTAAAGCATTGAGTTTTCGGCCGTGTAAAAGAATAGCTGGTCGTTGAGATACAGGTTGTTGCTGATCCCGAGCTTGCACTTGGCTTTCTTACATTCTTGAGCTCCGATTGTCACTACAAATACCTGTTAAGAGCAAACAAATAGACAACGTTATATGAAATCTTTATCAGCTTTATCTATGAGCCGGGTGTGGCTAAACCATCGAAGAAACGCCTTCTGGGGTCTCTGAAATGCACAAATAGTAGACCGACGCTCTTTTTTCAAGCCCGCCACTGTAGAGGATACTTGTTACGTGTGCAAGAAAAAAGGCAAATTAGTAACCTTATCGGCGTCTCCTTGTTCGTAGAGAATGAGTACTCGTTCACTGAGGGCGACGACTCGCGGGTTGAAAAGCTTACAGTTCGTAAGCGCTGGATGAAACCGCACTGGGGGTTGCTTGAATTGACCCACCACCTAAAATCAATGTTCAGTATGAGACATACATTTGGAAGAACAAGACGCATTTAACCCACAAAAAAGGACAATCGCCATCAAAACGGGTATATGCAGGGCGATGATTTCAACCACCTAACAAGCTCGCAAATGCATCTTGACAACCTATGAACCCGCTGTAGGACAGTTCACATTGTACCGATAGATCCGTCTTTGCACAGTCTGTTCGAAAATACGTGTCCTGTTTTTCCTACTAGAAGTCTAGGAGCGTCATTATAAAAAGCGTACCTGATCGAAGTCGAGGCAGAGCAATTCGAGATTGCACGGAAAAGCTCGATGGGCGATCAGTAACGCGAGTGTGGAACCAGTTCGGTGGGAACGGTACCACGAGATATCGTGGATGACGTGTTCACTCAATGAGTAGACGAGCTCGAACATTTTCAACTGGCAGTTCCAAAGCGCTACGTGATGCTGTTGTAGCACAGCATAGATATCCCGACCGCACTGAAGTAGACTATCACATTGAGCCTCGACAAGTTGACTTGAACCTCGCTACAAACATTAACACGAATTAAGTCAAGTTATATTTATGCAAATGTACACGCTTCTGCAATTACCTGATCAAGACATCAAGATGTTAAGAAAAGTTGACCGAGCTCGGTGCTTCAAATGAGTCTTGTGAATACTATTAGCGCACATATATATGTGTATAGCTATTAATAATAATAGCTATAATATAGCTATTGTACATACAGATAAAGGAGACAGACCCCATTACTGTTCCATGGGCAGAGGTGAAGTCGGCGAGTGTCGGTTAAGACAAGCGCGTACCGGTTTGGGACGACGGCCAGATAACGAATACACTCATGGGGGATGTCGTGCGGCAGTTGCAACTCCTATGTTTCAACAACAGCGAAAAAGCAGACAGCAGATACGATAGTTGTCCTCAAATATAATTTGAAGATTAATTTGACTACGGACCAAACTATGTTGGAGAATGCTTCTCGCAGATAAATGGTCAATGTTAAATCATCAATGTAAATGCATTCTACATTTGGCGCTTATGTTTGACTTTATCTACCATATATAGTATTGTAGATACATTTACATAATTATTTACCGGATTTTGCGCTGCTTAAGAGCATAATAAGGGTTCTAAACAAGGCTCATGCATACAAAGCTGATCTTATTGAAACTATCAAACTAGTTGCGGTTAAATGGAATCGGCCTATATTTAAAAAAAGCACTTTCATTCTCCACTGTGACGATTGGTACTGCGTATTGGAAAGACTACGATAACTTTAGCAGCGTAATAAACACTCCAATAATATGTTCGTCCACCTCTCAATAGATTCTGCTTAATATATATACAAACATATATATTAACCTGATTCGATAGTTGGCGCATAAGTGTGGTACCCTCAGAAATGAGCGATCGGAGCTGGAACATCCATTCATCTTGACTGCTCAGGAGCTCACTTGTGGAGTGAGCACGCATGAGTTGGCCCGCAGTCATTTTCGCCGGAGGACCACCAAACTCCCCGCCAAATCCGTAAAGATCGTTAAGGCTACCCGACTGCCGTGTAGGTTGTTTCTGGTCTTCAAATAACTTCGTAACGCAATTGGGCGAGTGCTTGTAGATTGCATAGGCCGTTTCGGGCGCGCGTCCTAATCGTTCCAAGCTGTTCTCCAGCTCGCTGATGAGAGCGCGTACATCGTCACAGATCGTCGGCTGTTTCGATCCTGGCTGGCCGAGCTTCCAACATTGCAAGTATAATACCACAGTTTCTAGCCCCAGTTCCTAATAATTCACTCAGCCGGCGAGAGTAAATGAACTGTAATGCAGGACTCTTTTTGGGATATCATTTATTTGGTGGGTAAGATCGCATTGATAGGGTACAACAGTGATCCTGAATGAACCTGTGATTCGAATAATTATTACCAGCGTTACTATATGGATCTACGAATTCATAAACTAGGGTACGACTGGTTCAATTAACATATTATTTATTTCGGATAGAAATATGTCCGCTGCTGGCCTTCATGTACGTCTTTTGTAGTTCACTGGTTTAAGAATTGGCCACTGTGTTGCCCTTTCCGGATCGTATGTTGTTTATTTATCCTTAGGTGTGCTGCTGGAACATATTTTACGTCTTTGGGTTCACACAGGCCTAGCATAGCTTACTGGCCTGGCATCTGCTTAAACCGTCTCGAACAGACGAACCCATTCCTTGAAGGCATCCAAGTTAACCTGATGATGATGCGATTTCTGAGTTGGCTATGAGGTTACCTACACCCTGTGTTATCGTTCATAAACTAGCAATGACGCACGTTTAATGATTTGTCAAATAAAGTTCTCTCATAGAGCCCAGAACCGATTACGATCAGATTCTGACAAGGCGTGGGCTTTCTTGTGTAACACGAGGCTTTAACGTACACTATTAAAAAAATTACTTTGAACATGCCTTCTGGTTGTATTTTTAACGCACAACATTTAAATGAAAAAAGAAGACACGTAATTGTTACTATAATTCAAAGTTCTATAGTCATGAAATTCCGACTAATGTAGCTGATAAGACAGACAATTACATGCATTCAACATTATTGGTCCTTGCCTCTGGGTTAAAGTTGGCTTCATCCAATCATCTTATAATGTTTCGTGAACCGAGTCAATGCATACCTGAAATATGCGTACTATCGGCAGCCGTTTAATGCATGCACGTGCCTCCAGCCGACGTCGAATAAACATGCATAAATCGAAAACGGCCCTCATTTTCGTACAGACAGGCATAGTTCCATTAGGAACAATATCTTTGTTCATTGTTACTTTGATATGTTTAATGTAAATTAACTCAACCCAAGATAGCCTTCCCCGATACTTCAATTTTTTTTTCAAAAACGGTGGGGTTTTAGTGAAGAAAAAACGTGGGAACAAACTCCTGTAAATTTTGCTTGGAAAATTCAATTTCCATGCCATCACTATTTTGAAGATTTTAATATTAACCCGGATCTTTTTTTAACAAAAGGAAGGTCAGAGATTCCTCTTACTAAAAATATTATATTACAAAAAAAATATTTTCTCTCTTGATCTAATACTTTTAACGTTATTTTCAAAGTTTGTTTATATTTATGGTGACTGTATTTTGAGGATTCTAGACCCTTTTGAAGTTCGATTCAAGTTGCATTCGCTTAATGCCCAAGTTAATGTGAAAGTGTCGGAAATTAGAATAATTCTGCATGTGCTCCGTGGTTTTAATGGCAATTTAATTTAGGTTATTCGGTTTCCAATAATTAATGAAATAAACTCAAAACGAATATGTAGGGTACAAAACTAGTTGGCATATCCGAAATAGTTAAAAAAAATACATGAGGGTGATGCTGAAAAGGGACTTGAAGTTAGTAATATTCGGCTGGTATTCGTATTGAACTTACCTTATCAAGGCAGCATCCTCGAGCTATAGCCGGCACAAGTTTCCAGAGTTGTTCAAGTTCTAGACGTGAGAACTCCTCCGACTTGAGGACGTCTTGAAGATTCTCTTCAATAAAAGACGTCACAAAATCCGCAAGGTTCTCTAATAGAAGGTACTCCACTGCAAACAGAAGGCGCAGACAATTATCCGCGCTCACAGTAAACCTGTAAAATATATAATATATTATCACTTAGAATATTGCATGGGGTCGTATTTATGTTACCTTTAGACAAATAAACGCGTAACTGATTCCTTTAAGAATTTCTTTAAGAAGAATACATTAGAAGTGTTGAAAGTCAGTTTGTTTAGTTTGTGTGCATTTATTACACATAAAATAGTATTACTTAGTTAAATAAGTATGGTCAATCTTGGTTCATTTTGCCATTGAAAAAAATATGCTTTTCTTGCTACGCATGCTAAGATATCGTTCACATTCAGCATATGTTTTAAAGTAAACAAAAGATAAGTTTTCTACGCACTTGCTCCATATAAGCTGTCGACTAATATATATATATATATATGTGCAAAAATTCCAACGTTGCCATAATTGCCTCGTGTTCATGAATGGAGACATTTTAGCTAATGTATCGCGGAAGTTTACCACAGAATAACTATAAATAGAATAATTGAGTGTTTGAATAGCGCTTCGTATAGTAAGAATTGCAACCGTTTATTTAAATAAAATAACGTATTTATGATGTAAATCGGCTTAATCAGTTATAATAGTTCTTCTTAGTAGAGAAACGGGAGGAGAAATGGCTGTTTATTTACCTGCCATGTAGAAAATAGTTTAAGATGCCTTCTAGCGCCTCACCGTCGACATTCTCAAGTTTGGCTCGAGCATGCCGGCTCTCTGCAAAAGCGCGTGAAAATAGAGCTTCAAAAAATGGAGACCACCGTGCCAAAACCCACTGGTGGCAACGAAATTGGGCGCCGTCGTTACTTTCTAGTAGCACCATCTGGTCACGGGTGGATGACCCCGCCCGCCAGCATAGTTCCTCCAGCCAGGTAAGCATGAGGTCGCCATAGTTGTGAAACACTTTACACCAACTTGGATTCGACATATCCCAGCCGTCGTACGCAGTACCAGCAGTTCTGGCCACGAGCGCCCTTTGATCGTCGTTAGCGTTGCCTTCCTACCGCCGTTTCAAAGCCACGTCCGCTACCAGTCCAACAATCTTTATTCCATCACCGTTGCCGCCGTTGCAAGTATCAGCGATTGATGGACGACGTTTTTCACCGATCGGCAGTAATTTTTTTTCCAAACAACCTCACACTGCGTCACAATTGCACAGAAGTGATCGCCTCCCACACTGGTAAGCTATAGTCGTCTGAAAGCCATCTTTTTTTTTCGACTCTTTATTATACGATACGTAAGCCGCGTGAAAGCAAACTGGTAAATCAAGTGGTTTCTTCAAGATGCTGGATCATTTTATCTGTAGACGGTTACTTCTAGGGGCTGCAGACTATAGGTTGACTTTGTAGAACGAACCTTGCGTAGACCGCCAGCGTTCCCTGTTGACTACCACGTAACTGTTTATTTTTTTACATTTTTTGGGGGGCCCTATCTTCGTCAGAATCAGTTGTCATCCATAGCAAGAACACAGTATAGCATTGTTTGGGTATTTCTATGGATCGATATATGTCTGTAGTGCTATTAGTATTATGAAATGCTTTGATGACCACATCCAGTTTGCTCCACGCTCAAAGAGAGAATTCAATCTCTTTTGTCTCTCCAAAAACATTGATATTTGGCGATGCCTGTTGGGAAATAATAAACCTATTACTTTCTTGCATTTCTTGATAACTTCACTCGGCGGCCTTATCAATGTTCGAGTTCGGTGAAGGATTCTGTTCCATGGAAGAAACAGGGTTACGGCTGCGCTGAGTTCAACAGAAAAGCCTACCGTGGCCGCAGTAACAATACTAGCGCTGGTGGTGGCGGCAGCGAAGATACGTTGTCTTATGTTTATGTATCACGTTCGAGGAGCAGCAGCAGAAGAAACCAGCTGCAGCTTCATCAGAGCGACCACGACGACCCCCATCAACACAGCAGAACATGAATTGCTAGAACGATGGAACCGCCGCAAACTGCGCGGGACAAAACGCCCCCACGGGTGCTTTCTGTAGCCGAACTGCCACAGCTGAGAGAGGCTACGCTCGTACCAAAGAAAGAAGCGAGAAGGAGGGCATCCAGACTATCGCTCATCTATGCAGGCTACCTGTACGGCTAGATACCAGCCGCCTCCCTCTTAAGTGTATTAAACCCTTCACTCTCGAATTTTGCTTCCCTCTCTCCCTCCCCCCTTCCCTCCGCGTAAACTGTAACGACAAAATCAAATCAGACTTAACTGGAAAGAGGGAAGGGTGGAAAGGAGCAAACCTAAAGTTAACATTTTACGAGAGATATCAAGTATTGAGAAACACCTTCGAAATCGCACAATATGCTAACGATTTTTACGAGTTTCCATATATAAAAAATGATAAGTCTAGAGCGATGTCAAGCATGCAAGTCCACGAGTTTTGAATGAAGTGATAAGTGATAGAAAGAGATAGATATGATTTCATTTCAACCCTGTTTAATTGTACATTCATTACATCAACTATCTTCAAACGGAGATTCAGGCCGATCCCGTTTGTTTAGAACAAGGTAGGTAGAAATATGCTAAAGACACAAACTCCCTATATAGTGTTTGTAACTCTTGTAAACCCTGAATGGCTGCGTAATTATTCGAACCTTTGTATCTATCACACACACTTGGCGAAGATAGGGTTTGATATTTGGAAAAGACTTGCGAAATCATCGCATAGTTTACTCTGGTAAGTACTTCAGTTGAAACAGAACCGACGATACGGAACCAGCAAAAGGTAATATCGTATTCGACATGACAATAGCAAAAAGTTTAAAACTGCACCCAAGGACGACTATGGACGTTTCGTGTGAAAAGTCGGAAATTATCTTCGTTTCTTTAAGCGATGTAATGCTGGTGTGGGGAAATGCTTATAATTTCCCCATCTGTATCTATATAGGGTTGATATATTGTCATGTGTCGATGTACACAAAAAAAGGGGCCGGTTTAGACATATAGCTCTAAAAAATAACGGATCGACTGTTACTCTTCAAAATGCCATGCAATCAGCATATTAAATTACTGTCTGGGCCCCAGAGCTGGAAGGAATTGACTAGGATCATTTTTGGTTTTTTATGGCATACAGCCGAAAAAACAAAAGGTGAAGTGATTTTTTACGGAACCTGTAAATTTTATACTACCCGAACAACACTCAGGACCTAAGTGAAGAACCCGCAGCGAATAGATCAATAAACCAGACAGAGCCTTATTACTACTTTACGACTATTGTCATTTATTTCAGTACTTTGTTTTTTTTGGCTAGTCAGTGGTCTAACCAAAATACCAATGACTACTAGAATATATGGAATGTTGTATTTTTGCTAGCAGACTGTAACATGGGTATTTTCACTGACGTCTTACTTTAATATATATCAAACCATTCTACATTGCAAGATTTAGATTAAATCGCCCTGGGGAGTAATAGTTTCGTCAGCTTCCACGCGACGGAAATCTGTTTGCCCACCAGTCTTAACAAGAAGCCTAAGATTTTGTACTCGAATGTCCTGGGAGATGGCCTTACACATGTCATAGATACAGAGAGCTGCAACAGAACAGGCTGTCAAAGCTTCCATTTCGACACCTGAAACGTCATACGCGTCATTTATTTATTACAGCTGGATTGAGTCAAACTTGCTTGCCAGTCTATTTCTATGTCGAGTGTAGTACACCAGAACCACTATTTATAAACGCATTTGTTATGTAAATGGCGTCTAGTTGACCTCTTGAGTGATTCTCAAATACCCATTTTCCATTGATCCAATTAGGAAGTCGAAAAATAAAATACTTCGTTGTAACCTAATCGGAGCACAAAAGCGATCATGACTAACTGTTGTTGAAGTGCTAAACAACGGATTGGAATTAGATCAACTAATTCGAGAGCATTCAGACATAGATCCTGATACATATAATATAATGGTACCAATAACCTACCTGTTTTTCCAGTACAAGTAACAGCGGATGTGATGTTAACGCAAGATAGTTGGTCATCTAGACTCAGCGTCACCTGTTGAAACAACTTTCAAACTCATACTTATTAATTATCTTATTATACTTATTAATCGTACATATTATGCGTTAAGCAGCATTAATTACATTTTCTTTGAAATATTATTTCTCGTTTTATTCACGTGCAAGTAATCTCAACAGTTACTCCTGTTACAACAAAGCAGAGAATTACACGTGAATAAAAATTTTTTATGGAATTATAAATTGAATGATGATAAATAAATTGTGCGCACAGTGAGCTATTCATTTCAATTGAGAAATCGTCGCTCCGTGTTTGAAACATTAATTTAATGAGATTACTAATAAATTAACAACCCGTCTTGAAAGCGAAATGCCGTGATAAAACGTATATCCTGATCAGAGCGTACTTGTGCTTATTTTAGTGCTCACTAAAGCGGAAAAATAACCCCTGCCTAAGCAGATGATTTAGACGGAGCGGTGCTATCCGCCCATATCGTGCCTGTATGAAATATATAATTGACGCTGAACAAAGACAAGTGGAAATTGGTTTACCCAATGGTCAGACAGCTTTCAAATATGAGCGCCTAAACCTCTCGTTTGAAATGGCGACCTTCTAGGGGAATAATTAGGGATTTACCAGTCGAACCTTGGGTTTAACTTTTTGATGTATAATAGAAAGGGACACACCTGTGAGTGCTCTAGGTTAATAGCGTGACACAGTGGAATCAGTAAAGCAGTCTGTTTTGATGCTTGAATTCCCGCTACACGGGCCGTACTCAAGACGTCCCCCTTCTGGAAACAGTATTGTGCGTATAAGATAGCCACTTAATAATCGCTACCGCGTGATGTACCATTTTGTAACACTATAAGAATTGAATATGTATTCAATACACTTTGACACTTGTTATCCAATACTATTCATTCATTTTACTTAACTTTTCGTAACAAATTTGACATCCTACCTTAAGTTTATTTCTCTTAAGAAGATCAAATACGTCTCTAGGAAGGTCAACTCTGCATGCCGCCTCAGCTCGTCGAACTGCAATAGCTAAATAGCAAGATTTATATTGCATAAGGAAAAGAAAAATCAGCATTTTTTACGGATACTGGGAATAGGCATTAGGGCTGGTAGTTTTCCTTCTAAGTTAAATAAGTACATCAATTAATCCTTCTCAAATATGTAAAAAACACATTAAAGGGCCGTAGATCATATATAATAGATCATTTTAGAGACAGATATCTAGTGGTGCAGTACTTACTGAGACCTTAACCCACCTTTTGTTGAAACATCAACTTGAACTACTTTTCCGGCTAAGTCAACGTGCGACAATGCTGAAGAACTTGACAGAAACCTTCGCTTTAAACCTGCCACAAAGAGAAGGGCTGCTGTTCTTGCTTTGACGCAGTACATCTTATTTTTAAGAATGATATGCCACCTATATAAATCGAAAAACACATCACATATCCTCTGTGTGTCGAGTTTCACGTCTGGTACCGCCGTTAATTATTCCATTAGACGGCCGACTTTCAGCACGTATTTTATGATTAGTGAGGTTCATATGTTCTTTTTCTATAAATGTAGGCAACTTGAAGTCTTGGTTCAACAGAATACACAATGCTCTAAACGACATGTTTAGGAATACTCGCGTTCGTTGTACCAAAAGTAACATTTTTTTTCCATGACGCCTTATGTCACTGAACTTCGCTACCACTATAGATCGGGTGGCAACGGCCACTCCGTCTCCATACTGAGGTATACGTGTGCCAATTAAATTAGGCTAACTAGGTGGAAACCCTTTCACTACTTTTAAATAAGCGACGGCTTGGGTTGGCATGAAATAAAAGCCTGATGCAACCAACTCTATTCTCCACAGTTTTTTAGCGCCTCAGTGGGTACAGAAAGTATAACTTCTAAGTCTTTAGGGAGAGGTTTCAATTTCGAGTGGTCATTCAGTGAGCTGAATAGAAAACTATTGAAAAGATATTGCTTGCGTCTGTTGTCTCAGCTTTCACTCATAGAAGTATACGTTGAGCCTAAATGTTCAATCATCAACAATCTTTTACGTATAACTATAGAAACGCCTTGTCGACGAAGCTACCGTGTTGATCTGTCAAACCAGTCGTCAGACCAAAATGCATACAGTAACAGATCAAAGGTCTCGACATAGAAGGAGATAGAAGAGACATATGTAGCCGTTGATATCACAAAACCAATAGATCACACGGCACTGAAGTTCACAGTAACGAGTCTGTCTGCGTAGTTTGGTACTTTTGTAGTTATCAATGCCTTTACTCTTTCAACGCAAACTTTAGAATTTTAATTTCAGCGTGAATACTCATTGAAGCGAAAACTTATTTATATGGCCAAATGGCCAGAGCGGGCGAAAAAATGTTTGCTTCGTAGATAATTGAAAATACATATGTTTAAAAACTAACACCTATCAAGACGTACTACGCCTTCACATAGTCTGTAGATCCCACAAAATTTGCTGCTAGCGCTACGTATACAAAATGCGAGCCAATATACATACAATAATACATCTAAAGCATATACAAATTCTGCACATATTCCTGAGGCACGTCTACGAACAAAATTTATAAAACATAATTGCGATAACAGACATGTTAATTTACAAGCACCATTACGTCATGAATGGGACTAGACTAAGTGGTTCATTTATGAACAATAATTGTAATAAGCTTAAACTCAGTTATTGGAAGACGTAATCTTCCACAATAATTGAAAATAAATCACAGAGTTTCCTCTATTATTTAAGACTCCTCGCTCACAATATGTACAGCTAGCTTAGTACATTTTGCATGCCGACCCAGGTTAGAGGATTAACTAGAGGACTGGTCAGAAAGTAATTCTATCACTGTTTTTGAAGCAACCTCCAAGAACAATGCAGAAAGACTATCGTTTAGACTGTTCCATTCAAACACTCTTCCTTTGTCTCCCTTTTGGCAAGGAGACTGAGATGTGGGCTGCGAAAAGGCGCTTTTCCGTGGAGAGTGAATACACGCATCCAATGGTAGCATCCGCCGCTGTGTGTACTCCTACCAGCATACAACCGGAGTCCGAGATGATCAGTGATAATATTAAAATGAGACTACCAATCCGATACCTAGTTAGATGGCATGCGTAAGCCCTGAAGCACTTTTTGATATCCAAGCTTCTAGCCGTTTTCTCACTAGAAATCGTTTAATCGTTCTAATTTTGTGTTAAAATTCGGAACATATCTTGGTATAAGCAAATGTGCTGACATGTTGGAAAATGCGTTGGCTGCTGATTTGACAATGGTCCAGCTACTACTACATGACACCGCGTTAAAGACAATCTGGAAGCGCGCTGGAATGATGACCTTCACGTCTGATAAAAATTAGACTACTCACATTAACGTGAGCGAAATGTATTGTATATGAGCCAAGTAGTAACGGGCTCGGAGTATAGACTACTAAACAAATACAGAATGCTATTATTTATATATAAAAAAAAATATCGGTGACATTTTGCCTGTTCGTAGCTGCCTTTCGTAGTCCCCTATTTATTTTTGTCCAAGTTGCGTTTTATTAAGGTGACAATATTATGTAAACTAAATGTCTTATCTCTAAAGTGGCGTATGAAGAGCTTCTGTAACGATTCTTTATAAGGTGGACATGTGAGGCACTAGAAGTCTTCAATTTGATACCTACTCTTACTGTCTAATGTATTACGATTTCAGTTTTAATTGAGATTTCACGTTTATAATGTCTTTCAGGGAAACTTCGTTCTGATTCCGCTACGGCCGTAATTGGCAAAGATCATAGTTGGTGCAGAACGCCGCTTGCTTGTCGTCTGCTTAAGGTAGTTAACGGAAGGCCGTTAACTGGCCGACGACAGTCAGCGGTGCGAATTTTGTCAACTATCATTCAAGGTATGCTAGTAGACATCTGAATTCACGTATGTCTACAATTGGATTGGTTGTCAAAAGGACGGGGCAGCAAAGCAGGTAGAGTGCGCTGCTCCGTGGCGCTCCGTGGCGCTTGCGTCGGTAGCTGTTGTTCTACTGTATCAATCAATCAATCAGCGTGTGACAGAAGAGCGCCTTCGAATATTGCTACCCTGTAAATTTGAAGAAGTGTCGTGATTTAGCTTTTGCTATTGAAAAGAACTTGAGCATATAGTGTAGAGAAAGATATTCTCTAAAAAAGAAGTTCAATGTATATATTGTTGATAGAGTGTGCCCGTACTACTAGTGATGATTAAACTTTTTGGCAACTTTCACTTACTGAAAACTGCGCCGCATGCCTTCGCTATCGTTTTTATCATTTCACGGCTTCACCAGTTCGAATTTCGTCTAGAAAGAGACATTTCGTGTGTGATAGAACCACGGTCTCCTCGGCAGCACCACTAATTGGTGCCTGTGAAGCACCAATTACTCCATCAGAACATCAGTTGCATTGGAAGGATGTTGGACCTTGCGAGCCTCTTCTGGGCGATTATCTGTTTCGTTCTGCTCGTTCTTATCGTGGTAATCATTGATACAGCCTTGTCCTAAGTAGGAATAAATGAGATGAGGAAAAATCAATTAAATATAATTTTGAGAAGAATTTTTTAGCTTTTCGAAGGCCCTTGTCACAAAAAATAGATATAAGGATTTTTCACAGCTCAATGTATATTTCATGGGTTTAATCGGGCTTCACTGAGGTTAGGCAAATTAAATTCGATACTAATTAATAAAATAAAATGATTCAAAGATATTTGTTAATGCTAAACTTGGTTTTATCTCAAGTAAAAGTATTGACACATTATATTACATGTGCCAACAATGCATATTACTTATCTGTCTTTTATCCAAAAAAGAACTGAAAATCGAAAATTAAAAAAAAAAATGTTATTTTTTTCCTATAAATAATAACTTTGGGTCTATTTGTGCCTACACCACTATATATTTCTGTATCGATTTATGTGGGGGGTACTAGGGGTAGTACAAATTAGATATAATTTTAGCGAGGTGTATCGCAAGAATTCTAGAACAAGCTTTTACTGCATGTCACCTATATTTAAAAAACAATCAAATAAACGATCAAAATTTTACGCAGTGTTTTACATTATTTGTCGAAAGTGAATCGGGACCTAAAGTTAGAAGTTCTCTGCAGATATATACTCGGTTGTACAACATGTATTCTCTCTGATTAATCAAAATACATAATCAAAGTTTGAGCCCTGAGAAGATTTCACGAATTGAGTTTAAGTATTTAATGCGTTTCCCTAGCTTTCGGCTCTACTATATTCAACATCTTCGCGGTATCCGGATATTATCCGCTATGATGAGGAAATGTTTTTCAAAAGTGGGGAAAACCTTCTGACAAAGAAAGCCTTCCCAAAGCTCTCGGATGCACCGACCGTAAAGCTGTCCGTGATTGTTCCAGCATACAACGAAGAGCTGCGACGTGAGTAACACGCGGGAAATATTTCTTTAGTGAATTTTAATGTTTTGCGCTTCACTGAATCGATCTTGAATGATAGTTTGTAGAACAAAGAATATGTACAAATACGCGAGTTTTATTAGCTTATAAATGCTTGGGCGAAAATAAGCTTAGGAAAGGTTCTAAGCGGAAATGAAAAAGCACAAGTCGGGTGTATACGAATATGCAGGAGTCCTAAATCGAGTAAAACCTGTTTTCTTAAAGCAGCTGCTTGTCCCAGTCATCTTCATACATGGACTATCATCTCGTGTATTTGCTCAGTTATCCACGAGATACTGTGATCTGGTATGCGTAAGTTAACAGAGTAATGAGTGTCGGCCGCTTGCTCCAATAATAAAATGAGCACGATATTTTCGCCCAATGTGGAAAATGGACGACACTGTTTAAAATTCTTATATAGTGATCCTTGTTACTAATGCGATCAAACATGCCCAAATTACATAAGTGTCTTTTTATTCAAAGTTCCACCGATGTTAGACGAATGTACACAATATCTGGAGGCTCGACGAAATCAGGAAAAAGACTTCACTTACGAGGTTAGTTTGTTGAGGTTTCATTACCTGTTTTCTTAGATATTAAATAAGGAGTTTACAAAGATCTGTGTATATTAATTATATTACAACCTATAAAATCAAACAGCTAGCATGGCTAGTGTAGGATCTGTTTGTTTTCATGTGAGTTTCGTTTTATAACTTACGAGTGTCATTTTTTTTATATGTTAGATAATTGTAGTAGATGACGGCAGTCACGACCGAACGACGCAAGTGGCATTAGAGTACGCGGCGCAGCTGAGTGCACAGCGTTTCCGCGTGCTTACGTTGGTAAAAAACCGTGGCAAAGGAGGAGCAGTCAGACTGGTACGCGCCTTATACTCTTTCACCATTTACACCGATTTCTGTATTGGCATATGATTTGCTTAAAGATTTTCTTAACGATTATTAACACATTATCACAAACAAGGACTACAGTTCGCAAATATACTTTTGCCCATAATGGCAAACTATTCAGCACAATAGCAGTTATGCTATTGTGAAATGTGAAACACTGGAAAGCTTTTAAAGTAAAAACTGAGGGAAGATATTAATCGTAGCACTTTGTCTCAACTTGATATCCTGATTTTCAGGGAATGCTGAGTGCGCGGGGTGAGTTGCTCCTTTTCGCAGATGCGGACGGTGCAACGATGTTTGAAGATTATGAAAAACTAGAGGAAGTAATGGTTGCTTCGCGGTGTAAGGTATGTACTACGGAATGATTATTATATCTTTATGGATCTAGGGTGTTGTATGTGATTGTGCTATCCGCAAACTTGGATAAATAGGTACACTTTAAGTTTATGCTACGAACCCGTCTGACGTTGGGATTGGGCCTGGGAAATTTGAAGATATTTTTCTATATAGTCTTTATCATACGTGACTATATACAAGATGTGTGTATTAGTTGACTTCGTTGTATTTGGAAACTTAAAACAGTAACATACTTTGTAGCGTAGATTTAGAACTATATATATAAAGCACCTCTCGTCCAAAGTATCTGCAATATATAGTTAAAACTCGCATATGGTGTTAGTGATTAAAAACACACGATATAGCTCTTTTTCCCGCGCTCAACGCTGTTTCATAAATAAGCCTAATTATTTACATATTTTTATTTGTTTCTGTGTACAGTGCTCAATGGTTACCATAAGTCAATTTTACACTGTGTTTAATTACCGTGTTTTAATGTGAGCATTGAGTAGTACGACTTATCATTTCTTTAACAATTTTTTTCGTGTCCAAAATAATGCACCGACCGGTGTTTTAATATTTGTTGTCATGGATGCGCTTTTTTCAGACTGCATATTCAATTGTTGTCGGGTCCCGGGCTCACCTTGAAGAAAAATCGGTTGCAGAACGGACGCTGTTTCGTACAGTTCTAATGTACGGATTCCACGCTTTGGTTCGTTGATCTCTGTCAATTTAAGATGACTATCGTCAGCTTTTTTCAGCAGCAAGTGACCTAGAGCGAATGTTTTCTCAACTATTAACTACTAGAATAGAGCTTATAAGAGCTTCCTTTTATCAACCAAGAAACGTATATTTGCATTTTCAACAAACCGCATGAATATTGGGACTCGAGAAAGCTCTGTGTTGTCACACGTAATACGCCTGTTACTAAGAGGTGATTGGATTTTAATGCATGCGAGCATCATATCTATATGAGGCTCATATGTGTGTAGCCCGTTCTTCGCAATGCATCTTTTGGTTGACTATTAAAAAAGTTATCCTAGTGAGTTATCCTCGTATAAAACGATGGCAGGCGATGAGAGTTATTGAAAACACGCTTTTTATTTGATGCTGTGCTGTCCCCATACGCGGTATTTAAAGGTGGAGCAATTTCAGTATCGACGTGACCAGTCTTGTGAACTTTCATGTTGACGCTTTTATTTACAGGTGATGTTGTTTGCGGTTCGAGGAATCCGCGACACGCAGTGCGGTTTCAAACTCTTTAGCCGTGAGGCTGCTCGTGTCATCTTCACCTCCCTTCACGTACAGCGCTGGTGACTACTTCCTTGTTTCTACTTAGTCTAGGCGTATCGGATTATTTGGAAGTACATTTGGTCAACAAGCAGTATCACTCAAAATAGCTGTTATTTATTTGTACGTTCTTAACTTCAGGGCCTTTGACGTAGAAATGCTGTTTATCGCTCAACGACTCAAATTCGCTATCAGTGAGGTAAGGAGTTTGTCTTCTGTCTCATTGTTCTGCTAAACCGTAGTTAGTAAGCTCAGTTACGTTTGTAAATTATAGTGGATAGTGATTCTCCACTACGATCTGAAAGCTTAGATAGGGGCTCTGTGCGGGCGTTCAACGAATTTAGCTAACTTTCTAACTTAACTTCCATGCATTAGGTGGCAGTTCGGTGGACCGAGATTGAAGGTTCGAAAGTGACGCCATTCTGGAGCTGGGTCGAAATGGGAATTGATCTGGTGCTAATCTGGTATCGTTATCTGATCGGCGCGTGGGCTATTCGGGCGGCAGTTCCGATTAGGCACAGCGAAGAAGCCCGTAAAACCCGATGATTTGACCGTAGTAATAGACTAGTCGGCCCGTGGACAGTGAAATCAGAGATCTCTCTGAAATGGCCTAAATGAATAATTTATATATCTCGCCTTGTGCGCTTTTACAAGCTACGATTAGCCTTCGTCGTAATTTTTTACTGACCTGCTAGCTAACGTAACATCGTTGATTCAGCAGTGCGAAGGAAGCAAGATGTTTCCAAAAAATTGCAGGCTATATATACATTTTGATAAATGTGTTAAACTTTTGATGCCAGAAACTCAACACATTGGGAAATGTGTTAAGTTTCTGGCATATATTACTGAGATGCATTTCATCCGACTACACGAAGCGTTCTTTTATTCTATTCAGTTTTTTCTGATTAGGCAACTTAAAAATTACGTTGTTACAAATCATCGAGGAAGTGGCCAATGTCACATTAATTCTGAAAACTAAGTTTTGAGCCTAACTGGAATGAAAAAAAGATGTCAGGAACGGAAAAATTCGTCCAGTCTATTCCGCTTTCGTTTCATCGCAAATTCAAGCATACGTATATAAAAATTTACGGGAATTCTGTGGGAAACAATTAGCAGAATTGTTCTGCTATTTCGCATGTTCGCATCCACGATCTTTCAACTTTTTTCCGTGAAAACACTTCTATTTAACTGAAATCGTTGACACTTCAGCAGCCAGTGCCAGAGATTTATTACCATACTAAAACTCTGCATACTCTGCTGTAAAAAGTTAACATAGCGGCAATAGAACCGTCAAGCCCTATTGCTGTTATGTTAACTTGTACGAAGGTGTTCATCTGGTCAAAGCGAATATCTGAAGAGACAACGGATTTTCGCAAAAACATGACAAATAGTTTTTCTTTTGCACATACTACTAAGTCAATGTAAGGCCTTTTGCAACTTTCTCGTAAGTTACGATCGATTTGCTAAAAACTTAACTTGCCTACATTTGCAAAGTATTCAGTGCAACGGTGAATTGGTATGCAACAGACAAAGCAGTTTGTAACCAAGAAAGTTATGGCAAATTTTTCATACATTAATGGCCTCACTGATAGAACTGTTGCGGTTTACTATACATCACCTCAGTTTTACAAGTAGTATAGCTTGGTCCTGAATATTTTGCACCTATGAATTAACCTTTGCTTTAAACAATTTCCTAAAGATGCTGCACCGACTCAAGAGAGATCTCGTAACGTGTGCAAAAGAAATACGGTGAACTCGATGCATTGTAAATAGTACTGAATTTTGCAATAACTCGGTTACTGAGTACAATCGAGAAAACCAGGTATTTTGAAGTGTTATATATAACTAATAATCTATTTCTAGGATATGTATGAGTACGCTTGTTTTATAACGGGATAAATAAAAGATTAATCATGTACCGTTTCTTATTTTATTTATTACGATCGAGGTCTTATGTTGGTTCCAAAACACAGACAACCAGTAGAATTGGAATCATCAAAACGACTAGTGAATGAAACAAGAGCGATAAATAAACGTATTTTACTTCGAATAATAAAAAATAAAAATAGAATGGTAAACTGTTTCATAGAGTCTAATGCCTGTTGCGTAAGATACAAACGAAATATTAATATGTTTTCTCATGCAGATAGTAACGATTATCAGTTACAACTGTGAATAGACAATCGCATTAACGAAACTAATTTAGTAACAAATCTACACGCTAATGAATCGTAACATGAGCCAAACAAAAGTTGCGCCTGTGTCCGTTGCGGAGGCCTCGTAGGCTCAAGTCCAAAGGCGTTTCTCTTGAACAACGTAGCGCAGTCGCAGCTGGGCTTAAATTCATTCTGCTGTTAACATTACTGTATTAAAAATGTTTCTGCGGTGTATACACAAGATACTTGAGGAAAATGAAAATAAGTGAAGTAAATAAATAACAACACGACCAATAAAAACCAATATATTCTATTATTTACTTTATATACAATGCCTTAATTTCCATATATACACAATTCATTTAGTCACTATCGTCATGTTGGTTTTTTTTTAAATTTCCAAAAACTCCTTGAGGGACTGGCTTCGTTTCAACTTTATCCTTCTCATAATCGGATTCATCGTCATCTTCTTCGCCACAATCTCTCCTATCAGCCGATGCATTCTTGTTGGTGTTCTGACTTAGGCTCTCCGGATCTTCCCCATCTTCGTCATCTTCTGAAGGGAGCTCGATTTCGTCGGGGTTGTCGGCCCGTGTTTCCTCGTACGCCGGTTCCGTATCTTGGGCACGGATAAATGTCAGGGCTTTGCCAGTAATGCCGACTGCGGGCTGTTGCATTTGTGTTTTTGACGGATGTTCGTTCGTATTTGTTACTGCAGAAGTAGTCTGCGAACTGTATGGAACAGCCAGATTAAGGCTTACCTATAAAAAATGTTACACAGGTATAAACCATTTAGATTTACAAAATCACATTATTTGCAGCATTGCATTTATCAAGATCTGATGGATTTAATAGGCTTCAATGAAGATACTTTTCAAAACAACAACAGTTATTTCTTGAGGGAATTTGGTAATGGCACTGAAGAGCCAACGCATATTTCGAATTGTTGTGATACAGAAAGAAATGCTACGCTTCTGTATTTCAGCTTATTAGAACATACGAGCAAAAAAAGTACTTATAATTGACGGTCTATAATAAGTAACCCAGGCTCATTTGGGGAGGAGCTTTGACACTTCAATTTAGTTGCAAAACTCTAGTTGCTATTCCCAAGCTAGATCACTTTAAGCATGGCATATAGGTTAAAAGGAAGCTTAACGTAACAAAAGACAGATGTCTCTAAGAAAGCTTGAAAATAGATCATATACTTATAATTCTAAGTCCAGATGCTCTACTATATCTACAACATGTTTTATGAGAGTAAATAAAAGTGATAGAGCGACAGGAACTTCTAGCTCCAAACAAAGTTGCATTTGCAAAAAAATTTTACGAACCTGTGTATTAAATGTAGCCTGTACGCTACGCTTTATTCGAAGCATCTCCCGAGCCGTATCGGTGTTACCGTGCGAGACTTCGAATTCTTTCCAGGCACTCCAAAATTGAGGTTGAGTGCGTGGGTCGCACATTTGAGAGCAGTGCATCCAGATAGCGCGCGCTCGATCAACTTCGCCCAGTTTGCACTCCAATTGTGCAAACTGCATGCACATCACGATGGAGTCTGCGTCTGGCAGATTTTCAATCGCCTGAAATAATTAATTCAAACAAAACATGTCATATTATCGATTTAAAAATTATGTAAGAGAGGAAATATTACAGTTTTGTAAGTTATCATAGCCGCCCTGCAGCTATTCTTTAGTACATAACGCTTAACTTAATTCGCGCCTTCCCGCGATGTTTATTATTACAGATTTCGGATCAATTTAAAATACTAACTAATTCGTTATTCATAAGTATGCATTTAGGACATACCTTTTCATAGATTGGCCTCGTATGAGTTAAACCAAACAGCGTAGCAGCGCGCTTAATCTGCAGCTCAAACATTTCTCTTTTCTCGTTGTCCGGCACGACTTCGGCAGCTCTCTCATAGATGGACATGGCATGACGCGCCAGACCATGTTCCTCCTCTAGCTGTGCATATAGCAAATAGATATTTTTTGCGTATTTTGAGGGGCATTGCTCGAGGCACTGTTCAAACAAGTCACGTGCCCGCTCGAGCTTCGTTCCAGCAAAACGTTTAAGAAACTTACTTAGATATGTGTGCCATATATCATAAACGTTCGGCCATTTAAACAGAGCTACACCTTTTTCGTAGACCCGGAACGCCTCCTCAAAGTAATTGTGTTCCTCAAGAAAAAGAGCACAATTCAGGATGATCTGTGGTGTCCCAATACGAAGATCAATAATGTGATCATAGACTGCCTTCGTCGTTTGAAGGGTACCAAAGCTTTCTTCTAGATCGGCGTATAGAGACCACACTTTGATGTTCTTGTGAAGTCGTAGCTGCACAGTTTCCGATTGATCGTGATAGGCAACCTGTCGTGACGGGGGTGTTGTGGCAGTACGGCAGAGTTTGATGGCTTCTTCAATGTTGTCGTGTCGTAATTCCAACTCAGCATACTCACACCACACGTTGGCCAGATCGTCGACTTTAGCGTATGGCACTTGGGTCGCCTTACGGAAAATGATTCGGGCGTCATCTACCTGATCTTTACTTTCGTAAAGTTTAGCAAACTCGATCCATATCTGACAGAGCTTTCCTCCGCATGCTAGTTTTGGATCAACTGTTTGTACAGCCTTTGTGAATGTGCGAATGATCTCTTTTACATCATCCCTCAGTAATTTGACGCGTTTAAGCCATTCACCGACGTTATGTGGATTCTGTCGAAGCACCACCGAATTCAGCAGTAGCGGCCGGCGATCCATAAGGTATTCGTACCTTGCCATTTTCAAATTAATTTCCAGATCGGTCTCCTTTGTCTGAATTTCTTGCGCTAGCATGTTCCTTATCAAGCCGTATTCGTAATGCGAGTACGTCTCAAAGATTTGCGAAAAATCTCTAACTGTCAACACACTTTCCATTGCCTCCTCATACACGTCGCGTGCTCGTTCAAACAGCCTCGATCTGATGTAATAATCTGCTAGAGAGCACCATAGCTTACCTTGTTGGTCTGTATATTTTTTGATGCCACCTCGGATTATGGCGTCTACACGAAGGTTACTTTCTTCCATTTGATCAGGGTTTTTAGATATGAGTTCACATAACTCCATCCAAAGTTGATGTTTCGGTTTCCCTCGCGCAGAAGTAAACTCAGGATCGTTCACCATGTCTACTAGGAGTTGAGCCGCTTCACCCAGTCGCTCAATCGAGATGAAGTAATCAACCGCTTTCTCGCGGGATTCGGGGCTCAACTTCAGAAATCTACGATATACACGAACGCCTGTTTCAGGAATGTCATGATACTCAACAAACGCTAGGTAATCTGGCCAAATGCGGTCATGCTGCGTTATCGGTAAAGCGCGCAAGGCTCGATCAAATGTGTGTCGAAGTCGTGTGACAAAGCGTCGCCGGTGTAAGAATTCACAATACATCAGCCATATGCGAGGCATTTTGTGCATCCAAACAAGAGCCCGCTCGAAAACATTGCTCACATCTTCAAAGGCTGAGTCACTGGGGTAAAGTTTCATCTCTTCGAGAGCTTTGACACGAAGCGTGAGATACTGGTGCCATATTTTGTATGAGCCCGGTAGTACTTTCAAGGCTCGTTCATATACCAAGTTAACGGCATCCCGATTTCCTTTGGAAGTGCGTTGTCGCTTAAATTCTGCATAGCGTAGCCAATGACGAACGGAATACGGGTTTCTTAACAATTCCTCCTCATATGCTACGTCATCCTCTTCGAATAGAACAGCTACCATCTGTGCATCCATGATGACTGTGTAAAGATAAACGATACGAGCATAAATCAAACAATACATATTAAATAGTAAGTGAAGGCTATTCGAAGGTATAATATAAAAATCTAATTAGATTTTTTCCTTTTACTTTACCTACCTTTATTAACGATTTTCATGTTCCTTTTGAACTCCTTAGGGAGATACAGAACTAGTGCATAATTTTATCATCAAATTAATATGCATCAAATTAATAAAAAGCTAAGGTATACATGAGACGTCAGATTCGTAATTTCAATTAAGATTTCCAGTCAATGGGCACACGTTTATATTTAATTCAGAATTATGAAGTAAGAATCTCGTTAAATCCAGTTCCCAACGTCATGCACGGCTACTAGAAAAATAGACAAAAAGCCACCTTCAAGGGCCAGGTGAGAGAACTTCTGAATTTCTTACAGACTGCTCAGTGACTTGTACTGTTTGTTACTCCTTCAATGAGCAAACAAAACTCTTACCAGAGAAGTTTCTAGCAAGTACTTTATATATATATTCTCTGACTAATACATTATTTACACAATAGTTAGGTCTAAACAATACAATATATTCTAAATGCTCAAGTTCTCAAGAATTATTAAATAAAAAAAATCATTATATCATTAGTTTACTTGCTACCATTTACACTTTATAGATTGGTCCAAGTACTTAAATTGAATAATCTATATCTGTCTTGAAAATTAAATACTGTCGTACGGCCTATAAGTGTATTTTAGACCATGAGTAAACTGTTCCAATAGAGTTGAATGTATAAAAATGTTTTGTTTCCAAGGGTTATGAACGAATGAGTACGATAATGAAACGTAAAATTGTTTTTGAATTGCGAGCCAACGTTTATGTGATAACATATATTCTAACGTGTTTATAGCGCTTACCTTCAGCCATATCTGAGCGTATTCCTTCTGAACAAACCTTTTCGAATTTAGGTAATTAAGCACCGACAATAACATCCTACCTCAACTTGCGTGTTAACACAGCTGTCCAATACTGTCGTCTGCTAACACGGCCCATACATTCGCTTTGCAGTAGATTATTTGAAGCTTTGCTTAGCTGTTCCATTCGTATAACATAACTTGTTTATGATGACACGAAGAACCTGGCACATGAATAGAAAGATGCTTTCCGTAGAAACATGAACTGATGACGAATTGTGATGAACGGCTGTATCTTCTCTCCACCCGATTTGTTTACAATCAACAGTTACGCTGGTGCTTGCCGACGTTCGCATGTGTGCGCGCGCTGCCAAAGCGGTTGCCCGTGGCAAATTTTCACGTCGCCCTCAACGTGCACTCGAATCCACATCGGTATACTTCTTGTACTGGTGATAGAAAGTGTTACTAATACCTCGGGTTATTTGTCGAAAATGTAACCGCTGATGTTGTCCTTTCGCTGAGGAACGGGGTAGCAGCTTGCTTTTAGGTGCGTCGGTATTTTGTTCGTGACATCTTCGGGCTTGTGCTTTAGTCTGGTGCGCGAAAAGAAATTCGTTTCTGAACTAAGATTGTGTTCATTAGTATTGTTGCACCATGGCGAAAGGGGTTATACAGCCTTTACAAGCAATCGCCCGCCTACAAATTGAATTACGTAAAATGCAAGAGGATAGTCTTGAGGGTGTCATACTCAAGCCCAAAGAAGACAATCTCTTGCAATGGGACGTCGTCATTTTTGGGCCACCACAGACGCTCTACGAAGGCGGGTACTTCAAGTTGTTGATGCAGTTCCCGAAAGAGTATCCCTTTTTACCGCCAACAGTGAAGTTTATTACACCTATGTGGCATCCGAATATTTACGAGGATGGTAGGGCCTGCGTCTCTATTCTCCTTACAGGCAAAGACAGTACACTGAAGGCACTCAGGTCGTATCTGTGGAGCCCGTCGCAAAACATTAGATCCGTTTTGCTGTCAGTCATTTCTATGTTGAACGAACCGAACACCACTTCGCCCGCAAACGCCCATGCTGCACGCATGTACAGTCAATGGATGAAAAGCAATAAGCAGGACTCCGAGTACGAGAAACGAGTGCGGCACCTTGTACAGCAGACACGTAAAGATGCAGCTCGCGACAAGGTTAAGGTTCCGACTACGATGAATGAATATTTGGTCGCAAGAATACGGGTGTAGCGGCGCCAGCGCTCGTGGCGATCGTTGCAAAGACGCTTAGGATTGTGACGTACGAGTGCGAGATCGACCTTAGCAACTGCTGTGATTTGAAAGTGACGAGAAGCTTCTGAGGAGGACTCACTAAGGGTCAGCCATGAGTTTGGATAGTGCTTGTGTTAGGTACATATTCCACTGTAGTAATTGCGTTTTTTTTTCGAACTCAAAAACATGCGGAGTGTATATGAAATCGAGAAATAATGAACTCAATATATTGCTATCTCTACCAAATGCACGAAACAAGTTTATCTGTTCATCCAAGATCTCATTAATAAAGCTTCAAAATGTATGAAAAAGTATAATAAACAGACCTTTTTCGAAAAGAAAAAATGAGAAGCCTTTACTTAGATACTAAAGAAATACTCCTAATTTTAGTGAGGTATAATTTTGATGCATATCTATATTTATTCATAGATCAATGTTGTTTAAGGATATAAGCGTGGTATCCCAACGTAGCACATTCATTCCTTTGTTCTATCATGCTGGGTTACGTTGCAATGCTTGTGGGAGTAAGCGAAATCATGGATTTAAGGGACATTAGTCGAGCAAGCGTTTCAATAACTAAGCGGCACTCTGCCGCTTTAAGTTTTAAAGCTACAAAGATTGTTATTTATTAGCGTATGTTATTATCCACGCAGTATGTTCTTTTGGAGGATAAATATTTATTATTATTATTATTCCTATTAAATCACACTTATTTTGCCAAGCTGATTATAGCTCTTGCCAACATCATGTTTAGCGGATTTTTTTGCGTGAACCCGATGTTTTTTAGAGATGGCTTTCTCATCATCATGAATGCTTCCCTGCCAAGTGAATACTACACATAAAAGAAGCGTAGACATTGTTGCAGTCATCTTGAAAATGGTCGGAAAAAGCCTGAGTCGTTTTAGGGTAATGGTTAAGATAGTAATTCAGTAATAGCGATAAGATTAGCTGTTACTTAATTATTAGCTGTAACATAACGGCTATAACGGTTTGCAATAGGCCGCATTTTTACATTTATTATTGCAGTTGACATAATGTTGAGCAAAAAACTTGAATCAATGGAATTAAAAGACGCATGATATTTATTCTTATTGACTTTATTGGAGTATTTCTACACATTTTTTGCAGAAGTACATTTGTATTACCAACGAAACTTAAAGTTGTACATAGATTACAGAACACACACTACTAATATATTTTCGGAAATTCCGAAATAAGTATACCTAAATGACAACACATTTTGTAAAATTATAGGTTCGTCATTAATACATGGCATTTATTATTTATATTATTGTGACGATGTTATACCAGCGTAGTCTTTCATATAAAATGTACACAGAGTATACTTTGATCGCTTTGTTACGCACACAAATTAGTCACTCATCAATATCTGTCTATAATCATCATTCCAGTAGTGATCTCATTGTAGAAAATCGTTACACAGTTATTCCTTCGTAATCGTTTCATTCTTGCTTACAAACCAGGCCAGATGAAAAATCAAACTTGGCTCATTTTTAGTCTTAGCACCTATTGATTTCACAGTTGTTGGGTGTCTGATGCACCTCTATATAGATTACATCACTCTTAAAATAATAACTGAATCAGCCAGGAGACCGCAGATAGTCTTCATCAAATCGTTCGTGGATGAAAAAAACGATTTCGCTTGTCATAGACATTCCGATACTTTAAATTTCGCGTTTCAAATCAAACTTTTTATAGTTGTGAAATCTGATGTAGAATGTTCGTAATTAGCGTTTTATGATTGTTCAGTTCTTTTTACATAGGCGTTCGTCAAAAGCAAACATTATATATTATTAGTAAAAGAGAACCACATACATATAAAACAATCATGATATGATTTAAAAAAGAAAGTAGGAAACGCGACGTTCAGAAGGTCTGTTTTGGCATGAATTTGTTGATCAACTGCGTCACATCGCTATTCACAACCAAGAGATGCACGTACGTATGTGTGGGCATGTGCATAACAGTGTTATATATGTCGTTGTGGAAGTTGTGTCGTCTATTTTGTCCAGCCAAATATACGCACTGGGATATATCAGGATTTGGTGCCAGCCATCCTCGCACGTGAACTCTAGATTTTAGCGTTTTCTCTAACGTTACGATACAGATTCTGTTGGTCCCTGCATAGAACAACGAATCATTGCTTTTGTTTGAAACAGAATGAATATGCAAATTGGTCATTTCGAGTTGTCTATCGACACTGAAATCAAGTTATCATTTTAACGCTGAATTCAGCTGAATATGTATGTAGGGTAAACATATTGATCTTTAGCGTGTTCACAAATTTTAATTATCATCGACTAAAATGCTGCGTCCAAATTTGTAAAAGAAATAGATAATTACATTTCCTCTAATAAGTTTACATGATTTGGGCACGGCTGATCTCAGGAGAATATTTCCGCTGATTGTAATAACAGTATGCAAAGCATACAGTTACAAAGGATATTCAGGCTAATACTTGCAGGCTGAATAATAAATCTTTATTATTTCAATAGCTTTGCTAATATATATTTCACACGATTGTATGGTTAGTAGGCACGATGACAAGCCGTCAATTATGAATTCACATTTAGAAAGTGACAAGTGTACGGCAAGATTTGTACATTTTTTTTATCCCACGCCTTCTTAAAAAACATTTTAAGTACACACCGCAATTCACAGCTATTTTTGGCAATATTTATTTTATTCGCTGCTCACTTTTCAGACGAAAGGATTCTATCAAAAAAAAAAAAAAAAAACTGTTAAATTGGATTAAGAAAACTTGTGATTTAGTTATAATTGACTTCTTCACTTATCAGGACGAAGAACCTACTTGGTTCTGTGCACAAATAGAGACGCGTTAAAACAAGATTGCATCAGTAAAAAAACATTTTTTAGGTGTGTGTACAGACAATGACACACCGACCTAAACTCACTATTTATATTTATCTCGATGTAATCGAAAATGTAAGTCGAATTATTATAGCACCACTTGAACACTTAAATTTACCCGTTCACGTAAACAGACACACACACACTTTTGACTTTGACAAAAGTATAAATTAATCTGCATACACTTCCTACATACTATTGTTATCATAAACCTAACCAAGCGTTTGTTTAAAAGTACGCTACTGTACAGATAAATATAAATACAGTTTTTCTCTGGTCACTCCTTTATTTCTCCTTATCTAGTAGACAAAAAATATTAAAAAACTCCAGTTTATAGTAAGAAAACAATTGATTCGAATTCGTGCACGAACACAGGATAGCAACTCCTCACTCAGTTACGACAAGAGCGGCTCCTTTATTTAGAGCAGCTTCTCAAACTATAAATTACCAAATAATTAAGACATGTCCTGAAAGCTTTTTGTATTGGATTGCATAGCGGCCACGGTAACAGAAGCATATGCGTCTAGTAGCATTGCAAAAACATGGCTAGTGTCAAAGTTCGTGTTCAAAAAAATATTTGCTTTGTTCACAGAACCTCATCGAAGCAAATATTGTATATTATTATATGCACAATCTACATTGGCTTGTCGTGTTTTTCTTTAGTTCTAAATCATTAAGTCGGTTAATCGCTTTGGTTGAGGGTAGCAATTAAAATTGACAATGGCGTTCATCTACAAAATGTAGAATACAAAAACTCTTTCTTACAACTCCTCCTTCAGGTTTTTTTAGACGAACATGGTGTAATTTAGTAAAAGTAAACAGGACAGCTCTAAATATTGGGCGATGTTATCTGTTTGTACATAGGTCACGTCATGAATTTAGGTAGTAAACCAACGTAAATATACGGAATAGGCCTTCCGACTGACGAGACATATTACTATCTATGTATGAACAAACGAAGATTGTTTTTATGCAGAATACTTATTATGATTAATCACTGGATTTCCGGCATACTATTAGATACCAATCCTTCTAGTAAACGGCTTCCCATCCTATTTAGTACTATGCATTAAATAATTTGACAATTCGTTTTAGACTGAAGCATATGAAGCTACTTGAGCTTTATCATCAGCCTTATTATGCCTATTTTGCTGACAATTTTATACAGTGTTGGAATTGTATTTTCGTGTATGGATTCTTAGAAATTTTTTTTTCTATAAAATGTTTTTGTCTTGATCATTGTCATAACCTAAACGGACGTCTCGGATTGGAGTCGTAGTTGGAACTTGTTACATTTGGGATCGACCACCTCCTCTGTAATATTGAAGTGCGGTAAATTATGAACGCTGGCCATCAAGGATACGTCGCCTTGGCGAAGGATAAATGTGATGCCCTCCTTTACTGGTCGAGATAAGAGAACGTCACAGACCAAGGCCCATGACTGAATGGACGTTGCCAACTCACGTTCATCTTGTAGAACTGGCTCGTATTTTAAGTATTTCTCGAGGAATGCCTTTGGACTAAGATCATAATGCAAGCAGGTAGCGAGATGTTCGAGGATGCCCTGCATCGTGTGCCGAGGTTGCTGCCTTGTGATTCGAAGGAATTTCTGCAAAGCACGCGCCATTGACGGAAAGACGGCCTGAGCAGCTTCCTGTGGATCCATCAAGAACCCTCCTGCCCCCGTATTTTCCTGGTTCTCCTTCACGCGTTTAATATGAGTAAATGCATCTTCTACTGCGGTGATCAAACGAGCGCGGCGTTTCTTAACCCGTTTCTCATAATCATGTTCGGCGAATAAACGATCCGTCGTTCGCCGTCCACCACTTTGGCCATTCACTTGCGACGTTTGGCTGGCGCCACTATTCAGGTCGTAGACTTTGAATGACGGTTGCGAATTATGCTTTTTGGCCGATGTTGAGCTGGGTAACTGTTCAAGGAAGGGATTGTACACCGGGAAGTCTCGGTAATAGTTCTCAAGAAGATGAACGGCCGCTCGCTGTATACTAATAGCGCCTAGTGTGTAGCTCTTCGAAGCTCCATCGGGACTTCGGACAACCTTAACGTAGTACTGTGGGGGGAGATGACGTATCTCGAGTACGAGAACTGCGAGCAATTGAACCCAGAGCAGTGTGTCGATCATGGAAAGAGCAAACTGTACAATCGATAAATAGGTAAGGTCGAAATCTTCGTAGCGGCGTTCGTATATTCGTACCGAGTAGAAAAGCCAATACGAGATGATGACCACAAGGGTGAAAGCCATAATGACGGCGCGGAAGACAAACACTCGGGGCAAGGTTGCCCTTGGTCGACGGAAAAACACCGCCCAGCAGCCACCGAAGAGGATGCAAAGTCTGAAAGCGAAGCCGTTAAGAAGACCATCGCACTCTGGCCCGCAAGCCTGCACCTTCCACGGTTGCTCCCAAAACGGTAATTTCGGTAGTAGAACCATACCTAGAGGCGATAAAAAGGCTGCAATTGACAGAAATGCCGCCACGATGCTGCCTAACCACATGTGAATAAGAAATATTCCAGATAGGCCACGCCGGTCGGTGCCTAGCCGGGAGATGTCTTCAGCTGAAAGTGATCGTTCGGATGTGGCACCTGTAATACATGTCGTATTGTCTGCCCAGTTGTCGTCCTGCGGCAGAATTTGAACTTCGACCACTTCATCGGTAACATGACCCCCACGGCCATCGCGTCCAGAGCGATGCGACGTTTTGCTTTCTTTGACAAGGGCTGGACTGCCACCGTTGGCAACAGCGATGGTCGGAGGCATCTCAATTGCGCTTGACATATTGACCGAACTGTTAACAGAGCCTAGTCCACCTCCGCCATTACCCACTGATGTATGGTGCTGCGGGCTTGGACTGTGGAACATACTCATACCGTCGAACAATCTTTGCTGATCTAAAGGATTGTTTTGTCCATGACCGATATTAGATATGTTGCCGCTACCTTGACGAGTCTGGCCATTGTTGAAACCTAATGGTGATTGGCCGATGGGCTGCTGCTGATGTGAACGCCCGAGATTTAGTCCGAGCGACGGCTGTGGCGAGCTCCCGTTGTTATTCCCAATCGACCCGGAAATTTGGTCAAGCGGTCCATGCCCAGAGTAAGGTGGCGGAACCCGACGAGGTCCGTGTGAAGGTGAATTTAACATTGTCATGAGCAAGTATCGTAAATATCGTCAACGTAGTCAGTAGAGTTATTTTACACCTCACATACACACAAACGCATACACGCAAACACTACGGCGAAGCGACACAAATAGGCGAAATCTTCATCGCTGTGTCGTCACAAATGACGACGGCCTATCATTTGCTGCCGAACTTACTATATCTATGTATAACGCACGAAATTAGTGGTTCTGCTCATACAGAGTTCTCCACGTACAAATTTCACATTTGAAAATTGCATAGTACAAATACACACACGGGGTAACTCACACGCGATTTAATAAATGCTCGTTGACCGTTTGGATACTTGGCGTGGTCTTCGGTTCCTTTTTTCCTAATCAGACTAGCTCTATGCGTGCATTGAAGCTGGAAACTGTGGGAACACGAACGGTAAGTGATTAACGGCAGTAAAACTGGATGTAGGAAATCAAATGGATGTTTCTATCGTTTACTCCCAATAGCAGTGTGCACTATTCTCGTTGTTTTTCTCTTAATTAATCAAGCGTACATGGTAAGAAGTAGGGCTTTTGCAAGACTGTTACAATAAACAATTCTTAAGTGGCTTTCACGGGGTGTTCTGTTTTAACCCGTCCGTTTAGCCTTGGCACTGTTTGATGATCTCGTCGGCCTCATGATGTGCTATCTCCGACTTCGGTCTCGAAGCTCATACACATTCACTTTCTATTGCCGTACATCTATTTATCCACCACACGCACCTACATGCGCCATACACCCAGCTTTCACCAGTCGGAGCAGAATGTTCCGTATTGCCGTCGAGAGGCTGTCGCATTAGAACTGGATTACTGAATCTGTAGCTGCCGCTTCTCTGACTGCAACTGTTCTTCCTAGCAGGAATCGCAGCTCTTCACCGCAGTAGCCTGTCGCTACCAGCAGACCTCGAATCGACTGTATCCCTGCGACTGCAACTCCTGTTATGTCTTCGTCCGGCAGTGATGTTTACATCAAGCAACAGATTCAGAGCGGTACTCCGGTAACGCACACACTCTTACAGACAACAGCCAAGCAAAGTTCCGCACATCGCCAGCCGAGAGGCCTCCGCGAGCGAACTGAAGCAGTGCAGCAACAACAACAACAACTGGAATAATAGCAACTAGCAGCCAGTCAAGAAGTAGAAGCAGGCCGACAACGCAAAGCCAAACGACCAAACCGACGACCCGCGGTCAGCCGGGAACGCAGGGAGGTAGGCGAAATCGAAAAGCGGGGTTCTTCAGCTGGCAAGCTCTACCTTCATACGAGCAGCACCGTATAGCTAGGCCTGCTCAATCGGTCTGCCTATACCAGCTTCTCTTAGCCGGTTTCATGGCACCGACGGCGGGTGCAGCAAAATATCGTCAAGAAGCAAACCTTTCGTCACATCTTCTCTCTTTCGCGCGTTCCCTCTCTTTCGCTATCATCGGGACACTCGTAGCGGCTCGCACTTTGTGGCTACGTCCCTTTCCCTCTGCTGCCAGGTGCTCCGACTGAAAGAAAGGGCAAGACTCAACCGGCCGAACTGAACGCGAAAGCCCGCCACCGCGAGCCATCACCACTACCAGCGAAAATATGACACGATATAGCGGTACATCGGTGTTCTAATAACATTTATTGTGTAGGCAGGATCTTGTCCGTAGTCTGTCTCTCAGACGGCGGCGCCACGGTAGGACTCGAAAGAAGCTGAAAAAACCGATGATGGCTGTACCGCTCAACCGAGGGCGCTGCTGGTAGCAAAAGCATGTAGCCCGGACCAGAATAATTTTGTCTAGCTTTTCCCTGGGATGTTATATTTTTGTTCTGGTCGATATTGTTAGTCGGGAGGACGGCTGAGAACTGCGGCTTTGGTCCTTCTTTATCCCACGACTCGCTACTGCACGACTGGCGAGAGATGAACACATGGCAGCCATGAGAACGTAATGCCGACCGTCGTCATCGTCGCCGCCACCGTTGTCGCAAAGGGTTTCGTCGTGTTCCTTCGTTCGGTCAACACTGGAACACTTTCCTGTTCGACGTTTCGGAACCTCAATATTGGTAAACACTGATTCCAACCGGAACTGGGCTCCGTCTTCGCTGCCATCGCAGTCGAAGAAATGGAAAAACTACTGGTTCTTTTATCTCCATGCAGGAACCGCAACAAAAAGAGTGCCGTGATTGCGGAAGTTTTAACGATAGCTTCATTCTGAAGGCCTATGGCAAAGGCAATAGGATAAAGTCGATGGCTATGATGGTAGTGATGATCATGATCGGGACACTTGTGCCATTTCATATACAGATTACCGGGTTAGGTTGCCACATATTGTTCTAAACGACCGTATTTGCCCTAAGTAGTTATAATGGCAAGTTCTTCTATACTTTTCTAATTTACATATGTGCCCACACCAAGATATAGACGTAAAGACTTGTCGTAGTCAAAGAAGTATAGTTCAAAAATTATGCAGCGGGGGTGAGGGGGGACCACTTAGAGGGCAGGCTTGCTTAAAGATGAGATTGGAAATTTAGTTCTCAACTTGAATGTTGAATATCTGTTCATAGCGATATAAGTATTGTAATTTAACACATTCAACATTTGCAATGGGATCAAGTTCTTTAGGCTCATTATCGGAGCAACTGTCTTGAAGAATTTTCCTGTGAAAAAAAATGATTCTAAGAAAAACATTGTCATTCTCCAACTAAATTCAAATTAAAAATATATATAAAAGGTAAGCTATCTATATGCTAATAAATAAGCTTACAGCATCTACATTGCTTCGAAGTAACACAATGCAAATCTATTTCTAACTATAAGTAAAATACAAACAGTTATTATAGACTAATGAGGGCCTAGTTCTTACATGCAAGGTCCAATGCGAAGATGATTAAATGTTTATGGCACAATGTTCGTAACGGAACGGTTCATCATAGAATCCCAAAGGGATTAATTAATATTGTCAGTAGAGCGGAAGGAAATAATCGAGGCAGAGGTGTATGTTTCCAATAGCATAAATAACTGTAATAATAATCTGACTTAGCTTCACCTACAGATCTTTGGACAACAACAACAACAACAACAGTTCCCGTGATGCTGCAATAGTAACATGCCTTCATATAAACTTAGGGAAGCGTAATGGTTTGCGTCCGGAATGTAGCGTTGGCATGCTTCGTTCTGTGCTGGGGCGCCAGCCGCCTGAAGCAATCGTTAATAGCAATGTCAGATTAATAATATGTAACCATTCACCTTCTTGTTTGATCTCTGAACTGAAGTCCATTGTTCCGGTGCGAAGGTATCTTACACTTTCTTAGTTATCAGGTGCTTTTTGCCTATTGAATAAAATCTGCGTAAGTGTTTCGAGTTTTGCATCCGGTGTCGCATTAAACTAAGTAGTAGAAAACTTTTGAGATTTGCCTGATTTACGGTACATTTTAAAAGGTCTGTCATTTGTCTATAATACCCGGTTATACTTTCTTTGTTGTGTTATTGTTGAAGAAATACTGTTTTGTAGGATAGTTATGTATGTCTATAAAGGAGGCATGTCGTGCAATCGAAGGAACGGAAAAGGAAAGTCGTTTTTATGATGTTAAGCAAACGCACGTTCTATGCAAATTCGATGATTTTGTTAATAAAGTAAACAAAAAAGTTAATAAATAGTTTCACCGGGGAATGTAATGGCCATATTATTGTGATTATCGTTTTCGACTAGTCTGATTTGTACGACTCGACTTACAAACTATAAAAAGACATTAACAAGTTTATTTGTAAAACAAAAACATTGGCACGAGCATAGCAACATAAATGTACCGCTCGAAGCATACAAATTTATATTAGAAATATCTGAATATATATTCGCATATACAAGCCATAAAATCAACGTATTGTTACTAGTCAGGCAAGCTCCAGACGGCAGAATGTGAAGCCTTAGCATTATGGTCAAGGAACAGCGGTTGAAGAAACATAAAAGAAAGTTTCCCACTCTCCTTTTATGATAGCCGATTCGCGCTCAAAATTGGCGTGTGTGCCCTTATGAGCTTGCATATTAAATGTTATGTTGATGACCTTCTGCGGGTCCAAGTATATATTAAAGAGAGGAATTGATTTTTTTTATTCATTGTTCTTCCAAATGCCCATAATGGCAGATCGGACGATGGAACATTCTGAGTGGATGATACAAAAGTTTTCACAAAAATCTGTATTGACAGGACTGGCCATCTAGTTAGGAAAGGCTCCAAAGTGACGCCAACAAAAAACAATGTACTTATATAATCCTTCGTTATTACAACATGCATACATTCGAGATCTTACTTAAATAAAACATTAATGAGAGGAGGGGGCTTCTCTGGTTTTCTACATAGCAACTACTCGCCGCGTCTAGTTTCCACCGCTTTTTCGTGTATATTTGGCCCTAGCTCTGAAATTGTAGCGTGGATATTTTCCCTCGGTTCCTGTAAAGAGCCCCGAGAATTCCCGGGCTATCCATCAGAGGGCTCTACATCCCACAAACGCCACCTTATGTGAACTGAAAGCGTCATTGGCAGTTTTTCTGGCAACCCGTAAACTCTGTTCGCTAACAGGAGACGACTTCAGTATCTCTTATATTCTAAAGTGTTGAAAAAGGTTTGCAAAACATGTCGCTCAGCAACATGGTCTACCTCTTCACGTAATCAATAGCGTAATCACGTCATTAAAGAATCGGTAAAGAAGATGTCTAGACGAAGTGGCGACGAGTGCCCTTCAGATCATGTAGCATAACGCCGCTCCACTTTTTTTATAGACATATTTAAAAAAACAAGGTATGCAACAACATTCCCCGGATGGAGGGAAGTATTCGTGCCGTTATTTTATAGATAATGCTAAGTGTATGTGAAAATATCGTCAAAAACTGGGTAAAGCGAATGACTTCCACAAAGCAAGTCAAGGGAACCCACCGTATTGATGTTTTTTTTTGCTAGCGTCATTTTGACTTCGCTTCCAACCAGACGGCCGACCCTATATTTTAGTTAAAAATAGTAACAGATATATCTATGAATAGAAGGAAAAACGAATTGCAATTCCTTAGTGAGCTTTCGCGTCAGCCATTTCGCTGACAATATGTGGAGGAAATGGGCCGTGAGGTAAAGTACAAATCGTAAAGAGAACAGGACTGGACATCTGAAGTAAGAGAATAAAACGTAATGTAAAAGTTTTTTTCTTGTTTCATTATTCATAAGGCCCTGCGAGATTGCCCTTGCAACAGACAGGGTAGAAACTATCGGAAAAAGTTCGGGAAAATCTGGCAAAAACCAATTGTTTAGGCTAAAGAAAGCATCCATTTGTTGACGTCGTCAGACAAAGGTTACCGAAAATATGTGTAGAGCAAATAAATATAATTTAACTGATCTTCTGTGTGCAAACAGAAGGTGAAGGTTCTTAATTTTAGCAAGTCATATAATTTTAATCGACACATTTAATTAATACTACGGTGACATCTCACCGACAATTTGAAAACCTAATTCAATTTGAAAATGCTTGTTTCGTTCTGGATACTATTATTTGTGCTAAAACAAATGGCTCGAGTACAAAGGTGTACGTATTTTCGTAACCCTAAAGAACTGTTTCCTTGTAATGAGTTACCAACAATGCCAGATTCTAATGTGAAAGAAAAACAGAAATCATACCACAGCCAACGAAGTTTCAGCCGTGGACGCTAATGGTCAAAATGAACATATTTGAATTTCACCGCAAATGAAAGCGGTTGCGAGACTATAGAGCATGCTGAAGTCAAGTCTCGTTGAAGTAACAAGAATTTTACCTGATGAGCTTGGCATGGGAACCTCGTAAACTCATGGCCTATCCGAAGTGGCGCCCCCTGGTGATTTCTGTATAAAACTCACTGTGAGCCAACCAGTGCTTCTCTGAGTAGTTTACCCCTGCGCATTATTTCGGGACCTTATTTAGCATGATCGCGAAACGTAGGTACAACCAACGCTAGATACAGTACATAATAGGATAATGCAATCGTTCTTTGAACTATCAAGTCCTATTTGTGTGATGTAAGACGCACACTATTCAGACAAATTATTTGAAGGAAAGACATCAGAATTACAACAAGAGTATTAGAAATGCCCTTAATATTTTGTGGCCTATCTGTACGATCTTCATCTACGTTTGTCTGCGTGTCGATCTAAGTTCCATTGAAATACCATGGGTTGTTCTATGCGCAGCAGTCATCCTCCTGGGCACTACTAGTATCAGCCGGAAACAATAGTGTTTTTAATTTCAAATTTCAATTTCCCCTTACCCTCCGTTCTGCGAACTTCTTCTTGCCACTAACTTGAAGAATACAATCGGAGATGTGAGGGGGGCTACCCAGCGTCAGTGAACGCTCTCGAGAAATACGCCGAGCAACGACAAATAGGTGCCTCCTTGCCTAGTGCTTGATCTGCTGTACTTTTACATGAGTGTCCATCTTGCACTGAGTGAGGGCTGCGTGAGTGAGTCCCCAGAACTCTCCGCGATTCTACCGTGAGTGAAGGAAAAAGCCTATTATAACACAGTGTCTACCAATGCAGGTGCGGCAATTACAGATGGATTTTCTTTTCGAACGAAGCGGAGGAACTTCCAGTATTTAACCCTTGTAGCAGCGCTGCGTGTAGAAGGCACCAGTTGCTTGCCTTTTTGAGTGTAGTTGTTATTCCGGAAACAGAATCGCGACCATAGGAAAATTATAAAAGACCGCAGTGATCATAAGCCACAAAGCGCCGGACAACCTGATGAATATTGAGGTAGTCGCTAAGTTTTTGCTACATTGTAGGTCGAATACACGGTACCCATTATTCTATACCGTTACTCTAACCGGCTCTGTTGGAAGTGCACAGTAAGCCCATATTTAGATCACAAGCTTGATATTTACAAAACGAACATCCAAAGGTTATGAATCTCGTATATCCGTTAATTAACTGGATATAGTATAACTATATCCATATATGGCCTAACAGTGCCTGTTAATTTTCCTACTTGTATACCTCATGTGGTTTCGACTGAAGTATTTGTAAATACTGCTGATGAGTTGTACCGGGCATTGACCACCACTGAAAGATTAATGGATGTCTTCGATGTTGTGTTGCCAATTTGTCCCCATCACCCTTGGCAGATCAATAGCATGTTTATCAAACTAGACATTTTAACAAATGCAAGTTTCTGGGTACTCTAAACTTCTAGCGTGACCCTTAGAATAATGTAATTAAGCTTTATTCATTTTGATTATGAATAGGTCTACATCCATTAACACAACACGTACGATATGTGTTGAATTATCCGGGCTTTGGAAGGTTTTAAAAGCTATACAAGGGTCATAATGACTCTCTTAAAGATCGCTAACGTATTTTACGCATAAAAATACTTACCTACACTTGCAATATATAACTGCCACAAGCCATTCCCTAGCGACGAAACAGATGTCTTCTGTCAGAACGACATTTTCGTTTTCACTACTAATTCTATAGTTTCTAGCTGGGCCTAATAAGTCTACGTATTGTTTACTCCCGGTGTGTGCCTATACAAAGCTTTATCCTAGTTGATAGTTCCTTCTGCTTTCCGTCGAAGATAACTGATAAATCTGTTTCTCTTAGAAAATAGTTTAGACAAAAAGACCAAATAAATATTAATTCAATTGAAGGCAATACTTGATGCAAACGCTAGCTAATATACCGATTGATTGAAAACATGAGCTAAATTGGCTTGCATTATCTAAATGGCCAGACGAAAAATATTACAATAGTATGGAGAATAAACATACGCCACATTCAATTTGCAGACCTCCTTTTCTATTCACTCAATCATTTAGTCTCAACAACGATTGAAAAAACTAAGGGTACCTCTGCAGACATCAGAATGGGCACCCAATTCGGCATAGCAGGACTTAGAAGAACGTTTGTAAATGCCGTCGATAGGTTCCTGATGAAGCATTCGAAGACGTTTGCTTGCTCTTAGCACTTGCTATAAAAATTTCGATGCGCTACTAGGTGAGGATTGCCAGCCTAAGCCTTATAGAAAAAATTTCCAGCAGGTTTAGAATTGATGTACGGGATTGTTTTAGCGTTAGAACAATGCGAGATGAGCTGTTCCGTCGACTAATCGTAACTGGCGAGTGGATGCCGCATTGGGAAAAATGTACTCAGCGTTCTTAATTCTATCGGAAAGGACGTAATAATAAACGTTCAGTATACTATAGTTTCCCTCTAAAAAGTATGTATATTAATTGCTGAGTTCGATTTTTAATGCGACTTGAAATATATATGCTTTTTTTTTATCCATATATTTTTTTATTTATTACATTCAGTTGAGCAGGCCATTTTATTTTACGTTGTCAAGTGCTTATTCGATGTATTGCAGGCAATCCTGGCCTGAAAAAGGCACAGAGTATTAGTTTGTCAACGAGAAGCTGCAGTAGCTTAACGAACGTCTGTCCATTACTGCGATCAGTTGTCCTGCACCAAAAACCAATACTAACTTATCGAATCATACATATTGCGCACAAACTTAGTAAGAACCTAACATACGATTCATTGCGATTATAGATAATCCATAAACTCACTGTTAAACTTCATTGCCAGTTCAGAACTGTAAAAATCATCATGCTAATTACTACTGTATTAATAAGCGTTTATTTTAAAGCTAATCCCATACAATTATACATACTACATACGTTTTCGCAGTGCTGTCGACAATCGACTCGCGGCTGACGAAGAGGGAGGAAGGGGCTTGGTGTTCAAAGTAGTGTTTGTTACCTAACGAATTGGACCAGCGAAAATATCGATCGAAATGGCGGCCCCCGGCATTGATGCATCTAAGTTAGCATTCGTCCTTCAGTATTTTGACACATCGTATATTCGTACGCCACCTGGAATGCTCAAGGTTGCGCAGCTCGTGAGTATCTAAATCAATCGCCAGAGACGCTTTGGCACGAGTGAACTGAACGGAAATTTTTCGTGTTGAGTTAGAGGGGCAATAGATTTCAAAACAACCATCATCAATCGAGTTCCTATAGTAACTTTTATCTGATCACATTGGCAGGTAAATGCGCTCATCGGATTCATCTTGGCGGAGTTGGCTAGCGACAGATTTGGGTCTACGTCAAACTGGTTCGGCTTTGTTTCCATGACCGGATTTTGGGTCACGCTAATTCTTCTCGTATTCTATATGCTGCATATTCTTGAGAAGCTGCTCTTCATTCCTTGGCCACAAGCTGTACGTACCGTATATTTAAATAGCAGATTCATTTCCTTTCCCTGTACGAATCGAAATTAAGTTTTGCGATATGGTGCCGACGTTTATTTTTCCTTTACATTTCACCTATTTCCGCTGCTGATCCTACTACTAATAATAACAACGCTGACAACAATCGTATTCAACGTGTTCGTAGGTTCGTGTCGGTATACTATGACGAAGGGCTTCGATTATTGATTATCGGGTGATTTGTCTACTGCTAATTTATTGGGAACTATTTTAGGAGCTGGGTTACACTGCGCTCTGGAGTGTACTATATTTCATTGCTGGAGCTGTCGCTGCTTCGAAAGGCGGGGAAGAAGGGGTCCTGGCAGCAGCGGCGGTAAGTACGAAGTTAAATTTTTGCGCACTTTATGGTAGAATTAACTTGAGCCACTCTTGGATTCTATAAGATACTAACTCCTCTATTGAGGAGGCTTTCAGCTGTAGAGTAAGCTTTCTTTGAATATGTGTATAGTAAGATTTGTGCTAGCCACAGATGTTTTTTTGTTAAAATTTAGTTATTTTTAACAATTAAAATTCAACTACATAGGAGTAGGCGGTTGGAAATTAATAGTTTTTACTATTAAAACAGATCTAATATGCAATTCCTCTAAGCTGTTCGACAGTGCCGGGAGAAAAGGTACTGTTCCATTTTCTACAATGATATAATTTACAGAATTCCACCTCATGGAACTTAGATCATAGCTTTATTATAACACCGAAAAATAGTTTTTATTTTTTACTTTATGCAAAAGATGATTGATTTTGACGAATCACACCTTCATTCCTAAAGGACGTCAGTCTTTCATATTTTATTTCTGATTGATACTAATGCTAGCTAACTAATGTACTATGCCGATGTCCTATTAAATATTGGCAAGTAACACCCAGTCGTCCTAATGCTTCTATTCTTAATTTACCTTATCGGTTAGAATTGAGAGCAGTTCGATGTTTTTCATGCTGTTTGTCCTTAACCCAGTTGTTCGGCTTCGTTGGAATGATACTATACGGCGGAGACGCCTTCCTAAAATATAAAGCTTGGAAGTCCAATGCTGCGGCGTACGCCGCTGGTGTCCCGCCCGGAACTACAGAGATGGGCATGGAAGTGCCCGCAGAAGGGGGCATTTCGCCCACGTCACCTAACGCCAACTATCCTGCCTACTAAGTTAAGGAGACTGCGCGCCAACAGAGGCAACGACTATAGTAACCACATGCAACGTAGACCTATCGCTAGCTCGCCATACGCAACCGTGAAATCGGGCAAATCGAAATTGTGCTTATCTGCCATGTAGCTCGCGGTGTTCGTAAATGTTTTATCGTTAAAGGATCGTTGAACTCTGCGAAGGAGATAAGGCTGTTTGGGAGCCATCAGTGAACACGCCAAGAGATTGATAAGTGTTCAGAATACATATTGATAGCGGGAGATAGCAATAATTACGCGTACGCTATTCGAGGATCCCTCTGCATTTGTCACAAGATGAAACGCAGTGCGCAGATTTATGCGCAGTGAAGATTTGAGGCGTAACGTATATATGTATGTATGAAACCAAATTTGAGAATTGTCTGGGCTGTCATGTAAAATGTCATGTGTTATATACTGCCAAATTGTGATTGCGATCAGTGTCTTTAACGGTTTACTGTAATTAGTTAGATTCAGAAAGAAACGCTAGTCGAACGTAATCGAGGTAACGATCATATTAAAATTAAGCGAAACTACCAGTGAGGAAACGTCTTTGAACAAGAGCTGGCAGATGATACCCTATCGTTCTCTGCAGATCACAGACCAATTTGTTATTGAGCTGTTCATTTCCAAGCAGTACACTTTAAACATTCTGTTGTACATTTTTTTTTAATCAAAAACGTTTCGAGATTAAGGTGGAAGGACGAAAAAAAAAAACGATGCATTAAATCATTATTATTGTTATAATAGTCATTTTTCATTACAGGACCGGTGATCTGTATATAAATCTGTCAGTAATATATTCGTCATTGAGTCAGTTCGATTGGCGGGCGTGTGAGTGCCTGTATGTATGTATGTATGTATGACAAATAATCTACGACAGCCAAAAAGATTATCATTTATTTATTAGTAATAAAAGGGATGAGTAACAAACTGTGAATATATACGCGTGCATCCGGCTTTAAAATAACAACAACGGCAGAAATAACCGAGCTCAAGAACGTTGTTCACGCTACATCATACGGACATCTATACAAAGCACGAACTCATATCAAAAGGTGGCGAAAGTTGATATATTGCGGGTTGCGTATCTATATATTCTAGTTTTACATATGTACTCCATGGGCCAATCTGAACTTTTGGTTCCGATTCGATGTGCTCTGAAGGTGGGGAGAAAGAGAGCGAGAGGGGGGAGGGGGGAGAAGGGAGAGAGAGAGGTAGGTAGCGAGAGACAAAGTGCAAACCTAGCGGTTAAATTCATCTCGTCTAACTACAGTCGTATGGGTTAGTCTATGGTTGATTTTTGACATAGGCCCTGCTGCGTTTCGGTCATTGCTATTTTGCGGATTGCAGATGACCTATGATGACCTAGATGATGATGCACACAAAATTGTCCTTAGAAGAAAGAAAACAACGGTAAAAGCTGCAAGAATCTAGCGATATGCATAGAGTTGTTATACCAAGCCGGGGTGGCTCAGTTCGTAGAGATATGATTGAAGACGACAACATGACAAAGGGAGCGTTTATAAATCAATTTACATGTATACAAATGGAAAGCGTACGGAAGACGACTTTTGGGACACGGCGATTGGCCGTACTAAACTGTGACAAAGCGAGAAAAACAGGCGGAGTTACGAGAAGAGATTAATAAGCCACGGAACTGCCTAGGGTTCGCTGCATTCAGCTAGGAAAAAGTGCGGCGTCCGTACGAAGTTCGTTTACTAAGTGTCTATAGCGGGCTTCAATGAATTCCAGAGCTGCACGCGATTGCGACATTCTGGCCTAACGGTTATTTGGTGACTGCATGATAAAAGTGAAGTACAGCAAAAATATTACTGAAGTGAAAACGAAATTGAAATTAGAGGCGCGTGCGCATAACTGTCCGAAGCACCCCATTAATGCAAAAGAATAATGTATGTTCAACTGGATAAATGGGCCTTACAGACGTAATATAACGCACACCATATGGTAATTACGGGCGATAGCGCTCGTACTTATACGATAACCACCGTTCATGTATGCAGAATAGATAACTGAAGTGCAGGGAACAATATGAGTGGTAGGATGCTTTTCATCTGAATAGTGCTACATTGGCCTTTTATTTGTTCCCGTACAGTTAAAAATAGACAAGCTATGTTTGGCTATAAACAACCGTCACGGTTGTATATATGAAAGCCTTTGAAGCTTCATAACGCTGAATGGCCAAGTCGAACCAATAGGCTGCTTAATTAATAGACGCAAAAAGTCGCGTCACAAAAAAAGGCTTAGCGTTACGCAATCAATTCTAATTAATGCAATGTAAAGCCTAGAAGCAAAGGCGCCAACGTTGATTGGCCTAGCTCTAAGGTTCGATTATGCCTAGTGACAATTATAGGTTCATTACCGATAGCAGATGAACGGAAGCTTCTCAACAAACGCACTCTACAGCTCGAGGGACGAAAAGCAAAGCTAATTGTCGGAACATTCTATTCAGATAATTTGATCGTGTGTCGTCGTTTTATGCGGAGAGAACTGAGGATTACACTTCAGCAATTTTCATTTCATACAAAAAAAACTCTGTGGCTGAATATCAGCCCTCTATTGTGTGTATAGACCTACCTAGGATAACAGTATTAATTAGCAATACGTTCAACTGCCTTTTATATGTCCTACTACGGGCGGCACCGTAAGTGCAGTTAGTCCAAGTGTTTGTGAAAGCCTTAGAGCACCCCCTCTCCTTCAGGTTGTGGGGTTGGACTTCTGTACCGTATTTTACGTAGGTCAAATGTGGCGCCGCATTTCATAATGACGTGTGTGCAAAACATTATGGATCGACACATCGAGGACAAAACACGTAAATAATCATTCAGTATATATATATATATTATAACAATTACGAGTAACATCGAAAAATATGTATCGCACTTAGAACTTAGTTTGGCAGCGATAACGCCAACAGTGTATTGGCCATCAAAGAGATACTATCATTTCTTGATATTAATTTGAAAAAATACACCTGTTAATTTTAGCTAAAATGACTCGGTAACTGAATCTATTAGAAAAGAGCGACGTCACACGTCTACCAGCTCTGCTGACTGCAATAACCTGAGACCGTGCAGAAAAAACGTAAGGATCACGCACAGAGGTACGCGATAATATAAAGCTCACTATAACTATAGACCGACAAATTGTGGATATCTAGCAACATCTAATTATATGTACGATGTTATTGCTCGCCGATACTCTCCATGTGAACAAAAATGCACAATGGCAAAGTCTTTCGAAATCTATCCATAAAATTGTAATGATAATAATAAGAAAACTAACCGCACGAAACATGGCAGTACGTCGTGATTGTATACTATAATATACTACTCGTTCTCGGTGAAGACGTGTTTGTTGCTGGAACATTCGCGCGATATTTTCCATCCATTCCCAGCTGTTTGTCGGCCGTGATGACGTGCCTGCCGTGAGATAGGAACATTATGCCGGCCATATTACAAACATTTCATTTTCATAGAAGTCGTTCATTTGATGCGAGTCGTCAAAAGCCTCCGACGGCCACTGCAAATGTATAACCACGGAAAATAAGTCAACCGCTCGATTGAGGGGGCGTTTCATGCTTGATAGAAATTACCGTTGAAACAGTGTTTTGTCTTGCAGATCGTCATTTGCACTAACCCTAGTAGAGAAGGACTCTACCTAATACAAGGATTGGCCAACGGTTTAAGGCGTCAAAAAAATACGGTACAGGGTTAAATTACATTGAATTTGTCGGTACTTTAGGTAATTTGCTGTCGATGGTAAAGCTGCAGATTCTATTGGAGCTACGTAGCGCATACAGTTAGTACAGAAGAAGTGTGGCGTACCTTTAACAGTACACGGTTGTTGTATTTCGTTCATTAAATCAATAAACTAAGAAATCGTCCGTACGGGTTACGTTCTGACGACCGACGTTCCACGGTGCTTCAGGTTAACTTGAAGAAGACCAGACAAAATTTTGAGAGTTCGTCACCTTGTATTGGGACCCCCGAGCGAGCAGGACTTATGCCCCACGTATGTAATTTGGCCCAAAAATATAGGTACATTGCAAGCTATTATTTATCCTAACGATAAATATCTGCCTAGAAATTGACTTTGTATCAGAACACAGTTGTCGTCTTCTGATTCGAATAACTGACATATTTACTAGTTAATAAAAAAAGTAACACCAACATTATGTAGAATGGCTTTGAGATGAACAGAAAGAACAAAACAAAAGATCCCCACAACGATATGTGAAAGAAATACTTCCAGTCAGTCTTCAACAAGCGAGCATTATTGATTAACAGAGGAATACAGGGTCTGTTTACTTCTTTACAGGAGACAACACAATAATCTGTCGCTTCTTCTCAAACTAGGTGCAGGCTACGTCCTTCCAGCAGGGCTATGTTTGTGAGCGCGCTGTCTATTTACGCTCGTAAGAACGGAAAACAAGTTGCCAGCAAGGTCCCATATGAAAACGAACTATATACAGCCTACAAAGTGGCTAGTTCACTGTGTCAGAGACATTAATGAAGCATATAGAATTTTTATATGGTTCATTGAACGTCTTCCCATATGAATGACAATTACTGTATGTTTACGATTTTCAACCTTATATAGCATCTACATATTTATATGGTAACAACTAGGGTAAAATAGGATTCATTATCCTAAGAAACAGCCCGATAAAATACTAAACAGTAACAAAGCAAAAACGCCTACGGATTGTATATAACAAGAATGAATATATAATTATGTTGTAACTGTGTAAGCATAATGTCGACAACAAACCTGTTGTCATGCTACCTAATATACTGTGCAAAATAAACTGCGTTAAACATTATATTATCAGCTTGAATTACTTGTTTTTTAATTCTGTTTGTTGTTTCATTCGCCAGAACAAAAATAAAGTTGGCGAAACAAGTCTCTTGTTTATGTCTAGGCAGATATTAGGTTTGTTTCATTGAAATAATCTATTTTATGCCCTATCGAGATATAATGTTATTAGGCCAGCTAGCGTCCTGAAGTTGCGGGCTTGCAAGCAGTCCGACTGGAGTGCATGATGACTGGTGATGTTTATTTAGGCTACTAACGTCTAATTGCAGCTGAAGGCCATTCAGCGGAGAGCTGTAGAAAGGTAGAGTAAATTTGATTATCGATACCATGGACATGTTCAAACAAAATTCAACACATCTTTAATTACTATAGTAAAATTATATTACGATCAAAAGGTGCCGGTGACAGCCTGACGCTTCGTGAAGCTGACTAACGAATACGCTAAAGATACAGAAGGGCAAAGTATCGATGGCACACAAACACACATATAGCGCTAGGTATGATGTTGACCTATAGCAAACGGGAAGTATTAACAGACGCACCTCTTTGTTTGCCAGCCATTCTCATGGTGACTTTTGTGAAGTTTTCTTTTAGATGAACTCATTAGGACCGTTGTTTGTAGCTATTATAGTACGTCATAGGCGTGTTTGTCTTAGTCCGTGTACTAAATATCCGCGAAGAAATCGTAGAAGGACATACGACGCATCATTGCGATGGCGGCTGTAATTACTGATCAGTACAACATCACACTAAATAGGGAAATGGTAACGCCAATACTAAGATAGTGATAATATAAAAACATTTAGTAATAAACACTGCCTTACAGCTGAGAATCAACAGTTACGAAGATGATAGTAATAACAAGACTTTGAGTTATCTTCGTTCGTTAAGTGACTTAGCCTTTCTGCTAGATACAGGTTACTTCAGCTAAACATGGGCCACTCGAACCAATGGGCGTTATAAGGGGACGTATAAAATATGGTACATGTGTTGTTGTCCCCTCAATTTTGGCTAAAACGCGTATAAATTTTATTATTTTAATAGCCTGTCTTAATTTTGGGGACTGACTGATTTCGACATTGTCACTGCAAATCTTGCCTATCCGGAAGAGTAAACAGAATTTTCTTTGATTGAACGCGACACTGTGCCGAAAATTATAGATAATAGATTTCTCATCTGCTTTAACATATTTGAAAGTTTATTTCGGTTATTAAAATGATTTGGGGGTGCACTTACTATGTGGAAAGGCAAGAGCCGGCGCTGTATTTTTCAGCTAAGTACATAGATTGCCCGAAACGGTAACGGGTTTACCCGTTAAAGCGCGTAAGCTAACTTGTTTTTGAAAGTGGCTTGAGCTTGATGGTAGTTGCCCACAAAGGACTATATGCGCAAATCTACGCCGGGCACTTCGAAGGCAAATTTCCAACTTTTGAAAGGAAAAGGTTTAAAACCGGGCGTCATACACCATGATGGTGCAACGATAGCGCAGGACAAAATTTATGGGCATGTTGTCGTCTAGGTTCGAAATTGGATGTAGATCCACTTAGCTTCGTGCTAGGAGCCAGCCGTCTAAAGCAGTGCCAGCATCGGACACCAAAACTGAAACAATTGCGTGTGTAAAGCCCACTACAAACACGAAAAGTAGGTCGGGTTAAAGGAGGCAGAGTGATAGACTTAAGCTGAGTGACTGGCTGAGGGACCTGAAGCATTCGTTAAGCTCGTTATCTTAAGCAACGTAGTAACATAAACACAAAAGAAAAATGATTTGTTACTAATTATTTTACTGATATACAGATAGGGACACATGGACGTACGTCCAGATCTTTGCTGTGAGACTCCCTAAATAAAATATAGCTCTGATTTAAAGAACTGAGGAACTCAAATGCGAGAAATGGTTATTATGCTAAAAACCAAAACCAAAGTGAGTTGCTACTTTCCGACGCACTATTATCTTCTATTACTCTTATACGTAACAATCTTCACTGATTCGTTAGCGACCTGTTAATAATTAAGGGCACGAGCCCTTTGTCATGATACCTGTACGAAAAGATTGTATAGTTTTTCCACAGTATTGCTTCGTTCACACTGCCAACTCAGTGTCTGCTGATATCCCTCGAAGTGCTCTTAAAGTGTCTTGAAGTTAAAGTACAAGCAAAATGTAAGTGAAACATCAGAGCGTTCAGCAGATTACTGCCGAAACATCCTGCTGGAGACCTACATGCAGGATATCATGCACATGCTTAAAGGTCTGTGATCATGCAACTGTACAGCTAGCTTCGATTATGAGTAAATGCCTGCCGTCATGCTATGGTGTACATCATGGCTTCTACTATACTACCTAAAATGAAAACACTACCCCCCATTTTACACTGATGCGTATACAAATGAATTATATTACCATAATGATATACAATCGTCATGTGTTCCATCGTTATCGCCTAAATGATCAGAATAAATCTAAGTAGTAGTAGTAGTAGTAGTAGTATTCATTATTTTTGCTCTGGCACCGTGCTTCGCCGCGTGCTTTTGTTGCTTTGCATTTTTTCTATGTAACAGACGTTTGGCGATTTTGTTTGTATCTGGTTTCCGTCTCTCCGCCGTTCCTTCTCGTAGTATTCAGCTTTCGCTCCGCTTGCTTCAGAGAATCGGCACAAATAGTAAACAATCATTTCATGTTTCATTTCGTCTATTTTTTTATGTTTCATATTTAGAAATGGCAGCAGCAACAGTAATTTGTCGCGTTAAACAAATACCCATGACAATACCTAAAGAGATTCTGCCGCTTACTGTAATTCTTATATACTCTTTAGCATTTATCATTCGGTCGATATATATATATATATATATATATATATATATGGTGTCGGTCCTTTGTTGTACTTGTATGTGTTTTATTTATTTATCATTCTGGTGTTACAATCGACTAATCGTAACGTAATAATAGTAAATGTACACTCATAGATAGATACTCAATAGATTTTACCCTCACATCTGTATCCAGTTTTAGGCATAATTGCATGCCGGATCGTATTTAAAGCGTCCCTTCACTCCCCTGTTTTTTTTTCTACCAGTTATTACTCGTGGGCTGTGTTTCGCTGCGATTGCTTAACGTATGAACGAGCAAGCACAACCGAAGGAACTCGACGTTACTATTCTGGGTTAGTATTTAGCAGAGTGGGTCATTGTTTGGCGATTAAAAAAATATGTCTCAGATTTTTGTAGCGCATTTGGCGTATTGCGGCTTCAGCCAGCGGCCTCTGGTTCTTTTCGTTAAGTTTATATAATCGTATAATTCTTCTGAAGCACTACCAGGCCTTAACGAAACTTAGTCTGAATGAGTCCTAGTGAATTGTAATCCCCGGTTGGCGGTTGTATGTCCGTGCACATGCCGCATCCGTACAGTCATGCTACAAACATTCAAAATACAACAGCGAACCTCACTCTCTACGTCTGACTCACTGGCTTGCTTAACCGATCTCAGCTTGAAAAAAATCGGGAAACTTTTTGCGGAACTTTTTATTTTCAAAAAATACATTCTAAATTAAATGTGTGAGGAAAAAAGTGGCTGATTCTGTCTTGCTGTAAAGTCCGTACCGAGATTAAGTTGTCCGCAATATCACTGATAGCTAAAGTCTCCGTTAGACGTCACTACGTGAAACACAAGACGTAAGTGAAGATGCCTCGTGTATGACAACTGGTACCGTTGATATCGGTAGCTTTTCCATTTAAACCTTCGGCGCACACACACACACACATATATATATATATATATATATATATACACACACACTGTAGACGACCCAGTGGCGTTGTTCTATTCTATTTAAGCTAATGGTCGTGTCAATGAAATGTTTAATGATCTCTGGCGACTTCTACGTCGGTCGGGCATGCGATAAACCACACAAGCCAATTGCACATCGTTATTTAGTACTTGCCTAAACTACGTTAAGCGAATCATTATATAGGTCACTGATTGGCATTAGGTGCACGTTCAAGGGTTACAGCCGTTCAAAGGTTTCTACGCGTAGGCTTCAATCTGTTCGGTGTTGTGCAGGCTTTATATATATATATATATGTATGTATGTATGTATGTATGTATGTATGTATGGAACCCTTGTCAGGTGTTCGCGGAGAGATAACATAGTTCGATTTAAACAAGAACAACAAACATCATCTAACGATTTTGCCAGAAGCATCGGCAGTTACGGTTCATTGTAGCTGGCATCGTTTCATCATAACGTTTTCTAAAATTCTCATACTCTCATGGCTACTGCTTACTCTCTAGTAACATGAGTTTCGACATCCTTGGGTAAAAAATCTCAATGGAATCCTATAATAATCGTTGTTAGGTAGACAAGTGGTTTCCGGCTGATATGCAAGGTAGTCTACCTATCGCATAGAGTAAATATACCCTATACGCCGGAAATCAGGAGTTAAGAAACAAGTCAACCCTGTTATCTACAGCTATATAGCGATACAAGAAATTATCCCGCTGCGCCTCGGACCTGATACTCGACAAGCATCAACTGCTCGATGTCGGCGCCTTCAGTCACAGGTCTGACGACCTTGCTGGCAGTACACTATTAACTCAGCAGTGTGTTTATATATATATATATATATATATATGACTTCACTCATAATCTAGGATCGATATTGATGTAGACCTCTCTGTCTGTCAGGACATCTGATGTGCTTTCTGACTAATTTTAATATAGGTAATATATATATATATATATATATTTATGGTGCAAAACGGTATGGGTACGTTGAGCGGAAATCGTAGAATACCGTACATGAACGTAAGGGCAATGGCATTAACAGCGTAGTTGATTACCTACCATTAAGTGACGCACTGAGTAGTGGAATTGATACCTGGTTCTTTGCTTGCGATTTTGATGTCAGTTTATTTTTACTGTTGACAAGTGCCATCCTCCTCCTCCTCCTCCTCCGCCTCCTCCTCCTCCTCCGCCTCCTCCTCCTCCTCCTCCTCATTTGCTCCCATGTAGATAGCAGTTCGTTAGCTTTAGTTCATGCATGCAATACCCTCTAGATCTGAAGACCCTTGAGGTATTATAATAATATTCTCACTAAATCACCACACTATCGATCGCACGGCTTGTTGTTGTTAGCTCACACAGCCAACATGACCCAAAATCACACATAAACGCTTGTTATTATCGTTACGATTTTAGCAATATGAGTATATGAGCTATTTTCTACATCATATTTTAGGGGCCAGCCGAAGAACTCTTCGCCCTCCCCTCTAAGCTAATTTCGTCAACAGGCGGTGCGCTCGGAAGCGTAGAAGACATAATCATCTGACTAAGAAATCAACGTTCTACCTCTGTCGTGGCGCCATTGCCATCTGGTACAAAACCATTTCGCGGTTAGCTTATTTCTATCGCGGCAATCATCACTTAGTCACCAGGAACAACCATTTATCACGGAAATCATCATTCCTTTTATCATTTTTACTGAGATAACTACTCATTACTAGCACTAATTACTACGACGTGTTCTACAACCGCGGTCAGTTATCTCAAAATGATAATAATGACATCAATAATAATAGTGGTAATCATCACTGGCATGATGATTTGTTATCGCTTTAGGTGTCCTCACTTGTGTGTTGGCCAAGATTTATTTACTTCAATCATATTTTCATGTTGTGTGTATGTGTGTGTGTGTGTGTGTATATATGTATTGTTGTGCTGCAAGACACCATGTAGAAGTTGTTGGCGGCATACTCGGCCATCGAAGTGGCACCAATGGCCGTGGCGTTACGAATGACAATGGCAATGAGTGCTCGTTAGATGACAATGTATCTCTCTGTATCACTGCACCTATCCGTTACTCAAGTCTGTCTATAGTAAAAGGCATTTGGCCACCTTGTTTTAGCTTGTCCTACATACACATAATAGGTACACACAGCCAGCATCCGATCGCTCCATAATGCTTCGATGGCAATCAGCAAGCGTTCCCAGTTGGGGCTAGCACACGTCGTTAAACCGTATACAGTTATATAGATGACGCCGGCGAAGTACGCTTGTGGAGGAGGTCGCGAAAGAGTATAGCTTGGTCCGACCCGTAATTGATCACCAGTTCAGTCAACAGCTATGCGTAAAAACTCCTGTCTAATTTAGCTGCGTCTTTTGAAACCTGTAGATTGATCACTAAGGGCTAATCTGCACCATACCATTTACCCTAGCGTTCCCTAGTCAAGCTATCGATTGAAACCGTTTATTTTTATGCCGTTGATAGACCCCCTAAATCCGTCCCAGGCGTAGATGATTTCTCCCCGCCCCACTTCTTTTCGTGGTATCACAATTCACAACGCATCATTCACTTATGACTACGATGGCATCTTTAGCCCCATAGCTGCTCCCCCCCCCCCCCCCCCTGCAACGTATAGAATCAGACGGATTGTAGGGATGGCAATAGGAAACAGATAGGCAAAGAATGCACCCTAAATATTTAAGCCCTAAACACGTGCTCTTCGACCAAACACATGGGGAACAATGTGCTCGCTATGTACACACCTACGTCAATGGTCTTTGTGATACGAACTGTATAATTAAATATATGTATATATATATATATATATTAGTCGCCAATAAGGAAAACGTAAACCTCAGTCTTCGAGCTCTCTATAGTATAGAAGCATATAGTCATTGGAGAACACTCGACCTGGAACCGTTGGCAGTAGTTTCTGGGCTTCATCAGTGTATGATTTTGCTGTCGCTATTTTACTGTTTGTGCCGCTTAAAAGGACCAGCGATGCCGGGCTGGGTACGGCTGCCACGAGCCCAGTGTTCGATTCGTTGTTTCATTGACGGGCGCGGCCGCTGCTATCACTGTTATGTCTAATATTTTAGGCTTTGTTGTCGTGAACGGTCGCCACCGACGAGTTGGTCGTCCTCTCCCGATAGTAAATTTCTTCTGTCTCTTTATCACACAACAGCAGAAGGATTCCGCCAAATAGAAATATTGCTGCCCCCCAGCCTACTCCGTACGCCCAGCCGAACTCCCAGACCTGAAATATGCCGTTTTATGGGACAATAGATACTAATGTAAATATAAGTTCAATTTCAGTACGAGAAAGTTCAATAACACGTTCAGTCTATAATATTACTCATTCCTGATGTATCGACTTGTTCCCAAGTGTACGGTATAACCGATTCGTCGGTGCGGACGAGATGATGTCTACGTGAATGCACTGCCTTATTGTCGGACGATCGAGCCTATCGAGCTTTCGTACAAACACAGTTGTCCTAATACCTAATAATTACAACGGTTCCTGTACTGTTCCGTGTTTTAAGCGTTCACGAAAGCTCTGCATGGAAGAGGTCGTCAATGCAGTAGAGGCTTCAGCTCCTCGCCACTACGCGTTCAAAATGCCGAAGTTCTTGAAGGAGAAGTACCGTGAAGGTACTGCTTTACTTCAGGCACTTGTATATCGGCCGTTTCGTCTGTACGATTTACCGACACTAAACTCTATTTGAGTGTTTCGTTGAATGGCAAAGTTTGTGAGAATTAACAATTCGTCTGCAATTAGAAAGCTAATTTTGCTACATATATCTGATAAGTCGTGCGTTGCGTTGAAGCTTGTAGAAAACTACCGAGACGCTTAGTGCTCAACGTAAACGGCAACTGTAAGATAATGTTGTGCGTGTTCGACAAACCGGTGCCGTTTATCGTACATTTGAAAGTGATACATCGGGAATGAATAGCTGGGCATTGTTCAGTAACGATTGTTTAGCTGTTGTAACAGTTAAACAATGGTAATGTTAAATTTATAACTACGCCGTTTCAGCTACGTAAGTGTCTGTTGTTTACATACCACCTTTGTTGTTGTCATATCCATACAAGAGCTGCTATTCTAACTTTGTAGTTTTAAGCAAATGCGACTATAAGCTCGAGTACGAACGTTGGAAGGCGGCGATACAATCAATCAATCAATCAATCTAACTATTACTTGGTCGTCATTATACATACCGTTTATATGTCATATCTCGGTGTACAAATATATCAAGGGCAATTACGAACGTACCTGTCGGTTAGAGTCCTCTATTTCGGCCGCGAAGCAGGCGGGGTAAACGACTAACGCGATGAGGATGCATAGCACTGAAACAATGAAACAAATAAAAGTACAACAGGTAAATAGCAAGTAAAGCTTACAATGACGTCAACAAAAGGAAGCCGAAGTTGAGCCATTTTGTAACAATTCGTACGCGGCTATTTTTTTTTTTTTTTTTTTTATAGTTAACTAACTGAAAGTATGATGTCAAAAAATAGTACCCTTATCAACACTGCTGCTCTCAACACGTGTGTTATAACTTGTACTTTCTCCTGCTTCACCACCGTGGCAACTCCAAGCACAGGTAAGTCCAACTGTGCAGCAGCCAGATACGAATACGTATTCCTATACGTTCTTCGTAAACTAATGATAGCAAACGAAAATGTCAGGAAAGTTCATGCGTACATAACTTGTTGGCTGTGCCCAGGTGAACATCGGCTGTGGAGAACTTACATGCGCACACCATAACGTAAAAGGCGAGCCGGTAGAGCATGTACTTGCGGACGGGATTTCGCGAACAAAGTCCACATCCTGTCATAAGGGTCGCTGCCACGTCGCAAAGCAATGTGATCACGCACAGCGCGGCCGCCGCCTGTACGTAGGCTACGTTACGGGCACCGTAACAGCCCGGACCCACCTAAAAAACAGCAACACAGGCATAATCATAACTGTAATGAAGTAAATGATAGCAATAGTAGTAGTAGTAGTAGTAATCGTCACCATCAAAGCTATCGTTGTTTTGGTCGGATTATCGAAAACAATTACGCTTATGTTTTGTCTCTGATGTATATAGAGTAACTGTATTTACTTTATATATAGGGGGTGACATATCATATGAGGTTAATTGGTTTAAACAAGATAGAAATCTAATGAACTGGATTTACATTTAATTTCACTATTAAAATATTGCTTGATTCCACTCGATGATTATTTTACTCCTAACAGAAAATCTTAATTCCAAAGTCTCGACACGAAGCCAAAGCCACGGCTAAACGAAAACTTGTACGCCAATAATGTCAGTCCTACGTCGGGCACCTATCAAGTTAAGGCTGGGCCTGCGTTAGTGCCGTTATTCGAACCCCCACCTAAAATTATATAATACACTTAAGTCATAGGGAAGCTAAGCTTCTGCAAGGCCGAAGTGCAGATGACCCCTTGGGTGCATCTTGGGGTATTTTACGTCTGTTCATATATTAATATTGCGTTCGGTTTTTAGAACTCTGTGAACAATGAAAAAGCAATGGCTTCGTAATAATAAATTACGATGATTACTTTCCATACTGTGGAGTGTCCGTCTGACCTAATCCGAAAACCTCACGCGTACTCTGCGTTTACGAAGCGCGCGGTTCACTATTCAAAACTTTTTTTTCTTTGGGCTCTCGCATCGTCATGGCGACTTCGGAATTGGAGAGTGACTTTCTGGACTCTGGAATATGTTGCTTTCTGGAGTCACTATGTAGTCTTTTATAACCAGCTTTTATGTAACCGAGAGCTAGGGCAATATTCTATGTTTGCAACGAAGAAAGGACCGTTGAGGTTAAAGTGGATTTCTCTAGCCGGCTGTCAATAACATCCGTTCAGTACTTAATCGAGGGCAAAGCCATAATCATAGTAAAGTAAATGCTTCACAGTCTAATATACAATACTATTTCAAAATGTCCGTCAAGCTTTAAGTTGTCAGGTGTCAGGAAACGTCAGAAAGTGCGTATGCCCATTTTGAATACCCAAAAACGGCCGGATAACCTGTAAGAATAATTCTGTAAAATATTAGTGTGGAAAATAATAGATTATTATCCAGATATAATCAAACGCCAACGAAATAATGTCATGTTTTTTTTGTTTTATTTCAAATGTAGCATGTTGAACGGAATAGTCGTTGTTATCTACAGCTGCTTCTCGGGTGATGCAATAAGCTCCTTCGAAATATTCAGTGTCTTAAGTTTCAAAGCTCCAATGGCTAAATTATATCGAAAAGTTGTGAGTTTTTCGGATATTTGGGTAGGGAGATGAAACTAAGGAAAGTGTTAGTCTGAATGATATTTAGTTATATCACGGGAGAGCAATATAGAACGAACATGAGCTCTGAAATAAGCTACATATATCAAACGGCGCTTTTCTCACCTTCGGCTCTGATATTCCAAAGCCGATGGTGAACGGTTTTGTGCAAAAATACCCTTTTTATTTTCTGGCACATTAAATAGTAAGGGCGCTATCTAATACACGGTGCCATCGTTTTGGCGAACGTAAGAGTCCCCCGCTGTGAGCAGCTCCGTATAATTTCTTGATGTGACATATCCTTAATACGCGCTTGTTCCATACACTGTCCACAAGGTTTATATTTGACCAAAAATGTAGTTGCCCCGGGTGAAAATTTTTTTCAACGTTCTCTATGCAAAGATAAAGCTGCATCTTTAAGTATAATAAAAATATGCACTAAGGTTGAAGCATTTACGGGTTTAATAGGTACACCTTATCTGAAGGTAGAAAAATTAGTGGGGGTGGAAGATCTACTTCACAACACGTTTCAGTATAGGACTTGTTTGATTATTTTTGAGCTAGACGTTTTTCGCATTACAAGATCAACCAGTCCTGTTTCTGATAAGAAACTCCGAATGAATTCTTAAATACAACGCTATTTTATTACTGCTGAGCAATTACGCCATATTGATTTTTCTGTCGTTTATAGGAAACCACAAATTCCGCTTTTGACAACCTTAGCCTTGCTAACACGCTCTAAAGGGACGGTGTCACATACCGCCAGAAACAGTTGTGACGTTGGCAGCACCTATTGTCGTCTACAATACAGCGGAAATCATTTATACTTTGTTGCTTCCGCCAACTTTCTCCAGTTTACTTACTTCGTCGCTATTTTCTGGTTTTCCTTTCCAGATAGGTTATTTAGCAGATTCATACACTTATACTTTATAAAACGGGCCTCCTGAGACCGAACAACGCCTGATAAGTTGCTTACATTTTTCTTGTGAAATCACATAATTTAGGTTACCCAAAAACAAATCTGTAACCATGTAAATTAATAGATTAAGGTAAATACGCGCTCGGTTTTAGCAACTTCAAGAAAAAAATTCATGACGGGTTGGTTTCCCAATCGTTTCCTGTTGAATAGCTTATTAATACACATGCTCTGCTACGGGCAGCATCATGAAGCTAGCTTCTGGGCCAGAGCGCAAGAGGTTTTTACGATTCTTACGCTGACCCTACAAATAGATACGTCCTGAGCGCTGTCACCTACCTCAGCGCGCTTCTTTATATGATGACGCCATTTGCTGGAGCAATATGCATATGTCCGAGAGTACCATTACAATACCTCATTATGTGTACGCAGGAAGCAATTTTTGTGCGCATTTTTTGTGCTCAAACGCAGTTCAACACCAAGTCATGGCTAAAAAAAAAGACTGATAAGAAATCCTAAGTCATATTAAAGAAGTAGGCAAAACAGTAATCATTAAAAGGAAACAGCTGCACGCTTTGGTACTGTAAACTTAATGTACGAGGAACACAAAACCCAGACAATCATTTAAACTAGGTTAACTATATACGCTAACTCTGACTTGTTTGTAAGCCATGTAGTTTTATTGTTCCCAAGCAAGCAACGATAAAAGCGGCATATCATTGTAAAAAAAAACTTCTCGCGCAAAAAACTTTGCCTCCCGGATGGAGGGAACACATTTGCGATAGCGAATATCGTGATAGCATTTGCATGAAAAACGGGAGTGAGAAAGTAAACTGCCAATGTGCAATTACAAAATGCCTATAGACAACAGCTTTATAGAACTTCTAACTTCTGGACGCTCTATACTGGGCACTTGACTTCAATTAAACTTAGTAAGTTCATGTGATTCACGTCGATTTTCGTTCAGCACTTAAATCTGTCGCCTACCATAAACCGTTTGGCATTCTACCCAAACGTGTGGAGCGAAATCGGCAATAATCAGCTACATAAAAATTTTCCTTTAAACGTAAATAACCAGTGTTTAAATAAAGGATTTCAAACCCAGGCAAGGCAGGAGTGTTGACCATCTCTTCTAAATCAATTCAATCTGCGTGTTGCCTTCTTCCACCGTTCAGCCTGAGCGTACTTGTGTGCTTCGAAATGGCGTCTATAGTTGGCGGAAAAGTCCTGAATTAAACAATGCGTGATTCTTCATGTTGAATTCTGACATAAAGGACGAAGCTATAGTTTTGACGGACTGTTTCGGCCAAAAGTAATCGCTATGTGCAACACTGTGAACGATCAGGACACTTGATTTCAAACACCCCCAATGTATAATGAAGCTCTATTAACTGCGAAGCAAATGAGATTTTCAAACATACGAGATCAAAGAGCTAAGGCCAATTAAAAAAAAAAAAGGCTTACTGTCTTTAAACCGCATCTGAATGAAAGTATATTTGAATTAATTTTTCCGCATGTGCCATTAAGGACGTCGGCGGCGACAGACGCTAGCCGTAAATAAAATCTAGGTAGTTTACATTTTGGTCTGACATACGTCTCAAAAGCCGAAAAGCAAAAAAAGGCGCAAAAAATTTGAAAAAAGGTCATGCGCTGTGGCCTATATACACGATGCTGCGATAGATAACACCATCGAGAAGACAGTTTCTACGATCCGCAGAGAATATTCTAGATTAATAAAAGTTGATTTCTGCGCCTTTCCCCATTGAAAAATTTCATGTTTCAAAAAACAAACCATCGACACTTCTGCTTTTGCCCCGGAGAGTTCTCTCTCCCGGAGAGCACCGCCCTTGTCTACGATAAATGGCCTGCCAAGCACCAGTGTTCCTCCCGAACAAAATTTGATATATGGTGATTTTTAATAGATTCGTTCCGACAGGTTGAAAGCGTAGTTCGAGGTAGGGCCGAGAGTTACAGCACAAGTTTGAAGGCATATTTGTCTATTGAGTAGCAGCAAAACCCGCAGTCGAAGTTTATAACATTTGTTATACACGAATTTTAAACAGTCCAGTAATAATGTTTCGTTAAGGATATTGGCAAGTGTTTAACTGTAGTGCTGAGTTAATTAAGAAGTTATTTTCCCTAGGAAGTATGACCGTCAAGGATGTATTTTTTTAACAAATAACTTAAAAATTTAGCATATACTTCGAATAAAATGCATGACTAAGTAATAAATATAGAGAATAAAATACAGTGTGTTCATCTCCAAGCTATGCAAAAAAATATGATACGGTTCTTAATTAACAAGTTACAAAATGTAAAAACTGAAATATGTCTGACTTGCCTCCCCTCTGTTTGCCAAGTTCATTCCGATAGACAAGTAGTACGCGTTCTATATTGGATACTTAAACCGCTAGGCACTACTTGCAGATTTCTATTAAAATGTTTCCTTTGCATAAAACGTACACGGCTGACTCGTAGCCCCGATTCAAATCTAGACGACCACATGCCCCTAAGTTATCATCATGTACACCCGCTATTTAGTGCGTTTTCATTTATGCGAGCGACACCGTTATATAAGGCATGACGAAGGAGGGGGGATGCAGGTTACCAAGGTGAAATATATATCGGCAGAGGGGTGTCCTGCTGAACTGCTTCATAGGCAATAGAAATGGAAAGTGAGCCCAACTATGTTGTTTATCTAGATGCGATTCAAGGCCGCACGCTAAACTTTTAATGAGCTTCTTCGCTTTGCCCGTAAATACTCTTGCCCTCAAAGGCTGAATCTTAGCAAAATTCAGAAGCTTTCCAAAAAATACAAATATATGACTTTCTCGCTTCTCGCAGCGCTCGAAACGAGATGCGGATGTAAAGAAGTAAAACATTGCTACACGCAGTACCTGAACTTTTGGTTACAGAATCTGTCACTACTCAAATTGCAATGATTGGTTCTCTAGTTGTACATTTAGGGGTGCATTGGAGAGGACCGAAGGATGCGGACGCCCAACCATTATATCAATCTTAAACGGCGGGTTTAACCGCGCTAATACTGCTATTTTACTAAATTGTTGTAATAAAGTAAAAAAGACCGGAAAAATAAAGTGAATTACTGCAAAGCGATTATGTCGTATCGATTATTACAACGATTTTTATTCATCTGGCTGCTGCACAATAGAGCGTTCCGCTTTTATTACCACAGCATAGTATCAAAGACGGCATATTTCCACCGAGTGCTAGTAATACAATCGTTAACCCCTCAGGGAGTGACGTTCCCTTTTAAACAAGTTTCTCTTGGCCAGTCCACTAAGCTCGTTGTGGGAAATGGAGCACATTTTTGGTATCGACACGGTCGGGCATAGCCTTTGTCAACGGCTACCAAATATGCCAGCGGCGTTTTTATTTCTAATCGGGTAACACCGTCCTTTTTTGTTGTTGCTAAATGGGACGCCAATTAAAGATCGAGCTGTGTCTGCGGCGCGCTTCCTTTTTAATTTCATCCGATGGCTGTATTGTTGTTAGGAGTTTACCTCTAGACCGAATGGTAGGGGCTTTAACGCGCCTTCTTCAACGCACTGTTCCCAAAGGCCCTGGCGATACTTCTGCGCGACCAGCCAGGACGAAGACAGGATGCTCAGGATCATTAATAGGACCACGATCAAGCCGCAAATAAATGCGAACACCTGTTGATAGAGCAAAGATAGCACACATACAATAGCAATTTGGTATTTTAGTCGTAATCTATGAAAACGTCGTTTAGGAGCTGAAAATCGTTGCGAGTTACCTCGAAAAATTCTATTTTTACGAACTAAATCAGTGCGCAACAAAACCAATTACCAGGCAGTGTCCGATGGTCCATCTACACAAATAATAGGAGAAACTATTACTGGCACATTGATGTCTAAATATGAATACGTCAGTTATTAGATTCTAGTAGGAGAGTCATTGACGTAAAAAACCCTCATATCTATCGTTTGGATATTCCATTTTTCTCATCTCTTCGTTATGCTACCCGATATTGATTAGTCCGTTTGATATAATTACGCTTACTTGTAAATTCTTAGTTTATAAACGATCCTATTGATAGTTGCGTGCTCGTACCAGGTTAACGCAAATTGGCCCTTTGCTTTGTTTGCACAAACGTCAATGGGGCTTGTAGATAGAAGCGGAGGGATCAAGAGGGAAGATTGTTCTGGCCTTGTCGAGAGACGACATGCGAACAAAGCTAGACAGTAGAAAAGCTTCTATTGCCATGGCATTCGTTGTTCCTTTTCGGTACCTTGTTTCGGGTCATCAGCACGAAAAAAGCAAGGACCCTAAGACCGGAGATCAACCTTATTTGTACAAGGTGCAAGAGTTTTTGGAATGGCTGCCAGCGCCTGATCTTTAAACCACTCTATTTTTTTTGGTAGCTCCAATTGCTCTGCTCGAACTACAGGCATACCCATAATCTGGTCCATAAAGGACACGCCAAGTCCAAGCTTTTCGGTTTGGATTCCTATCCTAGGCTAACTAACTATGACGGAATCGAGTCGACTACGCGGCTATCGAGTGCGTTTTCCGCAAATATCATTTTAGCAATGCATGTATTTACTACGTACGCTCTTTATAACCTTTGGAGTTTTTTTTTTTTTTTTTTTCATAAAACTCGATAGAAAGAGCATTTTCCCGTACGCCCTGTGCTTCTTCGAGCCCAAAAAAAAATTTGCTACGCTATACATTGAACCGTGAATCGTTATTATATTTTATTTATATTATATACAGTACTATGTAACTATTAAAACTATTTTCAAACACATTCTGTACGCCATTAGGTTTCTACCAGGCACTAACCTAGGAATTAACTGACGGACAGCGCAATATCTAACGTGAAAAAAATATGAAGTTACAATTGCCCCGTACTGCTTAAGCCACCAGTTGATTTTCGTTGAAAGCTATTTCTTAGCATGCCCGGTTGATCCCCGTTATTACGTTTACCTCAAGCAGAGGTTACAAGGGCCACCGTGCCTCTCCCACTTCATACCGAAATGAAGAGTACGACTCCCCATTTCTATACTGAGCATGATCAAAGATCGTATACTGAACACACCGTTAATAATACATTTGCAATATGCAATATATCGTTTAGTGACTGAAATGAAAAGTTGAAGTTTAAAGCAGTTGAACCTCTTGAAGAAAGAACGGTGCAGAGTATGCACATGTACATATCTTGTCCCTAATAGAAAGCATGTATAGGAACATATATCACCAATGTTAATGTTATGCTACTAATGAGGGTACATTCTGCATCCACACGCCAGTATTCTTACTAGACGATATGTAATTGTATGACACGAATAACTTCATTGGACTTCATTTACAAAAACAGCTATATTTAGTTTACCCAGAAAATATGACGTACCGAATGTGGCTTGAAAACTCAGACGCTATAAGTACGTATATTTAATTCACCTACAAAAAGGATCACTAAGATTAAGGAAAAATAATGGTAATCGTAGCTAGAGCCAGGCATCGCTGCTCGCTCATTCTAAGCTACAAATAAGCAACCTAAAGCACCAAAAAGACCTCACTAAACCCCACTACTACCCCACTTGAGAAGTGTTCATGTTGCTTAATGTATTATTTTATAGGGCTTGGTATATTATATTACAGGGAATTTATCTTATTATATAAGCTATACCTTCTGCAGACATAACATCTTCGCAGCGAAATAACAATTGATCGTCGAGTTCGCTCGGCAAAGATCAGTTGTTGAACGGGACTATTATTCCAGCGCATGGCTATAAAAGCTTATCATACTGTTCCTGAACTAGGACTGCTATCGTATAACCAATCAGTTTTGTATAATACCGACTATACATAGTTTTATATATATATATATAGATATAATATAGTTTTTCTAACTGCGGTCATACTTGAACAGTGCAGTGTTATTATGTATATAGCTCAGTTGCAGCGTAGTACGTCTAGACTGAATTCTGTAGAAATTCATGCCATTGGCAGATAGGATTTTCATTGTAACAAAAAAAAAACTTGATCATTGTTATTAGCTCCAGCCATGGAAAGGGGGGCGCAGGGGTAGGGGGAGATTTATCGAGTTATTTATCTTGGCTCAGTAATTGTTTACGGATTAAAGTATTCAGAATGTTCTGTCCGCTTTTCAATCGTAAGCAGATGTCCGCAATCAGAAAGCGAATATGAGAGATCCAAACGTTGCTTTGACGGTATCGACAATATATACGCCCTTCCCCGGTATGATAAACAGATCGTTCGGAGAAAGGTTATTATTATTATTTAAGTTAAGAGCAAGCCGATCAGTCGTTTTTGAAATGCCTGCCCCGATAAAGTTCTATTGAATTCGTAACGTGGCACACTTCGTTTACTACGGGGAGCCAGCCGCTTAAGCCGATGTCTAACGGTTAGACATAGAACTCCAAATAGTTAATTTATTAGTTAATAAATCCCACGTGAAGGCCGGAGTTCTTCTACGACAAGCATAAAGGTGTCCCGCCTTTGCCTTTTGTTTGATTAAGGGTAACCATTATCTCGGTGGCTTTGAGCGTATCCAATGGCATTCACAGACGACGTTTACGGTGCCGCGAAATAGTCTCCCTCTTTCGACCCCAGTTTCCCTTGGAAGATCTGCCGTTATCGTGACGGCGATCCCGCGCAGCCCGGACGCGTTTTGTGGTCCGGTCGTTTACCAAGCGAATCTTCTATTCTACCTAGCTCGCTCATCATTTCGTATTGTGTAGATCATAGTAGTTAAAACAAGCTAGCAGGATCAGTATCATGTAATGTCGAGCGTAGTCTTAAATTTAAGTTTACACAAACGCAAATATATATCGTGCGCTATATATTTATATACAGCGCACGATATACGGTCGAGCTGAGATGCTTGGCAACGTGGATATCAAACTTATCAAAAGACAAGGAAAGTTACTCGCTATAAACCGGACTAGATGGTAAATTGGGCAATATTAAAATTACCGTATCAGTGCCTATTATAGCACTGTTAGCTTCTCGTAGTTGATACGATCTTTGAACCGTAGGGATGTAAGATCGTGTCTCACAGCGTTTGGTGAACTAATATGGCATTTATGTGCTATCAGCTGCCTTTCTGAAGACTATTTATTTCTTATGCTGCTTGGTCTATTCGTGTTTTACAGAAAAATCAGTAACAGGCATAGCCAAGGAGAAAAGAGGCTAACTATCAGGCCCAGCTGGTTACTACAGCAGAGCTCAATATTTATTTGAAGAATATCGCTTAAACAATTCAACTTCCGAATCTTTAGGATGCTAATAAGAAAATTAGAAAAAAAAAACTTTACTGATTAGTTCGTTTAAATTGAAGCATGCAATTTATAGTAAGCTTATCAGGGTGATATACTTTTATACTTCGAAGTATCGTCCATGTAATGTCTCTTATAACTGGTGAAATAGGTCAACGATATTAATTGATCCTGCTTGTTACAATGTAGGTAACATGTGCAACCTTTCCAGCAATTTTATTATCCAAAATTGACTAAATTTGCTGGAAAAATAGCAGAGAAAAATCTGTTTTTCCGAACGTTTCACTCATTAAAGGTTCTACACAATGTAGTTTGTTGTTGTTGTGGTGTTGCTGCTATTCATTACTGAATGTCATGGAACCACGTATGCGCTATCCATGGGCGGAATCGGATCTTCTAAAGACTACTCTAGAATTGAAGTTAGCGGTTATAAGGCCCTATGGAAACAGTAGTTGTCTCCCAAATACGTCTTCACGAAAAGGCATAAAAATCGGTGCTCAATATTAGCGCAGACAGAATGCCATCGCTATGTAGACACTCGCTACCGACCAATATCAGTTAGAAGAACGCAAGAAAAAAATCTTACTTTTGCAACCACCGAATAACCGCCATTCACGTTATAATCATCTATTAGGCCTTATTTCGACCTGCTCACTATAAGCCGTTTTACTGAGGGCGTTCTTTGGAAAACATGTTTGCGAAGGAAAACGACGGGGCCGTATCACGACAATAGAAAGAACTGACGTTTTACCGTGTCGACCACATACACATTTAACAGATTTCGCCGTAGAATTGTGATGGGGGAACGGTAGCGTAGAATCAATCTATATAGTATCTGCTTCGACACCCTTCCGAGTGCAAATCATCATGTCAAACTGGAAAAATGGAAAATTATTTCGATTATGGCTGCTTGAGCTCACATGCTTGTCGGCAGTATGTTTTGCCGAATTTATTCGAGCTGAACGAATAAATTACTGAATATTTCAAACATAACAGAAACAGTAGCCCTTGAATTAAAAGGGGCGCCCAGCAGAGTCTATAAAAAAATTCACACAAAAAGTCCCATACACTAATTCTTGTCACACTATCTTCAGTCATCAGCCACGATCAATATGTCGTCCGGAACCGAGCACTCTACCTGTTTCATGGTGCATGTATTAACACACGTTGTTAGACAACAGCATTCACGGTAGTCGGGGTCGCCATAACTTGGGTACGGACTTTCATGTGGAAGAGCTGACAGTTGATGAGGAGGTAAAATATGACGAGGCGGCGCTACTGGCATTGAGGGCGATACAAACAAAACCCGTCGAGGACCACCTGCGCTACCTGGACTAGGCCGTGGGACGCCAGATTCATCAGAAGCCGCTAACGTACTGCTGTACGTTGGCGGGCGGCGGTACCCACCCGTTTCCCTGTACACAACCTGCGATTCCATAACTGCGCTTCCACACCAGCCAACTTCTTTCCGTCGTCGATGAAAACAATTCGTTCCTGTTCGCTTCTGTCTGCTATCGTTTTGTTGCAGTACTTGTTTAGTTGATCGGTAAATACAAAGTTTCGCGCTCAGTCCCTACATTGAATGTTGTCCTTGTCTAGCCAGAATCTATGATTGCTTTTGAGCGTAATGCGTGTCTTATACGTTTGTATATCTATGTACAGAGTACATTATAGCAGGTCTCAGAATTTTATCGGCCATCAACCATGTAGCGGTTGGTGTAACTGAAGCTTCCATTCGTTTGTGCAAAGAAAAAAAGGCTTACTTTCGAAGTTTCACAACTTCGACGGCGTTGACAGTAAACACAGTTTCGGATACCCTCTTTCTCTGCGCTGCACGCTTATAGATAAGATCTTTTTAACTAACTACTTTTTTGTCAATTGGATATTTATAAACGCAACAGAATATTGCAAGTAGTAGCGTGTATGCCTGGGCTTACACTTTCTTCGGCACGTCTTTTTTAGTCGCAGCGGTGTCTCCGGTCTGTCGGGTTCGGGACGCGCCGTACCACCTTGGTTCAGCAATTCTTAATCAGAACATGCCCTGACATATCGCGTAATCGCACCTGTGGTATCAGTAGCACTGCATTTCGCTTGGCGAAGCGTTGTTTCGAAGGAGAAAGACAATCGTATGCTACCTCTAACCAATATCTCTTAATAAATTGGTCATTTTCGAGCAGTCTAGATGGTATATGGCAGTGTGAAGGATCACAGATGTGGAATTATTTTTAGTCACCCTGTCTTCTCTACATATATTTTATTCCTTTCATTATTTACTTGTTTCTTCTTTACACAGTCCACATGCCTATACAGATAAACAAGCAGACACGCATACACACGCCACGGGTTACGCGAGCTCCCAGAAGCCCATGGGTTGTTTTTACCACGATCGTCGTCCTAAAGGTTGCGTTTTTTTGACGGTCCCATTGCGTTAGTCGCTAAGAGCGGCGAAAGTCTAAGAGTATCTGCTTCTTCAGTGGAGTGTTTGAACCGCGGGCGGGCGGGAGGGGGGTGTGGGGTACAGCTGCTCTATAACCACCTATGTCATTTTGACACTTCATACACCACGAGGGGTAGAATGAAGAGAGCTTTGTTTCATATCTGTTCCTCAACACACACATGTGTATACAAGTACAAATAAGTTTACGTATAAATGTATATACATACTATATATACAAGCAATATCTGGTTGTGACTATTTGTGCAGTAAATAACGGCGAATATATTCACTGAACATCGCCAGTGACCAAAATTCTACGAGCATCTTTTGATTAGGTTGAGGTGGGCATAATAGAGTAGTGTTTTAATAGCGAATACTTCCTCGGCCCGTTTCTCTGACTGTTATTTCGTCGTCTATGCCATAACCTAAAATCGACGCCTGGAGAACAGTGGCACAACGAGGTCGCAAAAAAGTTTTCGAACTAAGGAGCGACCAAAAAATCAAAATTGATATGTGGTTAAATCAACAGTTTTCTAGCTTGTGAAGCGTCGCAATATCTTTGGGAAATATGTGATCGAATTTCGTGCATTGCTCAATCTGAGCGGTTCATCATCATTTTCAATGGTGTTCCTGTTCACACTCATCAATGGGCATACGTAATACAATTAGCCGACAAAGCGTTACGACAATGCGGTTGCCGCTTTCTTGGGACATTGTTCTTGTCACCGGTTTGTATTGCCGGACTGGCCGTATGCATATCGCGTATGATAAAAATCTGGGAAATCTTGAGAAATTTCTGTGAAAACATTAATTGTAGTAATAGCAGTATCTCTTTCTGTAGATGTTGCCGGTTCTGTCGTTGATTCGTGCCTTTTCAGTTAAATATTTTTTTCAGCTGGTGAGGTTGTAGTTAGAGCTTCTTGATCTCACCAACGGCCATTTGAAGTGCTACCCTCGGAGTCGACGATTGATTATAGTCTTCCGACGTCATCGTGTTACGTTTGAGCGTTACGTAGATAGGCAACGTGATTATAATAACCTGCGTAGCAGGAACCCCTTCGTGGGGTATCATACGGAAGAGCTGGATGGATCCACGCAGTCCACGAGCGCACGCACTCACACACACATACACACACACAGGCACACACTCACACACACATATACACAGGCAGTACGCTGGAAGCACTTGAATGCACGTAACGTTTACACACATACACAAATACAGACACGGACAGACTCATGAATGTAGCGCTCAATATGGTTGCAACAATTATTGTCAATGTGCACTTGTTGCAGGGTCCACGACTCTTGATGCGAGAGGTGGCGCTTTCTCATTTGTACCAGCGTCGTATCAATTGCTGCCCCTAAGATTGATGGGTGCAGTTTATCTGGTGGAGTTTGCACGATCACTGCTCTGATTGCCGCCACCGCCGCTCTCGTCACAGCCGCCAGGCCACAAGCAGCTGGTTATTCCTTTTTCCGCTTCTAATTACGTCACCTCGAACGCCATCTCGTATTTTATACCACCATGAGCTCAGTTGCCACTGCCACGGATGAGCCTTGGCCACCGATTCGGGCCGCTGCACGCTCCAACTCGCCAAGTTCTCGGCCACTTTCAGGCCCGGTCAGGCCACCGCTCGGACTCTTCCGACTTCGGCTTCGACACTTCGAACATAGCAATACGATCAATACAGCGGCGGCGGCGGCGGCGGCAGGAGAACAACCGGCCAATCCAAGATGGCTCTCGCTAGTGTTGTGCTTGGCGAAGGAGCGAGAGAGCTCACTGAGATTGGGATTCCGGCTTCCTTATGTGGTTACTCCCCGTGACCTACCTTTCTGATGTTTGCTGTCGTTCCGACATGCGTTTGATTCCGTCACTGCTGTCTAGAATCCATTGGTCTCTAGGCAGTAGTTACGGAGCAATGTCCACTGGTCAGCCATACATACGCTCCCTACTAATGCATTGGGCGCGGAACGGCGACATGAAAACCGGTTCATGGGCTAACAAATAAAGAATGTCTCGTCTACACTTTGGAATCAAAGCCAAACAGAAACAGGCAATATGCCATCAAAGGGCTGAGATGTATGGTAAACAGTCGCATGAGGACTTGGACAAATCGTAGGGAAACCTATGCGCTCTGTGGAAGCGCAACCATTTCACTATATATACATATATATAGTATACTTTTTCAAATCGATGCTATTTTGTGTAGAAATCAAATATAGTGTTATTGAATAAGCCCCGCTGATATATTTTGAGAGGTCTTTTTTTTCGAGCTTTACTTATCTCTTAGAATAATAATAATCTTTACTAGAAGATATAGTAAAACGGACATGCATCCTATACAGCTATATGTAATATTAATTTACCTACGAAATGGCACTCATGTGAAAAGTTAAGAGGAAAGAAATTCTTCTTAAGTGCTATCGACAGTCGTTTAGATATTCAAAGCTTTCAAATTGCAAAAAATAAGGTGAGTCCTTTGCCTTTTGTCTTATAGAAGCCATGCCCCTTAATCGCAAAGGTCTCTTCGTGGTCTAGACGATTCACTTGTAATTGTCTGCGACGCTCTGGCCCTTGGAAGACAAACATATGTGCTTTGTGGAGTACTCTAGATACCTGGCACGGAGATAACAAGACTCTTCTGTGATTGTGGATTGTAACTTCAATGTCAACCTCTGTCCGCTGCAGTTGTTTACGACGTTTTTTTTCGGCCAGCTGCAGTGACCACTACGAATAATCACGCGTAAATAGGTTGCTCATAGTATTTTTCAGATTTTTTAAAATATGCGATCTATAATTGAGGCTAAACTAATTAAGTTAACTAATAAGACTAAGTTTTATATCCGGTTTTGCCCTCAAACACTGCTTCAAATGGCTAACTTCTACTACAAAGCAAAATGCGCTTGGTTCAAAATTAGGCCGCGTACTTGTGGTTAGCAGGCAAGTACATTACCACTGCATCCGCGCCTAGGCCTGCAGAACCTATAGGTAGCAGAATGGCTATTCGATTTACTGATTGAAACGAATTTTTTTTTTTCGAAAAGATAGAAAAACTTATTTTATAGGTGTGCCAAGTTTTCTAAGTCCGTTCTTAAGATACTCTTCGTCATGATGCGGCCGATTGACCGTAACGTCAATATATCCTTTCCCCGTTACTATTTGAAACAGTGCCGCTTCATAGGTGACACTAGATTGGAGCACTTAAAACTATTTTATAATACCAGCGTCCGTGATAAATCGGCAGCTCCTTTAGAGAAACATCATGTTTGAACCTTCAATCAACCTGGGCTGACCTTGCATAGAGAACGCGAAACCGACGCAACACTATTTTAAGAGTGCGAAAACCTTAACAAATGCTCTCGCCGGATCAGTTCTTTTTTCCAATAATAAAAATCACAATCTGGGATGTAATTGGTAGATGAAGCTTCTGTCAGTTAGGTGGGCGCAGCTACATTGGCTATATCCACACTTCTTTAAGAGCAGTAGACGATCTTTCGCGACCGCTCTTTTCCGTTGTTACGATGCTAGAAGGGAAATGAATAAACGTATGTACAGCCTAACGTTAAGGGCCACTAATGATGGTGATCACCTGCGGACGTCTAGGAACTGATATGTAAAAAATATACGTTTGTATCTATAGGGTATCAAAAATGAATCTGCTGTGTTTGTTATGCCAGATTTTAACATCTATACACTTACAGTCAGCTAATAAACGGAAAAATAATCTATCTAATAAATGTTCCATTGTTTTTGTTATGTTTACTTTGGTCAGAAAAGAATCGTCTATTGAAAATGGTTGAAGGAGCTAGATCATGTTGTTTTTACGCAATGTTGTTACTACAGCCTCAGCCTATCAGTCGCAAGGGAGCAAAACAATTGCGAGTCATAAATGAAAATTAAGATGATTGTCTACCACCTGACGCCAACTATGATTGGAAAGTTCTCCTTTTTCTTAAGATGCTTGAATAAATCATTTTAGGTATTGCCTTAAAATAGATAAATTTAGATTCTTGTTTCTCTGGTTGCACAATGATAAAATGCTTTTGTGTTTTTTTTTTCTATCGAGAATCAACAATTTGTATGGAAGCATGTGGGTATGCAAGCCGGAAATGGCTTTCACAGGGAATATTTGAGCATGCGGCATATTTAAAGTGTGACGCATGCAAAACAGTACAAAGTCTGTTGTTTCTAAATACAAACTGGTGCCAATATGATATATATTGTATTTTTTTATGTTAAACGCATACGCAGGACCACAAGTCATATTCGTGACCCTATTTAATTGTCGTACGCACAGTTTTTGATTGAGGGATTTATGAATAGCTAAGAATGCATGCAGAAGTATTGTAGGTGGACACGTAAAAGCGAAATTATAGATTGTACTGCTTTTTGCAAGAGATCGATATAACTAATACATATCAAATATACAATAGAAATAACTGTATCGTACCTTTAAGGGTCGCACGATATGCACGGTCTCGATCGTGCTGTTGATCACTCCGAGATCCGATTGCGACTGTCGTGCCGAACCCGGCTGACTCATCGCGAAGCTGCTGAAATATTCGCCAGAAAAGGAGCGTGTCGTTTAAATCAAAGGGTAGGAAAAATGTCAGGAGTTCAATAACATCTACTACGGGATCATTCGTTTCTACCAGGACTGAGGAGCTCAATGTCCGCTTGCTTGTCCGAGAGGCTTGCGAGTTGTTACAATCACTGGTGAGTTAAATCTAACAGAGGCACATACGACCGTCTGTAACGAGAAACAAAGGCGACTAAACAAGATTGCACACGCTTTTCTTTAAACACATTTAGGACTTTTTTGTTTTGTTAAAAAGAAAATTGTTTTCAAGCCGCTCAAAACCAAACCTCTAAGCACTAGCAAAATATTGTCGATAGCCAGCCAGAGATAGAGCGGGTACTATAGTTAGAAAACGTCGGTCAAGACCCATATTGCCGCGGCAGGCGCCCAGAAGTGAGACCGGAAATCCCTTAGTGCAATTTACACATTAAGCTTTGAAAAACATCTACTCTATTCATGTATTTTTTTTGTGACGATTACTTAAGAAGCTAAATAAGGGTAAAGCATAGGTGTGTTCAGGTGAAAGTTAATATGTAGCATATGACTGAAGTTAAATGCCTCGAGTTCTACATCCACTATTGCCGTCAAGCGCATGCACAAGGGTCGCTGTAAACACATGGCATTTTAATTCTCGCTCGATAATAACACGAAATTGTATGTATTTAGTTAGATACCAGGATTTGCAGGAGCGAGTCACACTCACAAACGCGACAGGATGGCCCATATTGTTTCGAATACTGCATGATACACTTTACTTTTGAGGAAGACTGGCTTCTTTCGCTTCCAACACAGTCCTATCTTTCCTAATTGTTCGTCCGTAAATATTCACAAAATGTGTGCTTAAAAAATCATGTGTGCTTTTATGAGATCATGTTTTGTGCTGTCACCTGAAAATTGATGTATAATCTTTCATTACGTCTACAAGGACGTTCTGTTGTGCATCTATCCAAGATGTGATCAAAGTTTCTGCTTCCGTAGAAAGAACTACATTATCAATTACTATATATACGCGGCTAGTTTTCTGCAAATATCATCTGGCTGCCCTGAGGGAAACCATCTCAAATCTAAATCGATGAAGCGTTCTCTAACGTTAAATGAGGTAAGGACCTATATCTTTTTTTGCTTCTTTTATAGTCCGTTACCCCTTCGAAGAATATCCGCGATTTGATTCAGCGTTTACTCATTAACGGAGCGTTTCCGTATAGCCTACAGACGTTAAATCACAACGGTGGTGCGTGTTGCGACTATCTGTGTCCTGTACCCCGCGGACCAAACGCAGCTGAGTTGTCGCCACACGCCTGCGTTTACCATGAAATACTAGAGCTGAGGCATACATATTGCGCGTACAGGTTTCAGTCCTGGCAGTCGATAGTTATAATGAAGATTTACTAAGCTAACCTAGTCTGCATAAACCGTAAGGAAGCTTAAAGTAGACTCGACAAAAAAGGTGAGGTCAACGCACTGAGGACAGTCTAGTTACCAATCAATTACGTTCCAATTGTTATTATTAGATCGGGTTGAGTAGAGTTTACATTTGTCAAGGTAGAGCTTCACAGTTATGATGGCCTCGGTGATTTGCTTGTTGATCTTTTGTAGAAACGGTAAACTTCCTGTTCTTGATTTGTCGTAACGAGTTCGTTACAGACGTATTGTATGGCCGTATACTTGAATACGTATAGCTTCAACTGATGTACTTAGTCCATTTTTCCCTGTATTCACTTAAGTTCTAAAGTAGATAATTTCAAATATATTCTGAACAAGCAGCTATTTAACTGAAGAGAACAAACGTATTACATGGTAAGCAATCCTGGAAGACAGAAGCTAATATGCTACGTGCTGATCAGCAGTTAAGACAAATTGCGCTTTTCGCAAAAAACAGGAAATTTGCAGAAGTTGCAATATGGTTTCCGTTTTTGTTCCCAAGTTGATTAATTGTTCTCGCGAATGAGAATTGATTTTTCGCAAAAACTCAGTTGCTTTTAGAGGCCTTTGTGAGAAGAGATGTAGTATCGCTTGGTGCCTATCGGGAACAGTTTAGCGATCATAATAGA